AAATCTGAGAGTCATGATTTAAACAATTTAGAATCTACACTTCGGTTTTACCTTTTCTGGTATAGTTTTCTTGAGAAAGATTTCTCCAATATATATATTTCAAAGTAAAAGTTGCATCCCTTATTGTGGTCCTACCCAAACCCCAGGGGTCATAATTTGAAAAATCTAGCATCTACACTTCCTCAGGAAGCTTCCACGTAAGTTTCACCTTTTCTGGCCAAGTGGTTCTTGAGAAAATTTTTAAAGATTTTTCTTATATAGGAGATGGGTGAACAAGGCCTGCAAGATAGGTAAAAATCATATTCAATTTGTGAATTTAGTATTTAGAGTAAAGTTCTCATTATTGAAAATTATGAAACTATAAATAATAAAACTTTTCCGAGAAAAATTTTCAAAGCCTATTGAGGTCCCACCTTACCCCCGGGGGTCATGATTTGAACAATTTATTATCTTCACTTCCCCAGGACGTTTCTACGTAAGGTTCAGCTTCTCTGCCCCAGTGGTTCTTGAGAAGAAGATTTTTCAAGATTTTTCCTATATATTTCAATGTAAAACTTTGATTTCCCATTGTAGTCCCACCCTACCCCCGGGGGTCATGATTTGTATAATTTAGATTCTACACTACCCCAGGATGCTTCCACATAAGTTTCAGCTTTTCTGGTCTAGTGGTTCTTGTGAAGATTTTTTAATGACCCCCACCCAATTTTTGTCTTTTCTTGATAACTGTACTTGTACATAAATTGGCGTATTAAAAATTTAGCGCAATCACTAGGTATGGAGTTATTTGAGAAATCATGAATTAGCGCTTTACATGTCTGTGCCGTATATTATATTTATAGATGCTTTCTTAGCGGTATACATGAATTAGTGCATCGTTGTCTGCGCTAAAGCGCTAAAATATGAAGCCCGCTTTTTTAACTACATATACAGTATCTCCCCGTGTTAGGGGATTGGTCCTTCATTTTAACAATTTGAACTGCCCTTTATCCAAGGATGCTTTGTACAAACTTTGGTTAAAATTGGCCCAGGGGTTCTCGAGAAGAAAATGTAAAAAGTTTACAGAGGGATGGATGGACAGACGACTGACAACAGGTGATCAGAAAAGCTCACTTGAGCTTTCAGCTCAGGCGAGCTAAAAAAAAGATGGGGGGGGGGGGGGTTGTTATCTACTTCTGCTCCCAAACTAACTGCAGGATTTTGAACAAAGTATTTCTTCCTACTATAAGCCTGTAATTAATTGTCAGTAGAAACTATGATATATTACTACAATTATTTTCGTCAGCATTGGTAAAAATTAAATTCCACGCGCATGTTCGGGATTTCATCTAGTTCATGTATTAAAAAAAACAAACTAAATATCATATAACATGTGACTGGAAGAAGAGTTAATCTCTCCAAGTACAAATTAAAAGCTAATGGAATTTTACTTTGGTAATTTACAAGTAAGTCCTAATTACAACAGTTTTCTAATGAAAACAAACACTGTTCAAGCTTTGTATCAAATTTTTTATTTAATATAATATGTAGAACTACATGCACTAGTAAAAAGGTAAAAATCTAGTAAAGTACAACCTACAAGTGCACAGCACCTTTGACAAATTTGCCTCCTTATCCAAAACAGTCTCGTCTGTGTTGTACTTAGTCTGATCAATGACATACACACACAGGAAAAGGAGGGGGTACAGGTCTGGTCCCTTTAGTTATACCTCACAATGAAAACAATGGGACTCTCTCCATAATAATAATACTTTGTAACTTTATGACAAATGTAAGCTCTATCAATTCATGCATGAAATGTTCACATTTGACTAAATTTTGTAAAAATAACTATAGGCCTATTAAGTAATATTTAACTTTTGACACAATGATGATTATTCAAACATGTATTACACACACACCAAAAAAAAACTCCTTTTGTGCATACATTAATATGGTGTTCATAAAACCATCTCAATAAATGATTGTAAATAAAATGACAATTTATAATCAAAACATTTCTAACCTGCAAATTTTTTTTTAAAAAAAGAAGTTTCCATAATAATGATTCACCTGCACATGTTTACATTTCTTAAATTAAGTTTAACATTCAAAATATAAAAAAAAAAACTTTCTTTCACAAAGAGAAATTCCTTGAGCTGCCATTTCTTTCATTTCAGCTAAAAAAAAATTCATATACATGTACAAACATTTTACCAGAAAGAAACACACACACACAGAAAAAACCCATTAATATTTAAAGAGAAAGATCACGAGGACCTCTTTTGGACCTGTAAAATTTATGAAAAATTTCAAATACTTTAAAATCAACAGACACATGTTAAATTGAAATAAAGTATAGAAAATGTATCGCTATTAAAATTTTTCCATGGACAAATCCAAAAAAAAGAAGTGATCCTTGTGGAAAAACATATTTCATCAAGTTTAAAACTGTGTTACATTGCTATCATGTTTTGATTTTATCTATGTCTTTCAACACTACAGAATAGCAAATTTATATTTAGACTAGAATATGTAAAATTGTGATTATATACATGTACTATGGACTTTTTCTCCCCACATTTTGCAATTTTTATTATCCAAAGAATTATTTGTAAACCATGTTATGTTACTGAGCAATATGCAATTTAAAAAAAAAATCAACACATGGTGACCAAATCTCTTAAAAATGTCCTTCTTTTTCACAAACCATCATGAATAGCATCATTCTTCCCCATCATAGAAATTTCTTCCAGAATGGCCAATATTTCTGGCCATTTTTCAATATTTCAAAATAAGTACAACCTCTTATCCAAAAATTACTTACAAATATATTTATATAGAGCTGTTTTTAAAGTTTAATATTTAAGACTGCTGATACTTGGATTTTTTTCATTGAGTGTTCTCAAACACAAAACTTTCTGTGAAAGCCAAACCTTGTCATTTTTCACAGTCTTTTCAATATATGCATACATCAGAATTATTTTTATAGATAATGAAAGCATAAAGTCTCTTGTTTTGAAAATAGAGATCACGTTTTACAATTGATAAATGGCTTAAAACAAGAGTTGATTACTGGGTCTATAGACAGGGCCATTTTATACCAGAGTAAACCTGCCTCTGTACTAAATTTGATCTCTCCTTAGTTATTATACATGATAAACAACTTCAGAATTCCTTCAGTGATTTATCTGTTATGTAGCTGTACAATAAACAAGCTAACACAAAATTCATAATTACCAACCAAAAGGGCCACAATGCTCATCTGATTTTTTTTTTACAAACTGAACATGCTTACAATTAAAACCCCTCATTTGATTAAATTCAATCAATTACTCTGAAAAAAGTCTTGTAATCATGATTACTTTTTTATAACTTTAAGATTACAATGATTTAAAAAGAAGTTAATAAAATAATGGTCTTCAATAATATTCGCTGAATATCTTTCAGTGTGCAAATGTTTATAAGCAAAAATTATTGTAAAAATTATATGCTCTATATAGCTGTACATTCTTATATATATATATATATATATATATATATATATATATATATATATATATATATATATATACATATATATATACACTGAAGAAAATTACTACAGGGTTATTTTTAAGTTTACTTTTTTGGTTCATTTAACATGTATGCAATGCAACATTTTGTTTTAACCTGTAAACATGGTTAATCTTTAAATACAAAAGTTAATTTTTTTTTTATCAAATGTTATGTATCTTTGCGAATCACAACTATAAATATGTCTAATTTGATTGATAAATTAGCTCTATTTGTTTTCTTTTTCCTCAACAATAACACAGATATTTACTTCAGATATGTTAGAAATAAGATGATCAGATAAACCATATCGATCATCTATATAAGGACTTACAGTAACCCAAACTTCGTCTGAACTCTACCTTTAAAAGGTAAATGATGGATTAAAAAAGTTTTTTTTCCAAAACATTAAACAAAAAGATTTTCAAAATATTTATGTAATCTAGAGGAATTACAAGTAATCATGATTACATAATGGAAAAGTTATCAGATGTAATTGATTTCTTTAAAAAATGGCTGTAATCAGCTTGTAATTGATTACTTTTAAAATTCAAAGGAACTGTAATTTAATCAATTAATTTTGAAAGTAATTGACCCCATCCCTGCACTCAACATACTCTTCAATAAAAACATTAAATCAGATCTTGACTTGGGAACAATGACTGAATGCCCACATCATATAAGAAAGCCTCGACATTTTACAAATCCAATGTCTAAGCTTGAGAAGGTGTCTTCAAATACATGTAATTCTACCGTATTAATCTTCACTTCATTTGAAAAAATACATCAAGTACACTATTATGTTAATACTAAATAATAGAAACAACAAAATACACAAAGGACAAACTCTGATAAGAAAAAACTCACTCCAGCCTTTAGACCAAGTGAACACGTTTACTGATGAAAATGCCTTTAAAAGAAGTACTTTCTGTGTTGAGAATTGTTTCTCTCAACAATGCTAGGGAAAATACCCCCTACAACCTACTGTGATATAGAAAAGTAGAACTATATATCCTATCCAAATCTTGATTGAGCATTATGAAGTAAAAATTGTAACCATAAAAAAATTCAAATTTTTATCTGTGGAGAGGATTTTTGAAACATTGTTTCTATGTACAAAATGAGCAATATTATATCACACTATTCATATAAAATGAATGAATGTATGAGGATGAAAAAATGATCATCTATTCATATGTACTTTGGCACAAATATACACATCTAAAATAGCAAAAGCAAACAGCATGTGCTGCATAGACAGTCAATGTTGGCATTGTGATGTTTTCATTGGCTTCACATGTCCTAAGGGATTCTCTGAAAGTCAGATCTAAACAAAGAGCACAATTAAAGCTTTGTAAAATATCATATCAAAATACATGAGGATAAAACTACCTAAAAACTACATAGAAATCAGCAAATGATGCACTAAACAGCAGTATTGTCATTGGTTATATTAAAAATTGTTTTCATTTTCTTGAAATATGGCACACAGCTGTTAAAGTAAAAGAATAAGTTGATATGAAACAAAAAGCAAACACAAGACAACTAGGAGTCATGGCAAGTCTCAGCCGTAATCAGCAGTTAGGAGTCCAAACTGCAAGTTTATCTTGTCAATCAGTTGATCAACTCCTCAAAAGTTTACTTCATTCACCAGTAGTTCAACTCTCATCAAGGAGCTCAACTCCCAGCTAGTCTAACAATATAGTTCTGAATCCATTGCATGTCTGACTTGCTCTAACTTGTACGTCAGTCGATTCTTCTTTGCAAATTCATCCTCCTCTAAAGCCATCATAATCTTTAAAATGAAAATACATTTTTGTTTAAAATTAGTATTTAATTCAACAATGTCATCAATAAAATGAAAAAAAAACAACACCTAAACAGAATAAATGTACTTACATCTTCGTAGTACTGCTGAATATACTTGTAGAGTTCATAAAGGGCGGCCGTTGTGTTGAAATCATCGGCATGTTGCTAAAAAAAAAATTAAATCATCTTCAAATTTCATGCACAAATAGGTCCTTTCACACCTCTCTCAATATTGATTAATGGATACCTTACTTTGGCAGCTAAATTAACAAAAGACAATGTGAATCTGATCAGATATTACCGAGGTGGTAACCATCTCAAACAGCCTTGCTTTTAGAAAAAAAGATATAAGAATATAGGGGACTTGTATAGGACTGCAACCTACTGAAGAGAACATTTTTATATTTAAAAAAAATTATCTCTGTGTAAAAAGAAAAGAAGAGGCCTATGGATCTTAATTGTCACTTGAGAATAATACAACACTGTTATTTTTTTTTTTTCGGTATCAGGTATTTTTGTGTCATTTATATGCATAATAGGGGTGCAACGATACACTAACCTCACGATACGATACGTATCACGGTATTCAGTTCACGATACAATACGTATCACGATACATGACAAGGTTAAAAAGTCTTTCAAGTTTGTCATCATATTTTTTTAAAACTTGACAGGGTTATACAAAATGTTCATACTTTTTAATAATAATTAAAATAACATTTTGTTAACTTGAATTGGATTGTTAGGTAGATCTTTGAGTTGTGACAACATTCTAAACCAATAATGAACATTTACAGGGAACTACGGGGACCTTTCCTAATAATCTTCCTTTTAAATTGGTATGAAAAAGGAAGACATTCATTCTTTTATTCCTTTTATTTACGTAGAAAACCAGTTGTCATATTTCTCGTGTTAATATGTTTTAGTCAACAAGACAGCGAATTTTCATCGAAATACACACCGTGATGAAATATCATGTATTACCAAAGAATACGTTTAGATCTAAAGGGTTTATCATTTGTCTTAACATCTATAACTTATAATCACATTAAGTCCTTCTCCGTGTTAAATCTGAGGTCTGTAAGATGCTGGAGATGAGTTTAACTGCCGTAAATGCGTTATCGGCGTTATCACGTTTGCGGGGAAGCCATTTTGAAATAGTAAAAAAGGAAATAAAGCGGACAAAACGGATAATTCCGGACCGATTGAACCGAACCGCGATATCAGTTTAGCATATCGTGAATTGAACCGTGGAAAAATATACCGTGATATACCGTCAAACGGTTTATCGTTGCACCCTTAATGCATAAGGATGCATAAAAGTATAAAATAAACTGATAGATGAAGCTAAACTGCCCAAAAGCAAGAGAAATATGATAATCAAGGATCAACAAAACAAGTCTAGTACTTACTAACAAATCTTAAAGGAGATTAGTTACTTCCCTACTTGCCCTCATTTGTCACTATCACCATGCAGACTAAACAAAAATGCTAGAGCACTATTAGTAAGGCTATTTCATTCTCTTTCACATCAGCTTCTCTTGGTCTTTGAGGGATATTCAATGTACAAAAACAAAAGGCCCAAGGGCCTAGAATTGCTCCTCTGAAAATTGTACAACCTATAATCTCATCTGTTTTAAGCCTCTTCGTAACGTATATATAAGGATAAAGCCTTGAAATTCCAAAAGTAGGTCAGCATGGCAACAATTGATAAAGTTTGATAATTCTAAGCCAATTAGTATCTGAAATATTTAAATTTAGCCATGAAGTTGCAAAAGTAGGTCACAGTGACCTACTTTTTTGTTGACACACTCAAGGTACCCAAGATGCATCAACTGACAAAGTTTGATAATTCCAAGCCAATTGGTACCTAAAATATTCATATTAAATTAAGCCATATTATTGCAAAAGTAGGTCACAGTGACCTACTTTTTGGTTGATGCACTCCAAAGACTCAAGATGCATCAATTGACAAAGTTTGATGATTCTAAGCCAATTAGTAATTGAAAAGGCCATCAAATTACAAAAAGTAGGTCATGGTGATCTACTTTTTGGTTGACACACTTTGAGGACCAAAAATACATCAGTTGACAAAGTTTGATGATTCTAAGACAGTTAGTAACTTAAAAAGCCATGAAATTCAAAAAAGTATGTCATGGGGACCTACTTTTTGGTTGACCTACTTTGAAGACTCAAGATGCATCAATTGACATAGTTTGATGATTCTAAGCCAATAAATATCTGAAATAGCCATCAAATTCCTAAAGTAGGTCACAGTAACCTACTTTTTGGTTGACACATTCCAGGTACCCAGGATGCATCAACTGACAAAGTTTGAGAATTCCAAGCCAATGAGTATCTGAAATATTTAAATTAAGCTATGAAATTGCAAAAGTAGATCATGGTGACTTACTTTTTGGTTGACACACTTCAAGGTCCCATGATGCATAAACTGACAAGTTTTGATGATCATAGTCTTCAAAGTATCCAAGTTATGCAACAAAATTAAAATGAAAACCTGCAAAATTCAAAAAGTAGGTCACCATGACCTACTTTTGAGTCAACTTGAGATGAGGTCCGAAGATGCATCAACTGACAAGATTTGATGATCCTAGGCCTTGTAGTGGGCAAAATATAAAAGATTAAACAAAATGTAAATTTTGGTCAACTTTGAAGTGACCTTGAGACCACGTCCTTGGCCCCAGGGTGATTCCCCATGCAAATTTTGATCTACAACATATCCTCATCCTTGTATATAAGTTTGGTTATAATCTGCCCAGTGGTTCTTCACAAGAAGATTTTTTAGCAACCACTACTTTTGTTTTTATTTCCCTAATTATCTCCCCTTGTTCAAAGGACGCATCCCAAGTTTTAGTATATGAAAGGCCTTGGGCCAAGGATACTATGAGACAAATTTGAAAAAAAAATTGACTAAGGGTTTCTTGAGATATGGCCCATTTTCCAAAAAGTTTACGCACACCACACAAATGGCCATAGCATTAGCTCTTTGAGCCTTTGGCTCAGAAGAGCTAATAAGGTATTTTTGTGTCTTATATATTTATCTATCATTTGCAAGTCTACCTGACAATTAAACACTATGAAGGTACTTTCTTGAAAAATTCTTGTACAACTCTCTTATTCAACTGACCTTTCAATTACATAATTTACAGTGATTAATTATTGTAGATGAATAGCAAAGGGGAACAACTTCTCCCAGTAGAATACAGAATTCCTACCCCAGCACCAGAACACTTGATCAATAGGTCCAGAATTTCAAAAGTCTGTTAAAAATAATCTGGCTTATCACAACTTTGTATTCTGTTTGACCCCTTCATGTTCAGGAGCAGAGAAGATTTTCAAAGAAATAATGCATTTTCACTATGGATTCCACAAAGCCCTATCGTAACATTAGAAGTCCTTACTCACGGGCCATGAAACTTGTAATTTTGGGAGAGACACACTTGCTTACCATAAATGCATTTAGTTTATCTGTTGAATACCAAGAGGCAGAGAAAAAAATTCAAAGAAATTATGCATTTTCACTATTTAATCAATAGAACCTCCACCTCACCCCACCCACAAAAAGAACTCCTGACCCTGGGGCACCATTGCTCATCACACCTATGCACTTAGTTTATCAGCTAAATACCCAGAAGCAGGGTGGAAGATTTTCAAAGAATTAATATATTTTCACTATATAATCAATATAGCCCCATCCTAATATTGGAACCCCTGACCCATGGGACATGACTTTCACAGTTTTGGAAGAGGCATCCTTGCTCATCATAATTATACACTTAGTTTGTTATCTTACTACTTATGAGAAGATAAGACTTTCAAAGAATTATTGCATTTTCACTATATAGACAGTAGAGCCCCGCTCCCCTTCACTAAGTAAAATCATTCTAACTTGACCTCTGATCAAGAAATTGGTTCAAAATCACTGCACACCCTTTCATGAAAGGCACATGTAAAGTATTATCCATATTTAATGAAAATAAATTTAGGGAGAAATTATGTAGAAAACATTTACATTGTCAGCTACATAAATTTGTTTTAGTGGACTATTCCCACTTGAGTTCTTGGCTCAGATGGGTTTAAAACAGAAGAAGTAGAAACAAGAACCTACCCTTGATTCATCAGTCAGGAGCGCAGTCATATCCTGGTCACTTATAGCTGGCATCATCTTGATGTCTTGGTAATAACGTTCAACCCATTTCTTGTACTTAGGGATATCTTTGGCATACAGGAGTTTACTGGAGGGAGAATTTATGCCCAGTCTATGTTCACTCATGGAACAACTGTCCATGAAAGTTTGAGCAACCACAGAAAGACAAGAATCCACAATGTTGGATTTGTAAATGTCAAACACAAAATTAGGATTTTTTATAACATTCACCCAAAATCTCAGTGGAAGACTGCAATAAAACAACCAAAAAAATATGTAGTTCTAATCGTATAAATACAAAAAAAAAATAAATAAAAAAATTCAAAAACACTTACAAAATGTCAGACATACCTATTGGACTTCCAAGTGTGCACTACCTCAGTATCCATAATGTTGTGAAGAAGAGCTTGGTCATCAAGGAAGTCAAACATGTACTTAATGGCTAGAGGGAGCACAGTGCCTCGGTGGGCTGTGCTGAAAATTCTCTCAAACAAATCATCCACATACTGCTGAAGTGTTCCCTGTAATCACATTGAAACTTTGTTACAATATATACAGTATATATTCTATCAATAATTCTTCTCATTTTAAAAGTTTACTGTAAACGAACTTTTATTCGCGATGACTTTATTTCGCGAATTACCGGGGGTAAACTAGTTCGCGATGATTAATTTTCGCGATCAAACCTTTTTTGGATCTGTTGTTAATAGATAGAGAGACTTTAAGGACCGGTTCGCTGTGAGAAATATTCGCGATGACAAGGCTCTTGCGAACCTCGCGAAAATTTCTCGCACACGAATAAAAGTTGGTTTACAGTATACTGCAATCAATAAACCTCAGGATTATCAAAGGGATCAGAAAGAAGTTGGTTTGATTATGTAGCTTTCCTAAAAAGCATACTTGCCATAATTTGCTGTTAACTCTCAATGGTTGGTACATCTGTTATTTTTATCAAAACTTTTCCTTTTTCAGGTCTTACCTTGGTAGCTAGCAGAAATGAAGGGAAGAATTACCTTGGTGGATTGTAAATTTGTGTTGTAGATTTCTGATCAGATATTACCTTGGTGGATTGTAAATTTGTGTTGTAGATTTCTGACAAGATCTTACTTTGGTGGATTGTAAAATTTGTGTTGTAGATTTCTGATCTGATCTTACCTTGGTGGATTGTAAATTTGTATTGTAGATTTCCAATAAGATCTTACTTTGGTGGATTGTAAATTTGTGTTGTAGATTTCTGATAAGATCTTACTTTGGTGGACTGTAAATTTGTGTTGTAGATTTGTGATAAGATCTTACTTTGGTGGATTGTAAATTTGTGTTGTAGACTTCTGATAAGATCTTACTTTTGGTGGATTGTAAATTTGTTTGTTTGTTTGTTTGTATGTTGTTTAACGTCCCTCTCGAGAATTTTTCACTCATATGGAGATGCCACCACTTGCCGGTGGAAAGCTGCAAATTTTGTCCCAAACTCGGCACTTACGGCCATTGAGCAGTGAGGGGTCTTTTGCGTGCCAGCACCTACTGCGACACGGGACCTCGGTTTATACGGTCTCATCCGAAGGACCGGTCTCCACGTCCCACAGTGGGATTCGAACCCGCGACGTAAGGATCAACTCCTTACTTCGCGACTCTAGAGCAGATGCTCTAACCACTGCACCACGCGGGCGACTTGTAAATTTGTGTTGTAGATTTGTGATAAGATCTTACCTTGGTGGATTGTAAATTTGTATTGTGTGAGGTAAATTCCTCATCAGATATTACCTTGGTAGCTTGTGTACGGAGATTTCTGACAATATCTTACATGTACCTTGGTGGCAAACAGACATGTGTGGTAGACTTCTGATCATATCTTGGTGGTTAGCATATATCTGTGATAGATTTCTGATAAGATCTTACCTTGGTGGTTTGTAGATGTGCTGTACTTTTTTTGCTCAGATCTTACCTCAATGGCAAGCAGACGTGTGTTGTAGATTTCTGATCAGATCTTACTTTGGTGGCTAGCAGATGTGTGTGGTATGTTTCGGATCAGATCTTACCTTGATGGCTTTTACATGAGCAATGTCAATTTCAGATCAGATTTTACCTTGGAGGTTAGCAGACATGTGAGGCAGATTTCTGATCAGATCTTACCTTCGTGGCTAGCAGACGTGTGAGGTAGATTTCTGAGACCATCTTACTCCCACGATTTCCATCACCAGTGGGATCACTGTCATGAGGTTTAACCTACACAAAATGGTCAGAAAATGTATTTTATAAAAGAAAAGAAAAAAGTCAATACTACAACAGTTATCATTATTAATTCAATAACTGGACTGGATCATCACATTTCAATCTAGAGATTGTAAAACAAATCCCCCTGTGGAAATTTCCACATCACATTTTTTTCTCCAACTTCTCCAAATTTTAGAAGTATTAGGAAAATTTGTGGTCTGAAATTTTTCAAAACTGGAAAACTGATACAGTCAGAGAGGGTTTCATTAAGCATTGTTAAAGGACTGGTATACATTCAGGCAAACATGTAGACAGACAAAATGTATGACCCTAAAATGCATAAGAGCCTTTCTATTACAGTTAACTTCATGGGTGTTTTGTATGAGACCTTAAAAACTGAGACCCCCTGTCAAGGTAGGCATTGGCACGATAAAGAACCCTCACTGCCCTGAGGGCTGAGAAAAGGTCTATATTTGAAGCCCATCACCAATATATGGTGACTTCTCTATATGAGTGAACAATTCTCATAAAGAACTTAATTAAAACAATAAACTAGCATCAATTGTTCAAAAGCTATGGTCAGGGTTACAGTATGGTAAAATTTTGCAAAACTGGGTCAAACTCCAAGGTCAAGATCAAAAGGTCAAATATGGTGGTACCCAAAGAAAGGTCTTGTTACAAGGAATACACAAGTGAAAAATGAAAGCCATTGCTCCAACCAAACAAAAGTTATGGGCAAGGTTAAAGTTTTTGCAGACAAACAGAGACAGATTGATGGACAGGGCAAAAACTATATACCCCCAAATCTTCAATACGGGGGCATAAAAATCATCAATCAATTTTAAAATGTTATATTTAAACTGTTTGAGTCATAGACTCACAACAAAAGTGTCAAGGATATAAATTCAAATGTACATATAGACAGATGGCCAAAGTGATATGACCCCAAAATTTATATAAATTCCAATATACATACAGACGGCCAAAGTGATATGACCCCAAAATGTATAGGTGTCTTGCTCTTCATACTAAAGAAGCTTTATGTATAAAATTTGAAAATATTTTATTGAAAACGGTTGAGTTATTGCTTCACAACAAAAGTGTTGATGGAAGGATGGACAGACAGATCCCAAAATCCATAGGTGTCTTGCTCATATAGAAAAATACTTCTGTACAAATTTTGAAAATATAACATTGAAAACTCTCTGAGTTATCACATCACAACAAGTCATCGATATACATTCAAACATATGCACAGAAAAAGTGATATGTCCCAAAAATCTATAGGTGTCTTGCTCTTAAAGTAAAGTATTTATGTACAAAATCTGAAAATATGTTTTTGAGAACTGTTGAAAAAAAGGAAAGTGTTGGTTGACAGACTGAGGTATACAGATGGACAATGAGATCCTATAGGGCTCCCACATCTTATGTTGGGTCCTAATTATTTCTTGTTACAGGGCAACTCACTCTGGCAAGGAAGTAAGAACAAGACAAAGAGAGGGTAACAATGTGGAAATGATGCTAGTCTTTATTTTGTTTTCCCTTTGACTCTCATGGAATCTCATTTTTTAACCCTTACTCTGTTGGGATGTCACCTCTGCATTCTTGCTCCATCACATTATTGCCCTCTCTCTCTTGTCATCCTCTCTTCCTAGCACTAACACCATTATATTTAAAGGCCAGGATGCAAGAAGAGTGAGTGCCCCCCGCAATATACAGTATTACTGCTCAAGTCATATGGTAGCAGGGCATAATAAAAATGAATTCATTAACATTCATTCTCATAAAAGAATGTCAGATGCCTCCATTTAAAAAGTGATATCACACTGCAAAATGTTGGTTTAAATGTTAAAACAAGAGGCCCATGGGCCACATCGCTCACCTGAGCACATTGTCTAGGAAAAGAAGCAAAAATCAGTACAGTATTGAAAAGTTTACAGGGAGGGGGGTGTTGAATTTTAAACTACCTGATGATGCTTTCATATCAATATAACAAATGGCTTTGTTGTTCTTGAGCAGCAGATTTTTTCCCCATATATTCATTTGTAAAAATTTGATCCCCCATTGTGGCCCCACCCTACCCCCGGGGGCCCTCATTTGAACAAATTTCATTGACTAATCATGGCTTTTCTGTTCTTGAGAAAAAGACTTTTTCCTATATATTCCTCTGTAAACTTTGATCACCCATTGTGGCCCCAACCTATCCCCGGGGTAATGATTTGAACAAACTTGAATCTACACTATCTGAGGATGCTTCCATATAAATATGACCAATCATGGCTTTACTGTTCTTAAGAAGAAGATTTTTAACAATATTTTCCTATATATTTCTATGTAAAACTTTGATCCCCAATTGTGGCTCCACCCTACCCCTGGGGGTTATTATTTGAACAAATTTGAATCTTCACTACCTGAGGATGCTTCCATATAAATATGACCAATCATGGCTTTACTGTTTTTAAGAAGATTTTAGAGATATTTTCCTATATATTTCTATGTAAAACTTTGATCCCTCATTGTGGCCCCACCCTACCCCCGGGGGTTATGATTTGAACAGATTTGAATCTTCACTACCTGAGGATGCTTCCATATGAATATGACCAATCATGGCTTTACTGTTTTTAAGAAGATTTTTAGAGATATTTTCCTATATATTTCTATGTAAAACTTGGATCCCCCATTGTGGCCCCATCCTACCCCCGAGGGTCATGATTTGAACAAACTTGAATCTTCATCACCTGAGGATGCTTCCATATAAATATGACCAATCATGGCTTTGCTGTTCTTAAGAAGAAGATTTTTAAAGATATTTTCCTATATATTTCTATGTAAACTTGGATCCCCCATTGTGGCCCCACCCTACCCCCGGGGGTCATGATTTGAAAAAAACTTGAATCTACACTACCTGAGGATGCTTCCATAAAAATATGACCAATCATGGCTTTGCTGTTCTTAAGAAGAAGATTTTTAAAGATATTTTCCTATATATTTCTATGTAAAACTTGGATCCCCCATTGTGGCCCCACCCTACCCCCGGGGGTTATGATTTGAACAAACTTGAATCTACACTACCTGAGGATGCTTCCATATAAATATGACCAATCTTGGCTTTACTGTTCTTAAGAAGAAGATTTTTAAAGATATTTTCCTATATATTTCTATGTAAAACTTGGATCCCTCATTGTGGCCCCACCCTACCCCCGGGGGTCATGATTTGAACAAACTTGAATCTACACTACCTGAGGATGCTTCCATAAAAATATGACCAATCATGGCTTTGCTGTTCTTAAGAAGAAGACTTTTAAAGATATTTTCCTATATATTTCTATGTAAAACTTGGATCCCCCATTGTGGCCCCACCCTACCCCCGGGGGTCATGATTTGAACAAAATTGAATCTACACTACCAGAGGATGCTTCCAAATAAATATGACCAATATTGGCTTTACTGTTCTTAAGAAGAAGATTTTTAAAGATATTTTCCTATATATTTCTATGTAAAACTTGGATCCCCCATTGTGGCCCCATCCTACCCCCTGGGGTCATGATTTGAACAAACTTGAATCTACACTACCTGAGGATATTTCCACGTAAGTTTCATCTTTCCTGGCCCAGTGATTCTTGAGAAGAAGATTTTTAAATGATGCCATTATTTTTTCACTAATTCCTAATTATCTCCCCTTGAAAGAGGGCGTGGCCCTTCATTTGAACAAACTTGAATCCCCTTTACCCAAGGATGCTTTGTGGCAAGTTTGGTTGAATTTGGCCCAGTGGTTCTTGAGAAGAAGATGAAAATGTGAAAAGTTTACAACAACAACGCCAACGACAACGCCAACGACAACAACGACGACAGACAACGGACAAATTTTGACCAGAAAAGCTCACTTGAGCCTTTGGCTCAGATGAGCTAAAAAACATTACAAAGAAAACTAAAGTGTAAGAAGCCATGTCCAAAAGATGTTTACCTAAGTTACACTGTATTCTAAGCATTAAGAGAGCTAGGAAAGTTGTCCTCACCAAAGTACATATTGGTGACGGATTTAGAAGTCAGACTATATATTAAAGACAAAGACAAAGTTAGTAGTGTCAAATGAACTTCTACCTAGGTGTTTACTTACTAAATGATAATATTTCACCCCATAATTATCAAGCCCAATATGTACATCTTGAGGGCTAATAGAGCGATTTAACGATGGACTTCTGGTATAAAATGGAACATTTTCTGCAAACAAGAAAACAGATAAGACATTAAATCATGAGGTACTTACTAAATGGTAATATTTAACACCGTAGTTTTCTAAACCTTCAATATGAACACCTTGTGGAGAAAGAGTTCTTTGAAAAGAGGAAGTTCTTGTGTGATGTGGCTGAAATTTCTCTGGAACTGCAAAGGACACTAAACATTTCAAAAATCTGCATTGTACCAAGTTACATCATTAAGTTGCAAAAAACAGTACATGCAAATGATATAGGAGACTTATACAACAGAAGCACAGTAAACCTTCTAAACATGAGATACATGTAAAATATAAACTACATCAAATATATTATCATTGTGCTGAACGTATCATGAAAATTGTGTCCTAGCTTTCATCCATCTGTCTGATTTCCATTTCAACGTTTAACCTTTTTTTGTTTTCATTTTCTCATCATCTTTCAGTCATCATCCTTACAAGGTTGGTGCAGGTTGGGTTTATAGTTATTTGTAAATAAATCTGCTCCAAAAGTTATAGTTTGTTCACTCATCCTTCAAATGTTGGTTAGATTCTTTAAATGTGGTAGAGTGCATCTCTATATGCATCCTTGCAAGTTTCATTGACATAGGCTTTACAGATACTTGGAAATAAACCTGCTGTAAAAACAGTGACCTGTTCACTCGTCAAGAAAACAAGATGTGTTTGTGAAACACTGATGCCCCCGTATGGCAACTTATAGCAAAGGTTAAACTTTTTCAAATGCAAGTCAAATATGTTGGTACCCAAAGTAAGGTCTTCTCTCGAGGAATATACCTGTGAAATATGAAAGCCCTAGCAGCCAACCATTGAATAGATATGGAAAAGGTTAAAGTTTTTCAAAAGTAGGTCAAACATCAAGGTCAAGGTCAAATAGTCAAAATTAATGGTGCCTAAGGAAAGGCCTTCTCACAAGAAATATACAGGTAAAATATGAAAGCTGAAGCACCAATCGTTCAAAAGTTATAACCAAGATTAAAGTTTTTCAAAAGTAAGTCAAACTCCAAGGTCAAGGTCAATGGATTACAATAGAAGATCTTGTCACAAGGAAAAACACGTTAAATATGAAAGCTCAAACAACAACTTTTCAAAAGTTATGGCCAATGTTAAAGTTTTTCAAAAGGAGGTCAAACTCCAAGGTCAAGATCAAAGGGTCAAATTTGGTTGAATCCAAAGGAAGGTCTTGTCACAACCATTACATATGTGAAGTATGAAAGACCTAGCACCAACTGTTCATAAGTTATGGCTTAGGATAATTTTTTTCAAAAGTAGGTTAAACTCAAAGGTCAAGGTCAAAAGGTCAGAGTTGTTGTAATCCAATGGAAGGTCTTGTCACAAGGATTATATATTTTAAGTATGAAAGCTTTAGCACCAACCGTTCAATAGTTATGGCCAATGTTAAAGTTTTTCAAAAGTAGGTCAAACTCCAAGGTCAAGGTCAAAAGGTCAAAGTTGCTGGTATCCAAAGGAAGGTCTTGTCACACAGGATTACACATGTGAAGTATGAAAGCCCTAGCACTAATTGTTCAAAAGTTATAGGCAAGTTTAAAGTTGGGAAAAATTTTGCAAAACTGGGTCAAACTCTAAGGTCAAAGTCAAAAGGTCAAATATGGTGGTACCCAAAGAAAGGTCTTGTCACAAGGAATACAAATGTGAAAGATGAAAGCCATAGCTCCAACCAATCAAAAGTTATGGGCAATGTTAAAGTTTTTGCGGACAGAAAGACAGACGGACGGACAGGGCAAAAACTATATATTCCCGAATCTTCGATACGGGGGCATAACAAAGGTCAAATCCAACATTCAAAGCATGGCTGGTAGTGTTCATACCTAAATGCATCATCCATCAAGTTTGGTCCGGGTAGGGCACAGACCTATTAACTATCCTGAAAATGTAGGTCAGAACCAACATCCGAAGAATTTCTAGTAGTGTGCATCATCCATGCAAGTTTGGTCTATATTGAGCATATACTAATTGGTAATGGACCTGTCCTAAATACTTCAACCTGTTCACTCATCCAGAAAATGCATGTCAGATCTAGTATCCACAGCAAGTCTGATAGTGTGCATCCCTAGGTGCATCATCCCTGCAAGTTTTGTCAAGGTAGGGCTTAAAATTACTTTGGAATGGACCTGCTCCAAAAACATTAACCTGGTCACTCATCCAGAAAATATATGTCAGATCCGGCATCTGAAGCATGTCTGGTAGTGTGCATCCTTAGATACATCATCTCTGCAAGTTTTGACAAGATAGGGCTTAAAGTTACTTTGGAATGGACCTGCTCCAAAAACTTCAACCTGGTCACTCATCCAGAAAATTGTGTCATATCCAGCATGTCTGGTAGTGTGCATCCCTAGATGCATCATCCATGCAAGTTTGGTCAAGGTAAGGTTTATAGATACTTTGGATCGATTTGCTCCCAAAACTTTAACCAGAACACTGAGGCCAGAGCCAGGGTATAGCATGAGCTCATCACAACTTCATGGAGGTAAGCAAAAAAAATTGATATAAGCATTACCATAAAATCTGGTGGACTTTTCAGAGTTGGTCAGAGATAGATTGTTGTAAGATGGTGGCTGTTTCTCCACCAAGGACATCAGAGCTTCATCAGGAACCTGAAAGAATTTGGTAACATCTCAGTAAAAAGTATAACTGTTCTAAAAAATATCAACAATATCCTTTCTTGTAATTGTGACCCACCTTGTAGTGACTAAGTGTGTTCAGGCGTTTGTACTCTCCCTCCACACGTGTTGTGGAATCATCGTCCTGTAGGATCAGCCGCCCTCCTTTGTTCATGTTAGCCCACTCTGTGGTATGAGCAGATTTATCATACAAAACTGGAACCAATAACAGAATGTTAACCCACTCTCACTGATAGAGCACCTGCTTGGATGATGGATGATGGCGATGATGACATGTTAAATGAGGACGATGATAACACAGATGACAATTAGATGGACAGCCAAACCACACAGGAGTAAAAAACTAAGGTATCTTTATCACTCAGTCATCAACATTTAAGACATCTACATTTAAGGCAACTTGAAGCTAAATGTTACTATTTCTAAAAAACTACTAAGCATTAACAGAAACTCACTAATAGAGCTCTAAATCAATCTAAAGAGCTTTCAGATAAACTTGACTACTAAATGAGTGTTAATTAACACAAAAGGCCCAAGGGCCTTAACGGTCACCTGAGTATGATACAACAATTTCAAGGATGCATAGAGTATAAAATGAACTGAAAGGTGAAGCTTTGTTGCCCAAAAGCAAGAAAAATAGGGTGACCATGATCAAAAAATAATTGGTCTTAATATTCATTAACAGTTCATAAATTAGGTTCTAATCTGTTCCCCATTTATCACTATCACTATACAGTATATTAACAAATTATCAATGCTTCTGTACTATTTTAATCCTTTGTTGAAATCTCTTACATTGACATCTCTTGGTCTTTGATGAATATTTAATAAGAGAAGTTATTTTTGTCTCATTTTTATTTATCTACTACTTACAAGTCTATCTGATCATTAAAACTATGAAAGTACTTTTTGTATTATACAATAAAAGTTCTTGCATAATTCTCTTATTCTATTTACCTTTCAAGTACATTATTTACAGTGATAAATTATCAAAAGTAAATGGCAAAGGGGAATAACTCCTCTCAGTAGAATACAAACTAATAGAGCCCTGGCCAGGACCAGAACACTTGACCAAATGGTCCAGATGTTCAAAAATCTGGTAAAAATTCCCTTCCTTATAAAAACTTTTACTCTGTTTGCCTCAGATATGCCCAGGTGTGGAGAAGATTTTTAAATAAATAATGCATTTTTACTACAGATTCACTATATTATCAATAGAGCCCCCAACCCCCCAACCCCAAAACGCCAGAGCTTCTGACCCTGGGACCCTATGTTTGCTCATCATCACTTTGTTTATCTGCTTAACACTAAGGAGCAAACAGGATTATTTAATAGAATTAATGCATTTTCACTAAATTATCAAGAGCCCTACCCTCACACCAGCACATCTGACCCAGGGGTCATGAAATTCACTACTCTGGAAGAAGCACACTTGCTCATCATAACTAAACACTTAGCTTCTTTGCTTTTCTAACCAGAAGAAGAAAAGAATATTTTCAAAGAAATTTTGCTTTTTCACTTTATAATCAATAGAGCCCCCCCCCCCCCCTTCACCAGAACCCTTAAACCTGGGGTCATAAAATTCACAATTTTGGAAGAGGCATCCTTGTGTATCATAACAATGTACTTTAGTCTGTTTAAGCAATACCCAGTGGCAGAGAAGAAGATTTTCAAAGAAATAATTCACCTTCACTATAGGATCTATATAGCCCCGCCCTAGCACCAGAACTCCTGTCCCCGGGGTCATGAATTTCACAATTTTGGAAGAGGCATCCTTGCTTATCATAACAATGTACTTAGTTTGTTTAAATAATACCCAGGTGCAGAGAAAAAGATTTTTAAAGAATTAAAACATTTTCACTTTATAATCAATAGAGCCCCGCCCTAACACCAGAACCCCTGATCCAGGGGCCATGAATTTCACAATTTTGAAAGAGGCATCCTTGATTATCATAACTATGTATTTAATGTGTTTTAGTAATACCCAGGAGTAGAGAAGAAGATTTTCAAAGAATTAATGCATTTTCACTATATAATCAATAGAGCCCCGCCCTAACACCACAACCCCTGACCCAGGGGCCATGAAATTCACAATTTTGGAAGAGGCACTCTTGCTCATCATAACTATGTACTTAGTTAGTTTATTTAATTCCCAGGAGCAGAGAAGAAGATTTTCAATGAATTAATGCATTTTCACTATATAATCAATAGAGCCCCACCCTAACTCCAGAACCCCTGCCCCTGGGGCCATGAATTTCTCAATTTTGGAAGAGGCACTCTTACTCATTATAACTATATACTTAGTTAGTTTATTTAATACCCAGGAGCAGAGAAGAAGATTTTCAATGAATTAATGCATTTTCACTATATAATCAATAGAGCCCCGCCTTAACACCAGAACCCCTGCCCCTGGGGCCATGAATTTCACAATTTTTGAAGAGTCACTCTTACTCATCATAACTATATTCTTAGTTAGTTTATTTAATCCCCAGGAGCAGAGAAGAAGATTTTCAAAGAAATAATGCACTTTCACTATATGATCTATATAGCCCCGCCCTAGCACCAGAACCCCTGACCCTGGGGCCATGAATTTCACAATTTTGGTAGAGGACTCAATGCTTATTACAATGATGCCAACAGTTTGACTGCTTAATGTCCAGGAGTAAAGAAGAAGATTTTTAAAGATTGCATTAATTTTGGTGGTTTTAGCCCCACCCCTCAGGCCCCAGGGGGGCAGGGACCATGAAATTCACAATTTTTGTTCCCCTTCACCCATAGATGCTATATGCCAAATTTAGTTGAAATTGGTTGAGCGGTTTCAGAGAAGAAGCTAAAAATGTTCAAATGTTAACGCACATCGCACGACGCACGTCGACGGACAAAAACGGATAGCAATAGGTCACCTGAGTGACTCAGGTGACCTAAAAATACAGTCAACCATTACACAATACACAGGAATTCAAAATAATGTCACCATACATATTTTGTCTTTTTTGTCTATATCAAACGTGCAAAACAAAAGAATGAAATATTTTTTAATTTCTAATCTCAAATGTACTTTATTTGAAGTTGTGATGCTTGCATATTAACATACCTTGTTCTTGAGAAAATCAGATCATTTTTCTACTGGTCATTAAAAATTTATAAATTTACCCATTTTTTTAAACAATTTTTTTTAATTGAAAAACTCTAAGTTGCAAATACATGTATGTCTGCTCACTTTTCAATAAGGAAAAAATGAACCTATATTCCAGTCAAAATATACAGGTTTAAATCACTGAGTAATGTTAGTAATCAAACAATATCATCGCCCCTATTTGACAGTGCTGCATACCCTCTGTATTATTTACATTATGAAAGTCAAATTTCATTATCCTCCAAGCATGATGTCTACACTCTTACACTCATATTCCTATTCATCTTGACTGTCAATATCCATCATTAAAGCCTTGACTGTCAGTGTCTATATCTATCAATAAAGCCTTGACTGTCTGTCAGTGTCTATATCTATCAATAAAGCCTTGACTGTCTGACAGAGTCTATATCTATCAATAAAGACTTGACTGCAGTGTCTATATCTATCAATAAAGCCTTGACTGTCTGTCAGTGTCTATATCTATCAATAAAGCCTGGACTGTCAATGTCTATATCTATCAATAAAGCCTGGACTGTCAATGTCTATATCTATCAATAAAGCCTTGACTGTCAGTGTCTATCTATCAATAAAGCCTTGACTGTCAGTGTCTATATCTAACAATCAAGCCTGGACTGTCAATGTCTATATCTATCAATAAAGCCTTGACTGTCAGTGTCTATATCTATCAATAAAGCATTGACTGTCAGTGTATATATCTATCAATCAAAACTGGACTGTCAATGTCTATATCTATCAATAAAGCCTTGACTGTCTCTCAGTGTATATATCTATCGATAAGCCATGACTGTCAGTGTCTATATCTATCGATAAGCCATGACTGTCAGAGTCTATATCTATCAATAAAGCCTTGATTGTCGATGTCTATATCTATCAATTAAGCCTTGACTGTCTGTCAATGTCTATATCTATCAATAAAGCCTTGACTGTCTGTGTCTATATCTATCAATAAAGCCTTGACTGTCTGTCAATGTCTATATCTATCAATAAAGCCTTGATTGTCTGTCAGTGTCTATATCTATCAAGAAAGCCTTGACTGTCAGTGTCTATATCTATCAATAAAGCCTTGATTCTCAGTGTCTATCAAGAAAGCCTTGACTGTCAGCATCTATATCTATCAATAAAGCCTTGACTGTCGGTGTCTATATCCATCAAAAAAGCCTTGATTCTCAGTGTCTATCAAGAAAGCCTTGACTGTCTGTCAGTGTCCATATTTATCAATAAAGCCTTGACTGTCTGTCAGTGTCTATATCTATCAATAAAGCCTTGACTGTCAGTGTCTATATCTATCAATGAAGCCTTGACTGTCAGTGTCTATATCTAACAGATCTTAATCTTGTCAACATGATAAGGAACTGGTTTGTGACAACAATTTTCTATAACTGAAAGGTTTCTTGCACACATGTAAGAGTTGGTTTACAGTACATTTTAAATGGCTATTACACTGTTTTGAGAATGAAATGATAAGCCAGTTTTTGCTATTGAGAATTTGCCTTTAATTGTACTACCTAAGTCCACGTCCTCTTTGACTGGTCGGCTGCTGTAGGGAACATGTTTATACAGTACATCCAGGATCTTCTCCTTCACCTGTGTTATGGTGTCACAATCCAGAACACGGACTGGAATCGGGGAGGCAAACTCATGCAGGTCTGTTACAAAGATCTCCTGCAACATAACATATTTAATCTAAAGAATGTAACCATTTAAAGCATTACCTGTCAGAGAGATGATAGTATCACTTACCATTTGTCTGTAATCCAATTGTTGGCGAATTAATTTATCCTCACTCAATGAGAACCTTGCCTCACTGGTAACCATGTCGACTGGTCCCTTAGATACTTGTTTTTTCATGGCTTGATATAGTAAAAACAAAGGCTCTCCGGCACAATCCTGCAATTAAACTTGCTTGTCAACATTTTTCTCTACATATGCCACCACAGTATAAGTGTTATATTATTTTCTGTTGTATATTCTCAGCAAATAAACAAACATTTATTCAATTCTACCTTCAAGAATTTGTACAATAGGAAGGTGAACCAGTTAGTCAGCATCTTCTCAGCCACCGATTCTGTCCTGTAATTACAGCAGTATATTAATGATACACTGATTCTGTCCTGTAATTAGAGCAGTATATAAATGATAAACTGATTCTGTCCTGTAATTACAGCGGTATATAAATGATACACCGAAGCTGTCCTGTAATTACAGTGGTATATAAATGACACATTGATTCTGTCCTGTAATTACAGCGGTATATAAATGATACACCTATTCTGTCCTGTAATTACAGCAGTATATAAATGATACACAGATTCTGTCCTGTAATTACAGCAGTATATTAATGATACACTGATTCTGTCCTGTAATTACAGCAGTATATAAATGATAAACTGATTCTGTCCTGTAATTACAGCAGTATATAAATGATACACCGAAGCTGTCCTGTAATTACAGTGGTATATAAATGATAAACTGATTCTGTCCTGTAATTACAGCGGTATATAAATGATACACTGATTCTGTCCTGTAATTACAGCTGTATATAAATGATACAGTGATTCTGTCCAGTAATTACAGCTGTATATAAATGATACAGTGATTCTGTCCTGTAATTACAGCAGTATATAAATGATACACTGATTCTGTCCTGTAATTACAGCAGTATATAATGATACACCGATTCTTTCCTTTAATTACAGCAGTATACAAATGATACACCGATTCTGTCCTTTAATTACAGCAGTATATAAATGATAAACTGATTCTGTCCTGTAATTGATACACTGATTCTGTCCTGTAATTACAGCAGTATCTAAATGGTGGACAGACACCTTGGCCCAATGACACCTCGGCCCGTCACGGTTGACACCTAAGTCCTGACAGGTCGGCCCAAAATTATTGACACCTCGGCCCAAGGATTTTTTTTATTTTCAGAATTATTATCTGTATTCACTATGGTAATATAAATGTATGTATGTATAGACACCTCGGCCCAAGGATTTTTTTTTATTTTCAGAATTATTATCTGTATTCACTATGGTAATATAAATTCATGTATGTATAATGACAGTATGTAAACGATAAAGAGGAGCAGAAAATTTCAGAATTTTTGAACGAACGACAGCATAGATGTCAGTGAGTATCTATTGATTGGGAGGTAGGAGGTCTATTTATTTATTCATTTTGTTGCTTATTACAATGCAACTTTATTCATTTCATGATGTTAAGAATTCTATTTTTGGTTAGGATATGTTAAAAATTGCATGTAATCTAACATTTATTTTTACTTAAAAATTTTCTTGAGGTCTTTAAAAAACTAACTGGTTTTCAATTTTTTTTTTTTTTTATATTTCATTAAACTAATCCCTATACATGCATTTATAAATTTTAAAATATGATTAAAAGAATTTAAAACGAAATCTGTATTAGTTGTTGACATATGTATTTCAATCAAAAATATCAAGCACCCAATGATGGACCTAAGTTCACTTGATTGACGGGGGTACACAGACCAGGTAAATCTGAAGGCGGTGTTTACTATCTGGAGCTTTAATCCTGCTCGTAATTAACTCCTCATTGTCACCACCCCATATGACTCTAAAGGATGCACCGCATCTTCTTGTTTGTTTAACGATTAGCACTTTGAAATGGATTGTCTTTTTTTAATTACCGTCAATTTACTCTCGGAAGATTATTCATTTATTTTCTTTCTCGCTTCATGGATATATAACAATATAATCTGTCGCATAATCCTGGTATAGTCCTTATCATAATAAAATACTTCAGAATATAGTGAATAAATATATTCAAAATAATACATTTTTGTTTGTGCCGAGGTGTCTTTTATGTGAGCCGAGGTGTCTCAAATCTTGGGCCGACCCGTCGGGGCCGAGGTGTCAATGGGCTGAGATGTCGTTGGGCCGAGGTGTCGTTTGGCCGAGGTGTCTGACATTCATATAAATGATACAGTGATTCCGTCCTGTAATTACAGCAGTATATAAATGATACAGTGATTCTGTCCAGTAATTACAGCTGTATATAAATGATACAGTGATTCTGTCCTGTAATTACAGCAGTATATAAATGATACACTGATTCTGTCCAGTATTTACAGCTGTATATAAATGATACAGTGATTCTGTCCTGTAATTACAGCAGTATATAAATGATACACTGATTCTGTCCAGTATTTACAGCTGTATATAAATGATACAGTGATTCTGTCCTGTAATTACAGCAGTATATAAATGATACACTGATTCTGTCCAGTAATTACAGCTGTATATAAATGATACAGTTAACAAAACCAGCGGTAAGTTCCAGTTTGGTGTTAACTGGCGTACAGAAGGGTGTTTATTAAATAAGCCTTTCAACAATGATGAAAGTTCTGAACTTGTTCCAATACTGCTTCCATTCTGATGAACTATTGCTATTGCTGATTTATAACCAGCTATAGTCCGTGGTTTACACTTTCTCACCTTGAAAAGGTAGATAAAAAATTCTGCTAACTCTGGTACAGATGTTGTAATGGGATTGACACCATGTTCTTTACACCAACTGTTATATATTCTGAGTTTTGCATCATAAACTGTTTGTGTAGATGTCTTTCTGGCATTTGCCATAATTTCTGCAATTTCTTCAGAAAATCCTCTTGACTTGTGTTGCAATTTGACAGTTTCCATGCTACAAGATTGAGAGTTTCTAGGTTTTGATGAAAATTCTGATTGTGATTTTGAGACAGAAGATCTGGCCACAGTGGTAACTTGACTGGTACATCGATCAAAAGATCTATTAACTGAGGGTACCAAGACTGCCTGGGCCACATTGGAGCAATGAGTAGTACAACACTTGCCTCTTCCCGTATCTTCTGTAAGACTTTGGGCACAAGAATTGGTGGTGGAAATGCATAAGCATACATCCCTTTCCAACTGGTTGCTAGTGCATCTACTTGAAGAGCATTAATGTCTGGAAATGGGGAGCAATAGACTGGCAGCTTCTTGTTTTGCGCAGTTGCAAACAAATCTATACATGGGGTTCCCATCTGTTGAAACAACAATTTTACAACAGTGTTGTTGAGCGACCATTCCGTCATTCGTACTATTTTTCCCCGGGAAAGTGCATCTGCAAGAAAATTCTTTTTCCCTGGAATGTGAACAGCTCGTATTGTAATTTTGTACTGAATGCACCACTGGAACAACTCCCAAGTTAGATAACACAGTTCTGGTGAATGTGTCCCCCCTTGCTTGTTGATATAACTTATCACTGTTGTGTTGTCTGACCGTATAAGGATCACTTTCCCTTTTATTAAAAATAAGGCTTCTTGAAGAGCTAATTGTACAGCCTTTAACTCTAGCCAATTTATGTGTTTCTGTTGATATTGCTGGGACCAGACCCCTGATGTCTCCCAGTTCTCCAGATGTGCTCCCCAACCCTGTTCTGACGCATCTGTTATCAAAGTCAGTTGACTTGGCGGATCTTGCAAAGGCATTCCTTTGAAAAAATTTTCCCGATTCATCCACCACTGAAGGTGCTGAATTAAGATTGGACGAATCACTATCCCATGAGTAAGAGGGTGAATCTTTGGTCTCCACATTGCTAACAGGTATAACTGTATAGGACGCATGTGTAACCTTCCCATCGGAACAAGATAAATGCATGAAGCCATCAGTCCTAACAATTTGAGAATTACTACCGCTTGAGTGTGCTGACTTATTGATAAAGTCTGCACCATGTCCAGAATACTCTGAAACCTGGATTCTGTGGGTGTTGTGATGCCCTCTACCAGATTGAAATGTGCTCCTAGATACTCTATATGTTGGGATGGCACTAGAGACGACTTTTTCCAATTTACTAATAATCCCAGTTCCTGAACTAGATGTAAGACATAGTCTCTCTGGTGAAGAAGAGTTGTCTTGTCTGAATTGATCATCAACCAATCGTCTAGGTACATAAATATTTGCATTACCATTTTTCTTAAATGTGCTGCAAGAACTGCCATTACTTTTGTGAAGACCCTTGGAGCTGAACGAAGTCCAAAGGGCATTGCTCGAAACTGGTAACTCTGGTCTAGAAATTTGAATCGTAGAAATTTCTGGAAATCTGTGTGAATTGGAATGTGAAAATAGGCATCGGTCAAATCCAGTGAGATTGCAAAGTCCCCTTTTTTCATTGCTTTCATTATAGAACATAGCGTCTCCATTTTGAAATGTCGAGGCACTATTAACTGATTTAGAGGTTTCAGATTTAGAATTGTCCGAAGCCCTCCTTGTTTCTTTGACACCACAAAAATGGTGCTGTAAAACCCTTCGTTTTCTTGAGTGACAGGTACAGGTTCTATAACATCTTTTTCTAACAACATGCTTATTTCTGTTAAAATAACTGATTCGTGAATACCACATCTTGGTACACACGTTTCCTTGATCTTTACATGGGGTTGAATCATAAACTCCAATTTTAACCCTTCCCTTAGGGTTTCTAATACCCATTGATCCTGAGTGATTGAAGTCCACTTCCTGTGGAATGCTAACAAACGTGCCCCTACCTGGGGAAGCATATTTACAGACTGTTTGTTTACAAGATTCACTTCCTTGGAGTTGGAAATCCTTTCTGGCCCCCAAAGGTTCTCCTGGAAAAAGAATTCTTCCTGTTTCCCTGTCCTGCACGAAAATTGTCCTTGCCCTGATCAGAACTCAAGGTAATACTTGTCTCATTTGATTTAGCCACTTTAGCAGAAAGAGCAGAGGTCTCAGTTACATCTGCTTTCCTCTTCCTACTGAACTCGGTGGAGTTCCTACTATCTCTACTCTTGAAGTTCTTATTATACCCCTTTGATGTGTTGTAAACATTTTGGGTTTCTCTTGCATCTCGTAGATTCTCTGCAGACGTATGGAGAGATTCAAAATATTGTCCATTAAACAACTGGTTGCCAAAAATAGGGAGTTTCAGCAATTTTTTCTCTGTTGCCTTGCTAATAAAGTCTACATTTTTAAGAAAAACTTTTCTTCTACTCAAGACTGAATTTGCCATTACTCTTGCTGTCAAATCGGCCATACTTCTGAAACAGTTGATGAGAGCTTTACGTCCTTCCACTCGATCATCCTCACATTCAGCCTCATCTAAAAATGCTGTTATCATAGTACCATAAGAAATGGCCCTGAATAAGGCTCTTGCTGAATTGTCAATCCGCCGAAAGTCATTGTCTAACTCCTTATGAAAAGGAGAGAGATTAACTTTTGATTTTCCAAAACTACCTTTCTGGCCTACTACTAACCCCTCCTCAATATTGTCATCTAATTTTGGAGGATTACAAAAGGCGTCAAAGTCATCTTTTTTTCACCATAAATGCTTTATCATCTCTGCCACGTACTGACCTATTTTTCAAATGCCCCGAGGTAGCTTCTTTTTCAACTGTTTTAATCATATCAATGAGTGTTCCTTCAATAGGCATTTTGAGGAGAGACTTTTTCTTGTCATTCTTATCTCCTTTCAATCGAGAAGAAATAAATGATTTTCTCTCATTTTCCAATGGATCCTCAGCTTCAATATCAATATTGAGAACCTTTGCCATCTTAGAAACAAAACAGTTCCACTGCAGAGGATCTGAAGAATCTGGTGCACCAAAAGGCACCTCTACTGGCGCATCTGAATTGGTATACAACCCTGCGATAGATGCATTTGAACCTATATCCTCAAAATCATTGTCTTGTGCATTAACAGACAAAACATCAGCAACACTGGACTCAAAGGACGACATTTGTTCATCATAAGACTTAAACTTGTCAAAATGAGGTCTGCCTATGGCTGCCGTTTTGGAATTGGTGCTCTCATTTCCTCTGGTCAACCTTACCTCGCCTACTGATACTGAGTTGGAAATCCTTTCTGGCCCCCAAAGGTTCTCCTGGAAAAAGAATTCTTCCTGTTTCCCTGTCCTGCACGAAAATTGTCCTTGCCCTGATCAGAACTCAAGGTAATACTTGTCTCATTTGATTTAGCCACTTTAGCAGAAAGAGCAGAGGTCTCAGTTACATCTGCTTTCCTCTTCCTACTGAACTCGGTGGAGTTCCTACTATCTCTACTCTTGAAGTTCTTATTATACCCCTTTGATGTGTTGTAAACATTTTGGGTTTCTCTTGCATCTCGTAGATTCTCTGCAGACGTATGGAGAGATTCAAAATATTGTCCATTAAACAACTGGTTGCCAAAAATAGGGAGTTTCAGCAATTTTTTCTCTGTTGCCTTGCTAATAAAGTCTACATTTTTAAGAAAAACTTTTCTTCTACTCAAGACTGAATTTGCCATTACTCTTGCTGTCAAATCGGCCATACTTCTGAAACAGTTGATGAGAGCTTTACGTCCTTCCACTCGATCATCCTCACATTCAGCCTCATCTAAAAATGCTGCTATCATAGTACCATAAGAAATGGCCCTGAATAAGGCTCTTGCTGAATTGTCAATCCGCCGAAAGTCATTGTCTAACTCCTTATGAAAAGGAGAGAGATTAACTTTTGATTTTCCAAAACTACCTTTCTGGCCTACTACTAACCCCTCCTCAATATTGTCATCTAATTTTGGAGGATTACAAAAGGCGTCAAAGTCATCTTTTTTTCACCATAAATGCTTTATCATCTCTGCCACGTACTGACCTATTTTTCAAATGCCCCGAGGTAGCTTCTTTTTCAACTGTTTTAATCATATCAATGAGTGTTCCTTCAATAGGCATTTTGAGGAGAGACTTTTTCTTGTCATTCTTATCTCCTTTCAATCGAGAAGAAATAAATGATTTTCTCTCATTTTCCAATGGATCCTCAGCTTCAATATCAATATTGAGAACCTTTGCCATCTTAGAAACAAAACAGTTCCACTGCAGAGGATCTGAAGAATCTGGTGCACCAAAAGGCACCTCTACTGGCGCATCTGAATTGGTATACAACCCTGCGATAGATGCATTTGAACCTATATCCTCAAAATCATTGTCTTGTGCATTAACAGACAAAACATCAGCAACACTGGACTCAAAGGACGACATTTGTTCATCATAAGACTTAAACTTGTCAAAATGAGGTCTGCCTATGGCTGCCGTTTTGGAATTGGTGCTCTCATTTCCTCTGGTCAACCTTACCTCGCCTACTGATACGTTCTGTTGATCATAAAAATTTTCATCAACATCCTTATGTTTAAGTAGCAATTCAACCTGCTGTCTTACTTGGTCTTGAATAATTGCTGATAAATCAACAACCTCTGATCCACATTTAATACGGTCGCCATTGTTGTTCGACTCGTGGACTGCCGCCTCCACAGACGGACTTGCGTCCTGCCCTGCCATACCGTCTCCACAGACGGATTGAGGCACCTTACTGTTCATTTTAATAGTCTTCTGTACGCTTTCTCAATCATTTTAGTTACTTTATCCCGCCGTTCCTTTGACCATGTTTTACATGTGTCACATGGAAAGGCCTCGTTGCAGAGACGATCTTTGTAACAAAAAACGTGATCGTCTAATATGTTCATCTTACCCGAACATTTAGAGCAGTCCTTAAACTCATTCTCCATTTTTAGAACGCGATACACACTTCCAAAAACGCCAATATAAACTTTTATTTGCACTGTATGAGGAAAACCGCATGTCCAATATGGCGTCGAGAGAAAACTGAAGAGTTATAGCTAAGGGGGATAACTGGAGGTAATACCGTAGTGACTCTAAAAATTTATCGTCGCATTGTATGGGGAACTAGAGGGAAATTGCAAATAGTTAAGGAGGCAGGTAAGTGGAAATATTGAAATGAACACGGATTTTACCCCCAAAAATCCAATTCTGTCCTGTAATTACAGCAGTATATAAATGATACACTGATTCTGTCCAGTATTTACAGCTGTATATAAATGATACAGTGATTCTGTCCTGTAATTACAGCAGTATATAAATGATACACTGATTCTGTCCAGTATTTACAGCTGTATATAAATGATACAGTGATTCTGTCCTGTAATTACAGCTGTATACAAATGATACACTGTTTCTGTCCTGTAATTACAGCAGTATATAAATGATACACCTATTCTGTCCTGTAATTACAGCAGTATATAAATGATGCACTGATTCTGTCCAGTAATTACAGAGTATATAAATGATGCACTGATTCTGTCCAGTATTTACAGCTGTATATAAATGATAAACTGATTCTGTCCTGTAATTACAGCAGTATATAAATGATACAGTGATTCTGTCCAGTAATTACAGCAGTATATAAATGATACACTGATTCTGTCCAGTAATTACAGCAGTATATAAATGATACAGTGATTCTGTCCAGTAATTACAGCTTTATACAAATGATACACTGTTTCTGTCCTGTAATTACAGCAGTATATAAATGATACACCTATTCTGTCCTGTAATTACAGCAGTATATAAATGATGCACTGATTCTGTCCTGTAATTACAGCAGAATATAAATGATACAGTGATTCTGTCCAGTATTTACAGCTGTATATAAATGATACAGTGATTCTGTCCTGTAATTACAGCAGTATATAAATGATGCACTGATTCTGTCCAGTAATTACAGCAGTATATAAATGATGCACTGATTCTGTCCAGTATTTACAGCTGAATATAAATGATAAACTGATTCTGTCCTGTAATTACAGCAGTATATAAATGATACAGTGATTCTGTCCTGTAATTACAGCAGTATATAAATGATACAGTGATTCTGTCCAGTATTTACAGCTGTATATAAATGATAAACTGATTCTGTCTTGTAATTACAGCGGTTTATAAATGATAAACTGATTCTGTCCAGTAATTACAACAGTATAAAAATGATACACTGATTCTGTCCTGTAATTACAGCAGTATATTAAAAAAAAAAGTTTTTAAAATTTGACAAAAATGCTGTGTTTCTGTTTGTTCAATAGGTGCTTAAGAGACAATGATTTAAATGTTGACAACATATTTATTAAGCTATATAAAATCTACTCTCTCTCCCTCTTTGCTTAACACCTTGTGGAAGTATCAGTAAATTGGGTAGATAAGGAACTACAATATTTACATCCTGGCTTACCTTTTAGTAAAGAAATACATTTATTCATATTTTCAAGTGTTTTTCGAATCACCTACATGTATATGTAATGTATCTTACACTTCATTCACATAAAACAAACACTGTCCTCCAAATGCTACACAACTTATGTTTGATGTCTAAAAACCAAGGTCAATACAACAAAAATCAGCAATAACTGAAGTGTCATGTTTAGATATAAACATGTAGGTAACAGTTTCTAACCTTCGTAACAACAGCTTGGGGTGATTTTTGCCATCCACAGACTTCTCTATCAGTTCTGCTAATAAGGTTTTAAGGATACTGAAAAAAAGAAACAGTACAGACTGTGAGATGTTGTTTATTACAATCTTTCATGACTGCTTACTAATAATCTCTGCTCCAGAAGGAAGCTTGATTTTTTACCTGTGGTTCCTGGAAACAAAGTAGTTTTCTTCTTACATATAGTACACTTCTTACAACCCTATGCATTTGATATTATAATTATTTTCATTGTGTATTACAAAGTGTTTCTATTTAAAACATTGTACACATTCATTTATAATGAATAAAACACAAGCCAACATTAAATACCTTTCACATGTAAAAAAAAATCTAGAATTTTTTCCTCTGAATAAACTGCAGTTTTTCTATATTATATATAGAAATGAGATATTAAAATTAAATATTATGAAAAGAACGTGTTTAGTACATGGCTGAATTTTAAATATTAGACAAAATTTATTAATTTTACAAAAATAAGAAAATATCATTTATAATTTTGTATTTAATAAATTTTCAAGTTAATTGTATTCTTTTATAGTGTATCTATACTACTATATTAAAATAATAGACTCGAATTTTTGGCCTTTAATACCGATAAATCGGAAGAGTACTGTCTTTTGTTTGATATATTTTAAACATAATTGGTACTTGAAGATTACCAATTTGTTTTTATTTTTTCTCAATTAAGCTTCGCTAATTAATAATCAATGAAAATTCCTCAAAAAATTCCGGAAATCATCTGGATTTTTTTGATTTTACAATCTTGCGCGTGCGCATTACATTCACGCTAAAACAATCTCCCTTGCAGAGTTGTTGTTCGTTTCTCTCTCATACACGAATGTATGAGCCGTTGGTGGAGAGTGTGTTCAAATCAGAGAAGACAAAAGTAAATACTAAGTAGATATATATTTGTTATTGTATAATTTCTATAATAAGAAATCAGTAATATATATGAACAGAATATATAGCAAATTTCCAATGAAAATTTACACGTATTTGTAATAGGGGTCGGAACCGGCGGGGGGGGGGGGGGGGGGCCAAGGGGGGCAACCCCTCCTTTTTTTTTGCAAAGATAGACATAATATAGGCATCGAAAATTGGGGCTTACCTTTTTTCGTTGGTTTAGCCCCCCCCCCAACTTTCAAATAGCCACCCCACTTTCAATTTGCTTCTGACGCCTATGATTGTATTATTGTAATCGTTTCTGAGTTTATATCCATACAAATGTGATATTGTGGCCACGTGGGTAATCATTCGCCATCTCGGAGACACATTTATTATATGTTATTTATATCTCTGACCATCTCAACGGAGGCAAAAAGCTCATGATCGTAGGAGCAACATTAATGTAACTACTCGATTTATTTTATTCGTCATTTCTTTTATGCTTTTTTGAGGGAAACTGAAAGGGGGGGGTGTTACAACTCCAGTTAGAATCACATCTTAGTGAAGTAGGCATTCTTTTTCTGCTAAAAATTACAATAATAACTACTATATAAAAATTATAGACTCGAATTTTTGGCCTTTAATACCGATAAATCGGAAGAATACTGTCTTTTGTTTTATATATTTTAAACATCATTGGTACTTGAAGATTACCAATTTTTTTTTATTTTTTCTCAATTAAGCTTCTATTTTTATTACTTTTTCTATGTACTAATTCAAGGATATTACATAAATTTTTATCAAAACAGACAGTCTTTTACAGACTATATACCTGTTTATTACCATTGTATATATAAAGTATATGTATTAGCCGTGCTTAACTCTTTTATTGTTGAGGTCATATTTTGAACAAGTTGAGACCTGCAGTGTTAAAATTGTTACAAAATTTTTTACACCTTTACTTTAATAACTGATTTTCTAAAAATACCAGCTTAGCACATTTCTTCATTTCATTTCTTCGCTTGATATGTATCAGCAGTGTGCTCAACTCTTTGCTGTTGTCATATTTTCAATGAACATCCATAATTTCTTTTATTAAATTTGTTTTGAAGGGTGAAATTTATGTAAGCTCCGGCGTGATTCGAACTCAAGACTTGATTTATAGCTAACTGGTGGTCAAACCCATTCTGCGCTACGCCGTTACGCAACAATTAAAAAAAAAACAAAACAAAACAAACACCAAAAAAAACAAAAAAAAAACAGAATTATATTCACATTCATTGTTTATTTAAAAAATACTTTACAATATGAATGTGTCAATGTATCTATTTTGTAAATGTCCGATATGCACATGGATGCATTCATAACAATGTCAACCCATGCAAGCACGGGTCAAAGTCTAGTAATTTATTTATTTTAATATTCTTTTAAGGGAGGGTAGGGGATTAGTTTGTAGGATGTCGTTTTTGTACATGTAGGTTGTAGTGTTTTGGTCGGGTGAAATTTCCAGTTTATGAAATCACCAATATTCACTGGACAAAAAATACAAGGTTCAATGAAATACATGACAGAAACAAACAAAAAACTTTTTTATTTTTAACTTGAAAAAAAAAAAGGCTATAAAAATGAGGAGACATTAACAGAAATATTCTTGATGCTTTCTTGAAAACACAAATTAGGTTCAGTAATCACCTATAACTAAAATACAATTTTCTTTTTACAAAACTTTGGCAATAAAAAGCTTGTAAGATGAACCAAACAAATCCATACAAAAGTGAGTACTTTTCAACTGTGAGCTCGTCTTTTAATAAAAACACATTTACTGGGGGTATTCACCTGTAACAATACAAATCCACACAGCTTATTATAATTCTAAGCAGGTCATGCAGGGCTTAATCACCTGTAAATGAAGTCAGTGAACTGATTCAAAATAATACTTTTAGTTAATAACATAAAGCACAAGGTTGTTCAACTAAGGTTTCACTCAGCCTTCACTCATATATGCACATTATATTTTGAACTCAACACTGAAGAAACTTGCACTCATATTTTTCAAAAGCTGTTGAGTGCACCTGATAATAATTTCTTTTGGTATTCACTAAGATTAAGGGACCCCACATTAAGAACACAGTTTTTTTTTTTAAATGTTGACTTGAGTAATAGGGACACAAGTTCATCATATAAATTTAATTCTTGAGGTATTTTATAAAGGTTCAAACAGTGATATGTTTTATTGAGACTTTTTCTTTTTTTAAATGACACAATCCTACTTCCCCATTTCTTAATTACTCCCTTCCCAAAAGTACGATGTCATTCACATGAATAAATTAGAACTATCTTTTATTCGCGATTCATTGGTCTGAAATCAATCCACAATGATTAATTTTCATGACTGAGGAAACCTTCTCTATAAATACAAAGCAAAATAAATGGTTCGCAGCAATTAATATTCGCGAGTTAAAGAAGCTCGTGAAACTCGCGAATATTTCTTGCATGCAAATAAAAGTTGGTTTACAGTATTATGTCTAATCATGATCTGAAGAAAATTTGATATGGTGAATAGAAAGATCAATAATTTTTATCCCAACATAAAATTAAAAATATGAGGTATATATGAAAATAATATTTACTGTCATGCCTATTTAATTCATATTAGAAAACATGATGAAGCGTTGCTTTTTAAATCAGAATATCACATTGTTTTCTGTGCTTGTAAAATAAAAATGCATCCGTCTACAAGAGTTATCTGTCAATCACAGGAGTTACCTGTCTTCAAAATATCTTTCAAGAGAAACAAAATTTTATGAAAAATTCTGCATCTGAAATTATTGTAACAATTAAAAGAAGTATATATTAAGAGATAGAAATATCTCAATTTTAACAGTTTATAGGAACTTAGTATAAATATTTTAGGTAAACTATTATAAGTAATCAATAAAAATTTTGGGAAGTCCAAGAGGCTTTACTCTGTCAAAAATTGCTCAATCGTACCCAAAACAGAACTTGACCTAGATATTCTTATGATAAATCTGTATACCAAATTTCATTTCAGTAAGTGCAACCTCTGCGAAAATGAACGAAAACTGCAATTGAAATTTTTTAAGTCCAAGGGGCATAACTCTGTCAAAAATTGCTCGCTCGTACCCAAATCAGAACCTGACCTAGATATTCTTATGATAAATCTGTATACCAAATTTCATTTCATATGTGCAACCTCTGCGAAGAAAATGAACGGAAACTACTGGTGGGCCGACAGACAACAGCAAAGCAATATGCCTTCCCTTCTTCGAAGGGGGCATAATAATTTGCTTGGAAAGTTATCTCTCTTGTCAGAGGAACATTACACCTTAATGCACAACAAACAAAATGGTAAGCCAGAGGTCACCTGTGTGATCAAGTGAATTTATAAACTCTGTATTGTGCAAAACCCAAATTTTCTATGTACACTTCTCCTTCCATATAAGTCTGTAATGGTTTACATTTAATCCACACACTTACTCTGTTGCATATTCCATTTTTGTCTGCAGGGCAACTGAGATCAGGGAGGCTACATTGACTCTGTCTCGCATTTTGAACTGCTTGTGTCCTTCTAGAGTCCTCACAAAAATCAGCAAAAACGTCTTATTGCTGATCAGCTGAGAAAACAACTTCAGACCTTTCTCTACATTGTCTCGCCTGGAATACTCCACCTAACACAAAACAAATATCTATAACTTGTTATTTCAGTAAAGCTGCGTCTAATTTAGAGGAGACAAAAAAGCCTTATTTTAAAGACTCAACCCCAGATGTTATGTGCAGCATCCTGAGTATGTCTTTACAGAAAATCAAGGACAAGCTCTGTAATTCCATGAAGCTAGACACAATTTACAGCTAATATGTTTAGGAAATATCCCACTATAATATGGCCTATTTGAACATTTGTATCAAAAATGTCCAGGTGACAGTGATTTTTAAACTTCTTAAAACATTACTTCACCATGAATTTTACAATGCATTTTGAAATAAAGTTCATAAACTTAAATGAAACTAGACATCACTGGGATGATGACTATCTCCAATGGCCCCAATTTTAGCAAAGGACATAAAGATAAAAGACCCTTTATTCATGTGCACTCTTTGGGGGAAGTTTGAGCCAGATGGGGCCAATGAGAGAAAAAAGCTTAAGAAAAAAAATTTACAGAGATTTGCTATAACCTTGACCTCTAATGTAAAAACTTGACCCAAAGACACTGCACACCTTCTATTCACAAGCACTCTATGGGTGAAAATTGAACAAATGGGCAAGGGGAGAGAAATATGTTTTTCACTGGGTGAAGTATGAGCCCAAGTGGGCCCAAGAGAAAGACTAGAAATATGTCCATAGGACATGAATGTCCCGCCAAGGGTATATTAGTAATGCAACATGAAAATTTGTATTAGTATATGAAATTTGATGAGAATATCTTGAATAGTTTCTTTAAAATTGAAATCTAAAAAGTTGGATATAGATGATAAATTCTCATCAAATCATGTATAAGTGCATAAGCTTACATAAATACATCTTAAATGGTTTCTTTAAAATTAATCAAAATGCAAATTTAAGAAAAGTGAGGTCAAGGTCACAGGAAAATTCAAGGTCAAACATTTTTGATGCAGTTGAATAGTTCTCACAAATACGTATCAGCATATTAAGTTTGATAAAAATATTTTGAATGGATTATTTAAAACTGAGCTAAACCCTTATTTAAAATAAATGAAGTTAAGGTCAAAGGAGAGGTCAAGGTCAAAAAATGTTGATGCATTTGAAAGGGATACATCAGTATGTATTAGCATTTGAAGTTTGATAAAAATATTATGTATGGTTTCTTTAAAACTGAGTTAAACACAAATTGAGAAAAGTGAGGTCAAGGTCAAAGGAAAGGTCATCAAAAAATATTGATGCACTTGAGTAACTTACATCAGTATGTCTCAGCATATGAAGTTTGACACTAATTTAAGAAAAGTGAGGTCAAGGTCAAAGGAAAGGTCAAAGTCAAAAAAATGTTGATGCAATTGAATAGCTCTCATTAGTATATATCAGCATATGAAGTTTGATAACACTATATTGAATGGTTTCTTTAAAACTGAGCTAAACACTTATTTAAGAAAAGTGAGGTCAAGGTCAAAGGAAAGGTCAGGGTCAAAAATGTTGATGCAGTTGCATATCTCTCATCAATATCTATCAGCATATGAAGTTTGATAAAAATATCTTGGACAGTTTCTTTGAAACTGAGCTTTGAACAGAGCTAAACACAGAGACAGACAGACGGAAGATGGACATGATAAACACTATATGCCCCGGCCATATTCATGGCGGGGTATAAAAATATGCTTTGGACAAGGATATTACACAGAGAGGTTCTTTGACCTTTGATCTAGAAGTCACTGCACACACTCTACCCATGGACACTCTAAGGGTGAAGGTTGAGGTAGTCTGAGCCAAGGGGAGGGAAAATATGCTCCAGACAGACAGACAGAATGATCATCATAGGACACATGAGAGTGGGGCCCTATCTCTGACTTATCAAAGAAAAATAATATATTAAACATTGAAAGAGGGTGGGCTGGGTTCAGAGCATATTTCAGAATGATGAGAGGTTATTGTCTTACCTCCAGATCTTTGATGACAGGGTGATTTGTGTCCCCATCCTGAGGAAACAAAACCCTCATACAGTAGGAACGATAGTCCCAGAAAGGAATAGCATTGTTACCAGACATGTAGTCATTCATCAGCTGATCAATGTCTGTCTGCAGAACCACAAAGGCTGAAATCAGAATTCCTCACTGTATTAGTGTCATTATTGCAAGCATTGGTAAGTTACATGGGAATCCACTAAACATTATCAAGACCATATATTACACATGAATTTATTTTTGAAAACTCAACTGAAGATGGGCATCAGAAACAGGACCTAGTTTTAATAAGAACAAGAGGCCCAAGGGCCTTAACGGTCACCTGGAAGTATAAAACAAAATTAACTGAAAGACGAAGCAATGTTGCCCAAAAATTTCAAACATAGGTAACCAAAGATTACAAAGCTCACCTCGACGAATGTTATCTATAAGTAAGGCAAATCTCGCATCATATTTCTTTCTAGTTAGTGTACATCCCAAGATCAATATCCATGAAAGTTTGGTTTAAGTAGGACTTATAGTTACTTGGAAAAAGACCTCCTCAAAAAACTTTTATTCTGTTTACTAATCAAGTAATTTTGGTCAGTTCCAACATCCAAAGCAAGTCTGGAAGTTTCCATCCTTAGATGCACCATCTATGCAAGTATAATCAAAACAGGCCATAATATAATATAACTACTCAAAAAAAATTACCCTGGTCACTCATCTAGAAAATGAAGGTCAGATTCAGAATACAAAGCAAGTCTGGAAGTGTCCATCCCTAGATACATCATCCATGCTAATTTGGTTAAAATATGGCTAAAATTCACTCATGTGGAAAATCTTGGTCAGATCTTAGCATCCGAAGCAGATTGGTTAGTGTACATCCCTAGATGCATCATCCATTAAAGTTTGGTCCAGGTAGGGCTTATAGTTACTTGCGAATGGACTTGTTCCAAAATCTTAACCTAGTCATTCATCTGGAAAATCTGGCTCAAATCCAGCATCTGAAGCAAGTGTGGTAGTGAACATCCCTGTATGCATCATCAAGTTTAGTCCAGGTAGGGCTTATAGTTACTTGGGAATGGACCTGCTCCAAAAACTTTAACCTGGTCACTCATCTGGAAAATCTAGGTCAGATCCAGCATCCCAAGCAAGTGTGGTAGTGTCCATCCCTAGATGCATCATCCATGCAAGTTTGGTCCAGGTAGGGCTTATAGTTACTTGGGAACTGGGATGCCGACGCCGGGAGTATAGCATAAGCTCATCTCAACTTCATTGAGGTGAGCTAAAAATCTGGTAAAAATACCCTTGCTTATTGTAACATGCTGGACCTGAGTGATCTCCTTTGGATCATACTTGGTTTTCCCAAGTCTTACAGGGATGATAATGAATGCAAAATATACAAATACAAAGTACACTTGCCTACTGTGTAAGGTATTCAATATACAGGTTGGGGGGCAACGTAAATTCCGCTATAATAGTGGTATATCACTATTATAGCGAGATTCCGCTATATTTTCAGCCGTAGTTACCCTCGATTTCATCAAACAACATGCTTGCTGTTTAAAGCGCAAGTCATGGTGGGTATAAAAATGGACAATAATTGATATCTTTACATGTTATGAATTTTATTAAATTTTCTGCCGATGCGTTTAATAATGCGAACACACTTTTGAAAACGGAAGTTACATTTTTAACATAGCAACCAGTGATTGCAGTAGTATTCAAGCATAACTAAGTCTTATTTTCTCTCATACATGTATACAAAGTGTTTCTTGTAATAACTTTCAACCCGGATAAGAAGAAGTATGTCGAATTTGCAGTAGAAATGATGATTTTTGACTGCATGGTTACCGGTATGGAGGCCCGTTGAAGCAAATGGAAAAAGCTCAATGCATGTACACTTATATCACTGATGTATCTAATTTAATTGTTTCTTTTAAATGCAATAAATCGTAAACAATCTGTAAAATGTCACTTCAGCAGGTAATCCCAAATATGATGTTTATATGATATTTGTCTTGGGAATGTTGAACAAAATATTGAAAAAAAATTACTTGTACCTTTTCTTTAATTTCTGCTTGATAACCTTGATGAAAAAAAAACTGTATACAATGACTATAAAGTATATAGTGTGGGGAATATTTGGCATAATTTCTCAGAAGAAATATTTGTGCTATCCAGGTATTGGTTGACCGAGGTCGAATGCCGAGATTACATTGTAACCAATACCTGACCAGGTTTGTATAGTCACAGGTAAACCGGATTTAAAAGGCAATAACCGTTTTATTAAATAATAAGAAATTTTACATTCTTGACACTTCAGTTCTTTTCTCCTACAAATGTAAACAATCATTACATATTGTGTAGTGTAAAAATGTAAAAAACGTATTATAATGATATTTCAACTTCACAACTGATTAACAGTGGAAAACAACATTCTAATAATTAAATACTCGACTTTTTAAATTAAATTTGAGGTGAACTCACTCTAAGGTACACATCAGGAAAGAGAGTCTAAACCAATCAGAGAGGATCAAAATTCCTGATTATTTAATAATATGTTTGATCCACGCAATTATGATGCACAAAAATAAAGATTGGTTATTTATTTTTCATATGAAACACGAAATATGGCCGTAGTTTCAAACAAAAAAAAATATGTTGAGAAATATTTATATCCACTGCAGATTTTCTTCTCTTTATATGAAAACCACTTTCATCATTCAGTGAATTTCGATTATTGCTGGGTTTTCAAGTCACCTGAAGATTTCTTTCGCAGTGTGCTTTTCAATCAGTGAAACTCACAATGACGTACATATAAATAATACAATATTTAACGTACTTAAACCTACTTTATATAATTATTTACATTGTATACAAATGAACATAAACAAATAATGTCTTTCTTTATTCATTAAAGGGAATAAACGGTTGCAGCTTTTGCAGAAAACTGCTTACGCAGGTTACTATCCTGTGCATTTTTCTGCAATAGTTGTAACATTTATTCCTGGACTAACAATCAAATAAAACAATTTATTTTTTAAATACTTGGTAAAATTTTCAAATTAAGAAACCGTTCCACTTTTTTTTTCAAATTTGATATTGTCATTCTGGTATAATTTCAATTAGGATTTCATAATCTTTTTTCAGCTCAGAAAGTTCTAGAATAAAATTTCATGTTATAAACAATAAATTTCAAGTATATAAAGTTTTCTTTATCTTGATAAGGCTAAATCGTTCAAACTCGTGGTTTCATCATGATCGAGACAATAAATATTATACTAGGAATTACCTGTAGAAGTGGCATCTTATAAATGTTGTGCGATTTATTACATTTAAGTAATACAAATCAGATACATCAGTGATATAAGTGTACATGCATTGAGCTTTTTCCATTTGCTTCAACGGGCCTCCATACCGGTAACCATGCGGTCAAAAATCATCATTTCTACTGCAAATTCGACATACTTCTTCTTATCCGGGTTGAAAGTTATTACAAGAAACACTTTGTATACATGTATGAGAGAAAATAAGACTTAGTTATGCTTGAATACTACTGCAATCACTGGTTGCTATGTTAAAAATGTAACTTCCGTTTTCAAAAGTGTGTTCGCATTATTAAACGCATCGGCAGAAAATTTAATAAAATTCATAACATGTAAAGATATCAATTATTGTCCATTTTTATACCCACCATGACTTGCGCTTTAAACAGCAAGCATGTTGTTTGATGAAATCGAGGGTAACTACGGCTGAAAATATAGCGGAATCTCACTATAATAGTGATATACCACTATTATAGCGGAATTTACGTTGCCCCCCCAACCTGATATATACAGACAGTTTTTGTCACTTGCCTAATGCTACAATTCAGTACACACAGACTTGGGTATACAACATGGCTGTTTTCCACTTGTCACTAATTACAATAAGTCACCCTGGCTCTCTGTGATTCTTTATTCACTTTAATAAAGTATAAAACAACATCCACTCTCTTGTCAACCATGACTCTTCTACCAGTGGCACTAACTTATACCACCGCAGTGTGCGCATACTGTGTACAATTACAACTTTTGCTAAATATATAAATAATCTTTATGTCAATCTTTTATATTGCTTTCCAGGCAAGAATCTGACTTTGAGCATACTTTGCTCATTTAAACCAAACACTCATTTTTATTTTGTTTCTATGTATATATAACATTCTTTCTTGTATTCTCATTCAATCAAATAACCTGTTAATAAAATTATATACAAGGATTTCTTGATTAACAATATTTAGCAAAGGGGAGTAACTCTCATTTGCTTCACATCACAATTGCGTATGCTGCCTCCTAGATATCCAGAAGCAAAGAAAAGGCACATTTACTTATAATTATATTTAAGGTATCCAATCCATAATAGCCTTAGATTCAATGAATCTGAATGCATAACAGATATATATTGGCTGAATACTCAGTACATGTAGACATAATCTTCATGTTTTAGTATCAATATGTAAAAGCAGATTGTGTCCTAATTTTTGACCTTGTCCTGTCCTTGAAGAGTTTTCCCCCTTTGCTTTTAATCAATAAAAATCAATTCTAGAAAAATCTATCTGGTAAAAAATTAGTTTTCAATCATTTTTCTATTCCTAATAATTAAATACATCTTTCCACCAAAGAATTTTTTGATATTCTTAGTATATAAATTTTTATTTTAAAAAATTTGCTTGTCCCCATAGACCTCAATGATACCTTAATACATGTAAATACATGTATTTACATTGATATTATTGCAAATTTGTTTGTTTGCTTAGTACTCAGGGGCAGAGGAGAGGTTTTCAAAACATTAATGCATTTTGCTAACTAATCAACAGAACCCCACCCAAGCTCAAGAACCCCTGACCCACGGGGCCATGAAATTCAAAATTTTGGAAGAGGCATCCTTTCTCATCATAACTATATATTTAGTTTGTTTAATTAATACCAAGGGGTAGAGGAGAAGATTTTTTAGAGCATTAATTAATTTTCAGTATATAATAAATAAGCCCTGCTCCCCCACATAGAACCCCCGACCCAGGGGCCATGAAATTCACAATTTTGGAAGAGGCACTCTTGCTCATCATTACTATGTACTTAGTTCATCAGCTTAATACCCAGGAGCAGAGAAGATTTTTTAAGCATTAATTTATTTTCAGTATATAATAAATAAGCCCCCCCCCCCCCCCAACACATGGAACCCCTGACCCAGGGGCCATGAAATTCACAATTTTGGAAGAGGCACTCTTGCTCATCATAACTATGTACTTAATTCATCGGCTTAATACCAAGGGGCAGAGCAGAAGATTTGCAAAGCATTAATTTATTTTCAGTATATAATAAATACCCCCCACATGGAACCCCTGACCCAGGGGCCATGAAATTTAAAATTTTGGAAGAGATATTCTTACTCATCATAACTATGTACTTAGTTCATCAGCTTAATACCCAGGAGCAAAGAAGATTTTCAAAGCATTAATTTATTTTCAGTATATAATAAATAAGCCCCCCCCCCCACCACCACCACCACATGGAACACCTGACCCAGGGGCCATGAAATTCACAATTTTGGAAGAGGCATTCTTGCTCATCATAACTATGTACTTAGTTCATCAGCTTAATACCCAGGAGCAGAGGAGAAGATTTTCAAAGAATTAATGCATTTTTACTATATAATCATTTATTTAGAGCCCCGCCCTAATACCAGAACTCCTGACCCTGGGGCCATGAAATTCACAATTTCGGAAGAGGCACTCTTGCTCATCATAACTATGTACTTAGTTCATCAGCTAAATACCTAGCAGCAGAGGAGAAGATTTTTAAAGAATTAATGCATTTTCACTATATAATCATTAGATCCCCACCCTAGCGCCAGAACCCCTGACCCTGGGGCCATGAATTTCACAATTTTGGTAGAGGGCTTAATGCTTATTACAATCATGCCAACAGTTTGACTGCTTGATGTTCAGGAGTAAAGAAGAAGATTTTTAAAGATTGCATTAATTTTGATGGTTTTAGCCCCACCCCTCAGGCCCCAGGGGGGCAGGGGCCATGAATTTCACAATCTTTACTCCTCTTCACCCATAGAATGCTATATACCAAAATTGGTTGAAATTGGTTTAGTGGTTCCAGAGAAGAAGCTAAAAATGTTCAAACGTTTACGACCGATTGACGACGAACGACGTACAACGAACGACGACAGACGAAAACAGATAGCAATAGGTCACCTGAGTGACTCGGGTGACCTAACAAGAGGCCCAAGGGCCTTAATGGTCACCTGAGTATAACACAACAATTTATAGGATCCATAGAGTATAAAATGAAAGGTGAAGCTTTGTTGCCCAAAAGCAAGAAAAAAAGGGTGATCAGGATCAACAAAATAATTAGTCTAGTGTTCATTAACAGTTCATAAATTAGGTTCTAATCTGTTCCCCATTTATCACTATCACCATACAGAATATTAACATACTATCAGTGCTTCTGTACTGTTTCAATTCCTTCTTGAAATCTCTTGCATTGGACTCTCTTGGTCTTTGATGAATATTGAATAAGACAAGTTATTTTTGTCTCATTTTTATTTATCTATCATTTATAAGTCTACCTGATCAATAAAACTATGAAAATACTTTTTGTATTATACAATAAAAATTCTTGCATAGTTCTCTTATTCTATTAACCTTTCAAGTACATTATTTACAGTGATTAATTATCAAAAGTAAATGGCAAAGGGGAACAACTCCTATCTGTAGAATACAAATTAAAAGAGTCCTGGCCAGGCCAGAACACTTGACCAAATGGCCCAGATGTTCAAAAATCTTTATTTAAACTTTTACTCTTTTTGCCTCTAATATGCCCAGGTGCAGAGAAGATTTTCAAAAAAATAATGCATTTTTACTACAGATTCACTATATTATCAATAGCCCCGTGCCCCCCCCCCCCCACCTCCCCAAGAAACACCAGAGCCTGTCACCCTGGGACCAGAAGTTTGCTCATCACAAGTAATCACTTTGTTTATCTGCTTAACACTAAAGAAGCAGACAGGGTTATTTAACAGAATTAATGCATTTTCACTATATTATCAAGAACCCCACCCTTACACGAGCACATCTGACCCAGGGTTCATGCAATTCACTACTATTGAAGAAGCACTCTTGCTCATCATAACTATACACTTAGCTTTTTTGCTTTTTAACCAGAAGCAGAAAAGAATATTTTCAAAGAAATTTTGCTTTTTCACTATCTAATCAATAGAACCCCCCCCCCTCTTTTCACCAGAATCCTTGACCCTGGAGCCAAGAAATTCAAAACTTTGGAAGAGGCAATCTTGCATATCATAACACTGTACTTAGTTTGTTTAAATAATACCCACGGGCAGAGAAGATTTTCAAAGAAATAATTCACCTTCACTATAGGATCTATATGCCCCCCTCCCCCAGGGCCCCCCTCCCCCAGGACCCTGGAGCCAAGAAATTCAAAATTTTGGAAGAGGCATCCTTGCTTATCATAACAATGTACTTAGTATGTTTAAATAATACCCATGAGCAGAGAAGAAGATTTTTAAAGCATTAATGCATTTTCACTATATAATAAATAGAGCCCCGCCCTAACACCAGAACCCCTGATCTAGGGGCCCTGAAATTCACAATTTTGGAAGATGCATCCTTGCTTATCATAACTATGTATTTAATTTGTTTAAATAATACCCAGGAGTAGAGAAGAAGATTTTCAAAGAAATAATGCACTTTCACTATATGATCTATATAGCCCCGCCCTAGCACCAGAACCTCTGACCCTGGGGCTATAAATTTCATGATTTTGGTAGAGTCACTCTTGCTTATCATATCTATGTATTTAATTTGTTTAAATAATACCCAGGAGTAGAGAAGAAGATTTTCAAAGAAATAATGCACTTTCACTAAATGATCTATATAGTTCCGCCCTAGCAACAGAACTCCTGACCCTGGGGCTATGAATTTCACAATTTTATTAGAGTCACTCTTGCTTATCATAACTATGTATATAATTTGTTTAAGTAATACCCAGAAGTAGAGAAGAAGATTTTCAAAGAAATAATGCACTTTCACTATATGATCTATATAGCCCCGCTCTAACACCAGAACCCCTGACCCTGGGGCTATGAATTTCACAATTTTGGTAGAGTCACCCTTGCTTATCATAACTATGTATTCAATTTGTTTCAATAATACCCAGAAGTAGAGAAGAAGATTTTCAAAGAAATAATGTGCTTTCACTATATGATCTATATAGCCCCGCCCTAGCACCAGAATCACGAATTTCACAGTTTTGGTAGAGGGCTCAATGCTTATTGCAATCATGCCAACAGTTTGACTGCTTGATGTCCAGGAGTAAAGAAGATTTTTAAAGATTGTATTAATTTTGGTGGTTTTAGCCCCACCCCTTGGGCCCCAGGGGGGCAGGGACCATGAAATTCACAAATTTTGTTCCCCTTCACACATAGATGCCACATGCTAAAATTGGCTGAAATTGGTTCAGCGGTTTCAGAGAAGAAGCTGAAAATGTTCAAATGTTAACACATGACGGATGACGGACAAAAACAGATAGCAATAGGTCACCTGAGTGACTCAGGTGACCTAAAAAAGTCCTCTACTTACCTAATTAGTATAACATACTAACACACTATATTATCTAAAACTTATCACAACAAGGAAATCACAGCCTTTTATACCGTGTCTGCAAGATTGTCACCGTCTTGACCACAATATTGGTGTGAGCATACATAGGTGGCAGTTATCAATATATACGAGTTTTTTTTTCATGAGATCCAATTGGACAGTGTTTATATTGCTTGACCTTTGCTACAGTCACTAACAATATCTTCTTTTGGGACGTTCTTTGACTCTATATTTGAGGTAACGAAAATCTCACATAAATTTATGATCCATAAGATAACAGAATGGTCATTCTATAAATAGCTGTTCATCTAACTTTATGTTGATGCAGATTAAGTGTAATCTGGTAACTTTGCCAACATATAGACTTGAACCTTATCAAATAATCATCAACCAATCCCTGCTTGCTGAGTATTCCTTAATACCTCTCGAATGTCCATGCCAAATTATACCCTCCCATTCCATTGTCTACCATTAAATGTTTTGACTGTAACAGATGGAAATGACATAAGCTGCATATTTCCAATTTTGCCAGTTAATGTTCCGCGGTCTTATGATTAATCATGACATTGCTTTCCATAATAATAATAAATTCAATTTTTTTCCCATGTTTTCCTTTTGTAAACCCCCACAGAAAGCTTTCACATAAGTTTCATTTTTTCTGGCCCAATAGTTCTTGAGAAGGTTTCTTAAATTACCCCACCCAATTTTCACTATTTCTTAATTATCTCCCCTTGGAAGAGGGTGTGGCTCTTCATTTGAAGAAACATTAATCCCCTTTACTCAAGGATATTCTGTGCCAAGTTTGGTTGAAATCATCCCAGTGGTTCTGGAGAAGATGATGAAAATGTGAAAAGTTTGGATGACAATGCCAACAGACAATGGACAAATTTCGATCAGAAAAGCTTACTTGAGCATTCGGCTCAGGTAAGCTAAAAACTTATCTAGTAGCTGGAGAAAATGTAGTGATTCATGTATTTAAATGGTTGGACAGGTGATTTCCAATTCTAATGTAAACCTGTGCCCTACCTTCCTTACACTCCTTCGCTACTTTAGACTCCAAGTTGTCCATTTGTATCTGCATCTTTCTCATCATGCTGTTGTTCTTCTTGCTCTTCATTCTGTACATGATGATGACGACGATGACAGACAGAATGAGGACCCCACCTCCCACACTTATAAGAATGATGTACTCCAGGGGTAAAGCCAAATCTGTCTCCTCATACTTCAAGTAACCCACAAAGAAGGTCAGGTTTTTTCCAATTGTAACCTACAAATAAAAATATAAGGTTTGGTTACCATTTTTTATGCAAAGATGATATACATACATGTACATTATTTTGTTTAGAAAAACTAAATTATTCGAAAGTACAAGATAGGCTAAGACCTCTTTTTGGCCCCTGGTTTGTGGTGTCTCTACAATGCAATAGTTCATCATTAAGAACTTGTTGCAATCCCCCTTACTAAATGTGTATTGATTTTAAGTTAGGGGGTACACAAAGGTCAAAGGAAGGGGTCACAAAATATGTCAATATCCAAACTTCTCATTTATATGCAAATTTCATCAATTTTATAACACATTTTTAAAATGTATCAGAAAACAGAGCATAAGCTTGCCTATTTACCAAATTTATATTTTTCATGCACTAGTTTCAGATGTATCTTGTATATGAAATATGGAAATAACAAACAGTAATCAAGCTAAAAGTCCATTAAAACAATACAAATCGGTACAAGAGCATACAGTGACCTAGCACTTAAAATATCAGAGGTGGGATCAGGTGCCATGGAGGAGTAAGCATCCCCTGTTGACCAGTCACACCTGCTGTGTGCTTCTTGTCATGATCAGGTAAATGGAAAAATCCATAGACAATTCAGTGTGTAAATAATGGCCTTACTAACAATTAGTACAAAAATGTCAGTCAGCATTCGACTTAATGATAGATTGTATTTGCTGACAAGGTCATTGTATCAACCATAGAACTTGCGAAATGTTGACTTCAAACGAGACTGTTGATATCCTTGTTTCATCAACTTGTTTGTCAATAGCTTGCCTCATTTTAGAAACTGTTTGTATGTAGAGCATGCTCTTGCGTATCAAATCAACTGGGAGACAAACTCCATATGCAGGTGACAAGGGTATAAAAATATCCAGTAGGAAAGCTTGTTCTTTATATTTCCTGAAGTGAAAAGTATCTCAAATGTGGCAAAATTCCATCAGAATTGAGAAATCTGGTAAAAGATCCTACTTTGGCACACCCTCTTATGACCTCTTTGAATCAAAATTAGTGCTGGTTTTAAAACAAGCAACATGTAAAGTTCTTAACTGCAAACTATCACAATTTTAACTGTGTTCTGATTTTTACATCAAATAAGGAACCAAATTCAGCCATAACCATACCTCGACCTTTATAATATCTCATAAAGAGACTCTCTGATGTACACAACATACAACTATTATAAAAGGTACACTTTTTGTGAAACACACGCAAGATTCTGCTAAGAAAAAAAAAACAAGAACAAAGAATCTAAGAATTGAAGATAACAATATTTTTTTTGCAATATTTTCAATGTTATTGCACACCCCTAACATGTATAGGTCACCCACGTGACGCAGTGGTTAGAGCGTTCGCTCTGGAGTCACGGAGTAAGGAGTTGATCCTTACGTTGAGGGTTCGAATCCCACTGTGGGACTGGTCGTTCAGATGAGACCATATAAACCAAGGTCCCGTGTCGCAGTAGGTGCTGGCATAAAAAAGATCCCTCATTGCTAAATGGCCCTGAGTGCCGAGTATAGGTCAAAATTTGCAGCTCTCCACCGGCAAGTGGTGGCGTCTCCATACGAGTGAAAAATTCTCAAGAAGGACATTAAACAACAAACAAACAAACATTGTATAGATGTAAAAGGTTCAAAGTATGCCAAGTGGGAAGCATTAACATGCAGATGAGGAATTTAAAGATACCTATATTACTCTGACCTTTCAAATTATTATCTTAAGATCAATGCACACTCTGTATACATGTACACACACTTTATAAGTGCAGCAACGGAATGCTTGGGAAGTATACCTCAAACTACAAATTTGCACAAAGTACATGACTTTGAAATTCTAATTTGAGACCTTTGTCAGTCAGGGTGCACCTTTTCAATAAGGAGATTGATTCAAAGGGTTAAGTATAAAGTCAGCTAGTGAAAGCAATGGATAAGTTCAGTGAAACTTGGCCAAGACTATGGAAAAAAAATTTACTTCAAACATGAAATTCATCTTAATATGTGAAGTATGAGGGACACTGGGGTTACAGTGAGAGAAAAAAAACAGTCTGGTCAAGAAACTTGAATGATTACTATGTCTGACTTACAACTTAAAAAAATTGTTCAGGGTCATTACATACCTTTTCAATGAAAAATTTACAACATGAATGAAATTGAGTCAAAGAGAGAAAATAAACTTTTACAATTATTAAGTACCAAGTATGTACTGTGTTATATGCCTGTTTTAACCTATATAGATATTGCCTTTATCTTTCCATTGTATATACTGATCCCTGTATGTGGAAGTAAACGAGGTTCTATGATCAACCTAACCCCACACATCTCTATATATTGATACTTACTTCCACTTCTGGATACTGGCCCCCCTTCATTGGAGTGGGGCGAGCCTTTGGTGGACGACAGGTTAATTGTCTGCCAGTGGATGTTATATTACATTCACTTTTACCTATTTTTATCACAACATCATCCTTTTCCAATCGAAGCTGATCAAGGTTGATTCCCTGTAACATTCATTAAATACATGTATTAAGATTGTATGTATTACAATTAAAGTAACTAAAGTTTTCAGGGTGAACATTCAAGTTTCATTTTTTGAAAATGGACACAGTAAATTCAATATCATTCAATAAAAAAAATAAAGGAAAAGATGTGTTTGTTAAACACAGTTGCCCTAAGTGTGGCCAAGCTGTGAGAAAAAGTTGAACATAGTAATTACGTGATTAGAAGATTTCCATAGAAATGTTGCTATACACAATGATACCATGTCTATGTAGTCAATCCATTACTTTATCAACCTCAACATATTTATCATAGACAGACAAACACAAGGTCTCTGATCTGAGAACATTTGAAAGGGCATTAACAGTTTACCAACTACAAGTCTAAAGTTCAATAGATAATATTAAATTTTTTGCACCTAGAAGGACAGAGATTGACAGGACAAAAACATTATGCTCTTGATCTTAAGGAGCATAATAACAGATGTTATATGTATACTACTAAACAGAGTACTCTGTGAGTTCATTGGAGTCCTTTACAGTGCCACCTGGCTTTACTACCCTCCATTATATTGCCCCCTTACTTTTACCCCCCAAAAACTCTCCAAAAACAGATATCCCCATGTTAATATACCCATTTTACTGCCATCAGCCAAACACAGTAACACTGCTAATTAGAAATCACACCTGAACTAGGACTGTGGTGTGGTGATCAAAGTATGAGTGGCTGGACAAGGAATGCCACAAAATTCAATCAGAAAAGTTTACTTGAAGTAAACAAGATATGTGCAAGTTCTTCTCATTAAAGTTTGCCCTAAAACATCTTTATAAAACTTACACTTATTGTTAAAAATTCATTGCTCTTCCACTGGAATGACTTTATTTTGTCATTAGGAAAAACACTGATATCTGGATCAGGGCAAATTTGAAAGAATTCATTGTGTGAGGCACTGAAATTGCGTATATTTTGGACATTGTCAATGATGAATCCAAAGGCCAAGCCCTGCTGGTCTTGTGAATGAGGTTTCTTAGTGATCAATGCTGGTTCCACTTGTGGGGTACTGCATTCCATTGTGACATCATCACGAACTTGACATTCCTACAATAGTGTTTCAGGAATTTAGACAAGGACACAAATATTACCTATACTACTATCAAGTTTCTTTTTAGCTACTTTCTTGTCAATTTTTGTTATCTGAATATTTGGCCTCATTCTTAAATTGCATAATTCAAAAATGCCTACTGGGTGCAGCATGCTGAAGTAAAAGCTTACTTTGTGTTATGTCATAATTGTGAATCAATCGACGTTCTAAAAGAAAAAGTTGGTTCTTCATATGCCCAAAATTTAAGTAAGACCAAAGTTTACAAAACTCATTTAATTTTTAAACAGGAGGTCAATGAGCCATAATGCTCATTCTGAGTAACTATAGCGTTTCTTGTTCTTCAGCAGCAAATTCTTTTTCCTATATATTCCTATGTAAAACTTTGATTGCCCAATGTAGCCTATCCCTGGGGGTCATGATTTTAACAAATTTGAATCTACCTTACCTGATGATGCTTCCAAATAAATCTGACTAATCATGGCTTTTCTGTTGAGAAGAAGATTTGAAAGATTTTCCCTATGTATTCCTATGTAAAACTTTGATTACCCATAGTGGCCCCACCCTCCACTGGAGTCATGATTTGAACAAAATTGAATTTTCACTATGTCAGGAAGCCTTCACAGAAGTCTAACCTTTTTTGGCACAGTGATTCTTGAGAAGATTTTTTAAATGACCCAACCCAATTTTTACTATTTCTTAATTATCTCCCCCTTTTAAGAGGGTGGCCCTTCATATGAACAAAACTGAATCCCCTTCACCAACAAATACTCTGTGCCAAGTTTGGTTAAAATTGGTCCAGTGATTCTGGAGGAGAAGGTGAAATCAAAAGTTTATGACGACAATAAAAACAGACAAATTTTGATCAGAAAAGCTCACTTGAGCCTTTAACTCAAGTGAGCTAAAATTTATAATCTACCTAATTGTTCTGTTGACATATAAATCTGAGAGAAGTAAAATACAGTGACTTACTCCATAGTAGGGACTCTTGAGTGGATCAGGACTGTAGAAGACCATTTTAGGCGAAGAATTCTGGATGGGCAGGAAACCATTGCCTTTGACCAGGACTTTCAATCCTCCACTAGATTTTTCAATATCAATATTACATTTAATATCTTTCAATGATAGACTAAGAAAGAGAATGTAATTTACAAACCCTTTGTATGAAATCATACTCACCTTAGCAACCTACTGTATTAAACAATATCCTGTCATACATGTATTTCAAAAATCTTTTCTGCATGTATATGAACTAAAATTTCTCAGGATGATTTTTTTGATTATTTTTATAATACTTCTACTGATTTTTTCCCTATATAACATAAGATCGTTAGATATGACCAATTCCCTGGAAATCATTAAGAATGGACTAATCCCTGTATGTTAGTCAAGAGACCTAGTCCCTGCTTCGAAAGCTAATTCCCGGTTATCCGTAATCCTCTATATTTTACTTTTACATTGGTATGATACGTGAATTGACTAATCCCCGTGTGTTAGTTCAGTGAGCTAATCCCTGCTTTGAAATCACGCTATCTGAATCCTCTAAATTTTACTTTTGTATCGGTATAATAAAACAGTTAAAAGTATATCATTGCGGGAGTTAGCAAGATTCCAGTTCCCCTCAACCAGGACTATTTCCCTCGACTTCGCTTCGCCTCTGGAAATAGTCCTGGACTTGGGGAACTGGAATCTTGCTAACTCCCTCAATGATATACTTTAACTGTATAATAGCCATTACAGTAGAGAAGTCACCAGTGCCTGTATTTAAATGACCCCTCATCATAGGCTACATTTACATGCTCTGGTTGTGCAAACACACAAATCAGATACTCTACTTACAACTTATGTTAACAGTTTCTTTAAGTCAATTATATCTGTTAAATAAGCTCTTAATATTGTGGAGTATTGTTAAGCTGGACACCATTAGTCTGGACACATCACCTTCCAGATGAAATTTGTGAGAAACAATTCATATTTAGTTTATTTAATTTTCAGATAAAATAACTAGCCTGTCTGGTCATAAGACTTACCTGACAATGGAGACTTTCCTGTCCACCTCTGTAACATTAGGATCCTCCACATATTTGTAGACAAGATCACTCTTAACCAGCTGGTTATCAAACATCATGTATAACTCCTCTGTAACCAGTGTCTTATTGGCTCGAGCTGTTTCACAGGTAACCCTTGATCTTGTAATGCTATAATTAGACCATGAGAATAAAATACCTTGATCTGTTAAAATATAAATTAACCACTGTGACAGTCTTTAGTTAATGTTTAATTAAATGTGTACCTTTGATTATCAAGTCTGCATTCATATTCAGTGCGACCAAAATATGCCTTTCTTTCAGTCCCACAATCTAAATTTTTTCCAAATATAGTGACCTGAGTTCCACCTGACTTTGGACCTTGGGCAGGTGTGATATCTGTAATTTCTGGGTCCTGGAAAAAATACAAATATTATTTCTTTTGTTTGGTCACCCTACTTTTCAAAGATTTTTCAAAACTCTTAGTATGCTTTTCCACGAATATATGAACATGGCTTCTCCTCAAATCGATTAACAAATGGTTACCTGTTTTTTTCATAAAATTCTTTTTTAATGATGTTTTAGCTAGTGATTGGTCTTCAAATGATGTTTTACATTTTAAAGATTTATCCTGATCAAAATCATACTTGGTAAGCAGGGAAAAAGAAAGGGAAAAAGTAAAAAAAAAAAAAAAAGTGAGAAAAAGTATATGTTCTCTTGCAGAAAAGCATGATTTTTTTTCCACATTATATATACTATTCAGTGTTCATGACCTTTGGGCTTTTGGTCTGAGAATCAACAGATTTCTTCCTTTGGGAACCATGCATTTCAGTAGAAAGTATGAGACTGAAAAGTCAAGCTCCTTCAATTTTCATCGTCATTTCTATTTCTATATTTCAGTATGCCATCAAGACCAAAACAGGTCAATTATTGATCAGTGCAGCAGATGACCTTTCCTACATCTTGTGGATCCACAAAGAATTCATTCAATTTTAAATTCACTCAAAATACACCACTGTTTGATTTCAGTTGTATGTATTATTAGAGCATCACAATATTTACTTATTGTAGGATGACATTCTTATTTTTGGCAGCTTACAGTATTACATAATGTCCTAAGGGTTATTATAAATTCTTTTTTTTAATTTATAGCACTGCAAGTTAAATCATCCAATTTAAATAAAAAATGTTCCATAAAACTGTTAATTTCAATGTCAACTTCATTTGATCTTCAAGTCATACAGCTGGAGTGTATGGATTTCATGAGAGTACTTACCATGTAGGTAAAGTGTTGTTTGGACACAGCTGTTAGTTTAGAGTACTTACCATGTAGTTAAAGTGTTGTTTGGACACAGCTGTTGGTTTAGAGTACTTACCATGTAGGTAGAGAGTTGATTGGACACAGCTGTTAGTTTAGAGTACTTACCACATAGGTAAAGTGTTGTTTGGACACAGCTGTTAGTTTTAATGCTACAGTTACTCTCACTTTGTCTGATCTCTCTTCCTTCCCAATAAATCGACCAGTTGTACAAACAATTCTGTCCAAACAGAAAACATTGTTACATATATCTAAATCTGTCCTTTACTGAAATCTTTGTTTAAAGAAGGGATTAGACAAGACTTACTTCTTGGATTCCACATATTCTTTACGTATAGGAGAGCACTGAACTCCTGCTATGTCCACATTGCTGACAATGTCTTCGTAGGATTTTCCCAGATCTCTCCCCTCTATAGTCAGTAGAGTTCCGCCTTCTTTAGGGCCAGTAAGTGGATAAATCTGAAAAAAGTTGTACAGCATCTTACAATCTCATAATCTTTCACAGCATAACATTTTAACTGTTAGGTTAGGGTTTGGCACTCATTAATACATTGCAAATGGAGAAATGGTGGTAATGGACATCAGCCAAGATATGATTCACTTTTCCATGCATCTCACTGAGAAATTACCTTGTTTTATGACAATACCACCATTTTTGATTTGCACCTTTTTATTTTACAGTCATCTAAATGTTTGTAAATGTCTCATACATTGATAAGCTCTTGCTTGACTTGTATGCGATCTAAATTTTAAGATCCATCGTTCAGCTGAGAAAAATCAGGAAAACAATACTGGGACAAAGACATAATTTTTATGATTGGTGAAAATATGGGTTGGTGAAAATCGTTAACAAAAAGAAAAAAAAACCATTGGCATAAATGAGTTTCTGTGGAAGTTCCACTGAATTTCATTCAAGGGTTAAAAAGGAGATGCATTAACAAATGGGTATCCCTTTCTCAAGTATAATGACAAAATATGGGAATCCCCAAATATCTGATACTGTAACAGTCTCAGTAGATTTCATTCTCTGATATAGGAGGAGATTTGGATAAGAGTTGGGTACCCCCAATACTAAAGAAAGACTGGCAGTATCCATGTTTTGCTATGGCAAACCCCAATTATCTCTCTCAAAAAATAAATAAATAAATAAATAAAAATAAGGGTGCACAATGGCACTATGGAAGAAAGATTCTGTAAAAGTCTTATTAAATTTTATTCAGTGGTATAGGAGGAATTCTGGATAAGAATTGGGTACCCCAAGTGTTATGGACATACAAATTCTGAAGTTTTTTTTTTAATGATTTTTATGACCTTATAATTTCACAATTTTGATGGAGTGTTAACTGTTTATTATTATCAAAAAATAGTTTGCCTGCTGAATGTCCATCAGTAGAGAAGATTTATCAAATATGTGTATGTATTACCATCTCAACCACATCCTAGGTCCTGAACCATTGTTTCAGGTGCCAAAAAGTTTCTCAATTTTTGTAAATTCATTGAAAATTCATTATAATCATGAAAACATTTTGCCACTCTGATGTCCAGGAGTAAAGATTTTCTTAGATATAATATGAGATTTAATGCATATAAGACAAAATGCATTTCGAACATATTACCAACTAAGCCCTGCCCTCTGACCTGAACCTAAACTGAGAAGTCATGAATTTCACAGTAAATTGGTAGTAAACTGGTTACTCTATTCCTATCAACACTTTGAATGCCTGATGTCCAGGAGTAAAAAAGAAGACTTTGGAAAATTTAATTTAGTTTGAAGGTTTTTGCCACCTCTCTAAGGCCCCATGGAAGCACAGACCATAATTTTCCAACTGTTTTCCCCATTTAAATGCTACAAACCATAATAGTTTCAAATTGGTTCAGCTGTTCATAAGCATCTCAGGTGACCTAACACCATGTGTCAAATAGGGAACCAAGAGAAAACTGAAGAGTTATGATTACAAGAGGCCCAAGGGCCTTAACGGTCACCTGAGTATAATACAACAATTTAGAGGATCCATAGAGTATAAAATGAACTCAAAGGTGAAGCTTTGTTGCCCAAAAGCAAGAAAAATAGAGTGATCAGGATCAAAAAAATAATTAGTCTAGCATTCATTCACAGTTCATAAATTAGGTTCTAATCTTTTCCTCATTTAACACTTTCACCATACAGTAAATTAACAAAATATCACTGCTTCTGTACCATCTTAATTCCTTGTTGAAATCTCTTACATTGGCCTCTCTTGATCTTTGATGAACATTTAATAAGACAAGTTATTTTTGTCTCATTTTTATTTATCTATTACTTACAAGTCTACCTGATCATTAAAACTATGAAAGTACTTTTTGTATTATACAATAAAAATTCTTGCATAATTTTCTTATTCTATTAACCTTTCAAGTACATTATTTACAGTGATTAATTATCAAAAGTAAATGGCAAAGGGGAATAACTGAATAACTCCTCTCAGTAGATTACAAATTACTAGCTAGGACCAGAACACTTGACTAAATGGTCCAGCTGTTCAAATATCTGGTAAAAATACCCTTCCTTATTAAAACTTTTACTCTTTTTGCCTCTGATATGCCCAGGTGGAGAGAAGATTTTTAAAGAAATAATGCATTTTTACTACAGATTCACTATATTATCAATAGAACCCCCCCCCCCCCCCCACCTTTCATCGAGAAACATCAGAGCCTCTCACCCTGGGACCAGAAGTTTGCACATCATAAGTAATCACTTTGTTTATCTGCTTAACACTGAGGAGCAGACAGGATTATTTAATAGAAATAATGCATTTTCACTATATTATCAAGAGCCCCACCCTTGCACCAGCACATCTGACCCAGGGGTCATGCAATTCACTACTCTGGAAGAAGCACTCTTGCTCATTATAACTATACACTAGCTTCTTTGCTTTTTAACCAGAAGCAGAAAAGAATGTTTTCAGAAAAAAATTGATTTTTCACTATATAATCAATAGAGTCGCCCCCCCCCCCCTTTTCACCAGAACCCTTGACCCTGGGGCCATGAAATTCACAAGTTTGGAAGAGGCATCCTTGCATATCATAACAATGTACTTAGTTTGTTTAAATAATACCCAGGGGCAGAGAAGAAGAGTTTTAAAGAAATAATTCACCTTCACTATAGGATCTATATGGCCCCACCCTAGCACCAGAACCCCTGTCCCTGGGGCCATGAATTTCACAATTTTGGAAGAGGCATCCTTGCTTATCATAACAATGTACTTAATTTGTTTAAATAATACCAAGGAGCAGAGAAGAAGATTTTTAAAGCATTAATGCATTTTCACTATATAATAAATAGAGCCCCACCCTAACACCAGAACCCCTGATCCTGGGGCCATGAAATTCACAAGTTTGGAAGAGGCATCCTTGCTTATCATAACTATGTATTTAATTTGTTTCAATAATACCCAGGAGTAGAGAAGAAGATTTTCAAAGAAAGAATGCACTTTCACTATATGATCTATATAGCCCCGCCCTAGCACCAGAACCCCTGACACTGGGGCCATGAATTTCACAATTTTGGTAGAGTCACTCTTGCTTATCATAACTATGTATTCAATTTGTTTCAATAGTACCCAGGAGTAGAGAAGAAGATTTTCAAAGAAATAATGCACTTTCACTATATGATCTATATAGCCCCGCCCTAGCACCAGAACCCTTGACCCTGGGGCCATGAATTTCACAATTTTGGTAGAGTCACCCTTGCTTATCATAACTATATATTTCCTTTGTTTCAATAATACCCAGGAGTAGAGAAGAAGATTTTCAAAGAAATAATGCACTTTCACTATATGATCTGTATAGCCCCGCCCTAGCACCAGAACCCCTGACCCTGGTGCCATGAATTTCACAATTTTGGTAGAGTCACTCTTGCTTATCATAACTATGTATTTCATTTGTTTCAATAATACCCAGGAGCTGAGAAGAAGATTTTCAAAGAAATAATGCACTTTCACTATATGATCTATATAGCCCCGCCCTAGCACCAGAACCCCTGACCCTGGGGCCATGAATTTCACAATTTTGGTAGAGTCACTCTTGCTTATCATAACTATGTATTCAATTTGTTTCAATAATACCCAGGAGCTGAGAAAAAGATTTTCAAAGAAATAATGCACTTTCACTATATGATCTATATAGCCCCGCCCTAGCACCAGAACCCCTGACCCAGGGGCCATGAATTTCACAATTTAGGTAGAGGGCTCAATGCTTATTACAATCATGTCAACAGTTTGACTGCTTGATGTCCAGGAGTAAAGAAGAAGATTTTTATAGATTGCATTAATTTTGGTGGTTTTAGCCCCACCCCTCAGGCCCCAGGGGGGCAGGGACCATGAAATTCACAATTTTTGTCCCCCTTCACCCATAGATGCCATATGCCAAAATTGGTTGAAATTGGTTGAGCGGTTTCAGAGAAGAAGCTGAAAATGTTTAAATGTTAACGCACGACGCACGATGGACGACGACGGACAAAAACGGATAGCAATAGGTCACCTGAGTGACTCAGGTGACCTAAAAAGGAGATAAGTGAAAGTGATACCATTACAACTTTAAAAAAATTCTCAATACATTGTCTGGAGAAGTAGAGGTGAAATTGCAAATAGTTACCAAGATGGAAAAGTGGAAATAAATGAATACAGGTGTTCAGTAAAAGTAACCACCATAGTATTTTTGTAATCATACTAATTACTCAGTTTAAGCTTGTGTACCATTGTATGACATACCCTTGTTATAATGGGGTTTGGACAGTTGGAGGTGTTTGGTAACCAGCTGCTATTTGGAGACACACACGATGACTGTAAGCTGCACTGATTCGTCTTTTTGCACCATCCACAAGTGTACTCTTCTTTCTGAGTTAGGCATTCTCCACAGGTATCAGCCATATTCTCACATTTGTACATGATAACTGAAATTCAAAATAGAGTTTTTTATTTCCAAAAAAAAAAAATGCCAACATTTTAACAAATCCTAGTTTTATAATGAAATGCTTGGATCAATTTCTACCTCAAAGTTTTTATGAATATGAATCTGTATTACTATGAAATAGTTTGCAGAGTTTTTCCATGAATCTTGACTTGTTTTTGAAAACATTTATCAAATCTTTTTAGTCCTTCTTTTGAATATTTTTTCTTCCATTTTTCAATTAAAACTAGAAATATGTCCATAGGACATGAATGCCCCACCGAGGGTATATTAGTAATGCAACATTTTAACACAAATTGAGAAAAGTGAGGTCAAGGTCAAAGGAAAGGTCAAGGTGAAAAAATATTGATACAGTTGAATAGCTTACATCAGTAAGTATCAGCATATGAAGTTTGACACTAATTTAAGAAAAGTGAGGTCAAAAGGTCAAAGGAAGGGTCAAGGTAAAAAATTGCTGATGCAGTTGAAAAGATTACATCAGTATGTATTAGCATATGAAGTTTGATAAAAATATTATGAATGGTTTCTTTAACACTGAGCTAAACTGAGCTAAACACTAATTTAAGAAAAGTGAGGTCAAGGTCAAAGGAAAGGTCAAGGTAAAAAAATATTGATGCAGTTGAATAGCTCTCATCAGTATGTATCAACATATGAAGTTTGACACTAATTTAAGTATAAGGTCAAGGTCAAAGGAAAGGTCAAGGTAAAAAAAATGTTACCTATATAGTGGAAATGAACTCTGTAGGTTCAAATAAATATACGTCAAGGTTATATCAATAATCTTGACCATTTGTCATTTGCATTTGATCAACTAAACATAACTTATTAGGGTATCATCTTTTATGTAGTAAATTTGAAGACCGATGCACAAAAAATACTAGACATCTGACTTTAACATCAGAATCTACAGCTGCATGCAGTCTTTCTCTCTTCCTCAAATGTAAGAGAAAATTTTAAAATTATACTACAGTCAAACCTTGTTATCTTGAACTCAAAGGGACCAGGAAAAAATTGAGAGATATCTGAGGATTTGAGATATATGTAAAGAATAATTGGTTAGGACATCCAAATCACTTTAACTTTCCATGGTATTCGAGATATCAGTATTCAAAATACAAAGTTTAACTGTATTTCATAGTAATCTTCCATTTTAAGTGGATATGACCCTTCATTATTTCTTTATTCATGAATTTTTTTGTGAGAGGAAAGAGTTTCTCTATCCAGTTGCAGTTGTTAGGTAAAGTTTAGGCCCTGCATTTTCTAGAAGGCTTGGTTTTTGAGACAGTGCTTTTTCGATCAGTATTAGTCAGCTTTCTAGAAATGTACATCCCCTAGGTTGATACTGGTCAAGTAATTCAGGGAAATATTTGAAAATGTAAAGACTGCAGGAATGATAGAAGGATGATAGGAATGATAGAAGGATGATGGTGAACAGATACAGGTAAATCACTCGTAAAGAGGAGCCACGGAATCAGGACATGCAAGATACCAGGCAGTAAACAAATATTTATATTGAAGCTTACCTTGTACATTATGGGGATTGTCCAAAGGCTTGGGATACTTGTCACCCCACAGAATCTTCATTGGCACATTGTAACTCTCTGAATCCCCTGGATAAAAAAACTTTCAAAAAAAAAAACCCACAGATTAATAGTTATCTTAAGACAATGCTTTTGGAGGTAAACCTTAGTGCTCACATGGAATACACAGTAACAATATGCTTACCCTGGTCTTTTTACATCTGATCATCACAACCACTGGCATGACAAACACTTCAGCAATCTCTCCCTGGGGCTCTGTCTGGGAGTTGAATGCAAAAGCACACTTGATGGGCCTCTGATAAGACTGTAAATACAAATCAAATTTTCAGAAGTTATATCTTTCAAATTTATCTTTTCTCGTCAAACAATTCATGCATTGATTCACTATAATCAATTTTTTTTCATATCAAGGTATGGAAATCACAGATGAACATACAAACTGAACTCCAATACACTGTAAACAAGCTGACAAAATGAAAGTCTTGCTACACTTTATTCTTTTTCCTCCAATAACCTGACTTTTAAATAATCCTGGGCCAGGTTTATGATATCCATAAAACCTGTGTCAGCTCCTGACACTAGCAGCTGACAAAGTGTCTTTTTTTAACAAAGTGCATATTTTTCTGTCAGTGATTTTGAACTTGCTAAAATGACTTGTCATGGTCACAGAACTTCCCCAGATCATAAAGGGAGGTCAACATTAAAGCTACATTGCAAAAAATTTTAGCTCATTACCGCTACTTTTCTTTGAAATTTCGGGTGATCATTACCACTACATTTTATCAAAAAGACTATTGCCGATTACCTTACTTTATGTGCAGTATAATACACCTGCTGATGGTTACCTTTAACTTGATTAAATTTAGAGTGATTGTCTTCTCTATTCCTGATGGCACCAATATGTTCTGCTGTTTGCTGGGGTCTATGCTGGGACAAAAGTTTGGTCCACTTTCATGAGGTATAGAAATTCCAGCACTCTGTGAAAAAAAAAGTAAAATTCAAACAATGGCACTCTCTGTTGCATCAACTTATTTTGCAACAAAATGCTATTTATGCTCTGTAATCACCAAATTTTCGCAAAAAATTATTTTTGTGAGATAGGTATCTAGTATTTAGAAGCAGATTAAGAAATAGCACATTGTACTGACGAACTTGAACTAACCAAATATAAATATAGCTTAGGGCTGTGCGGTGCACCGAAAATTTCGGTGCACCGCGGTTCATACTATTCGATTCGGTGCACCGATCCAGAATTCCGGATTTCGGTTCGGTTCAAAATTTACATAACACATATAAACAAAAATGACCGCCATTTGGAGATCGAAAGAGTTTGTTTTTATGATTTTAATACTTTTTAAAATGATTGTGTCAGTTTGAAGTCAGTGATTTAGTTTTTTGATTCCACAAATGTCTTTTCCTTTTACAATAGGGGTTAGTGTACGTACATGTACATTGGTATGGGCTAGTAAATTGCCTGACGGCCTAGTGAAAAAGTAGCAGGTATTTTCCAAGTTTTGCTTTTAAATCCAAAATCAATGAAAAAAAAAATCAAAGTGTGGTTCTCTTGTTCATAAATCTCATCTATCTAATTCTTTTAGCACTTCTACGTTATTCATTTCTAAACATCATGAGAAAGATCGTCTTTTTTTACAAATCCGAATTTCCTCCATCCCGATTTTATGGAAAATGCATGAAGGTATCACATTAATTGATTAAATTATTTACAACTACTCAACTGGTTAACTGAAGAGTAAATATTTACAAGGGTTATTAAAAATATATTAACATTGTATTTGATAATTTGAATCTAAAAAAAAATAAATCACTAGCTTTCACTTCATTTTGGAAGAGGAAGTCCAATGATCAGAAAAAAATGTATACTTCTTTGTTAGAATGTATCCAAAACATGATTGTTCATTATATTAAATTCAGCATTAAATAATTTCTCTGATTATTTACTTATTAATGACTCAGAAGAAAAATGCAAATAGAGAAAATAAGCAGAAGAAAAATGAAAAGAATAGTAATTCATCATGAAATGTAAATGGAATAAAATAATACAACAAAAGTTTCAGATTTTATTATGTTTCTGGATTAGTACTTTTGCCAGTAAAAATATCAAATCCACTAGCCCCACTTGTTAGTGCCTCAGAAAAGTTTTAGTGAGGACTGAAGTAAAGGAGTTTAATCAGTTTATAAAGCAGAGATTATTATTTTACATTGATGATGAGAAATATTTGGACTGTTTAAGGTTAAATCGAACCAAATCGAAAAAAACCGAACCGTATCATTCTGAACCGAAACCGAACCGAATCGATTAAACCCTGAATCGTCCCAGCCCTAATATAGCTTCAAATTTCACAAAGGGTCAAAAACTTTGAAAATGATATATTGGTTTGTCAATGAACAATAAGCAAAGAAAATCGGTGATCATTATTAGTCCCTTACTACTACAGAGTGTAAACTAAATGTATTTTGAGCAGGTTCACAAAAATATATCCCATTCTACATTTTTTAAAAAGTGCCCATATACAATTTTCTACACGAGACCTTGAACTTGCCAAAATGACATTGGTTAAAAAAAAAAACACAAGTCCTCTGGCCATAAGTGATGTTTGACTGAAATTTGGACATTATATAACATACCTTCAGCTCATGAAAATTTTTTATAAAATGTTTAAACTTCCAATATTTATCTGTTTGAGAGTAATGAACTGGCCACAAATTTTTATACTTTTTTGCCAGTGACCTTGAACTTGCCAGTTTGACCTTGAATCAAGGTCATGACAGACCTTCAGTACATTAGCAATATTTGTGTGAAGTACAAACTTCTAATGTTTTTCCATTAGAAAATTATACACCAGACATAAATTTACTCTTTTTTCTGCCAGTAACCTTGGACTTTCAGAAAAAACCTTGGTTTAAGCTCAGGTCATAACAATCTCGCCAAATACGAGCTTCCAATGATTTTCCATTACAATGTTAAAGCCACGGCACAATTTCACAGACAGACAGCTAGACAGATGGAAAACAGACAAGGTGATTCCTATATACTCCCTCAAATTTCAGTTGCAGGGGTAAAATAAATACAACCCATGTAATATTACACAATATAAATATAATGTCATTATTATCTGTAGTTATGTTGATGGAGCCACTTACATTTTGTCCTGATATGAAGTCATCATTAGAGCTACAGTCTATCACTGGATGGTGAGTACACAGGTGGTTTTTAATGCACCAAGTACAGTTGAAACTGCTTGAAGTACATCTATAGCATCTATAATAAATTACATTTAGTGTCTAAAACTCATTAATAATCTTGTTTGCACTGAAGTCCAATTTCTTTTTAGACTTGTATGATATATTTACTATAACAAGAGGCTTCTAGGCTTGACAGTCATCTAAACATAATTTTTACAGTAAATGATGACAGGACTGGAACTCTAGATCCATGTGGAAAGATTTTTTTTTTTTTTTTTTTACAATTTTGCAGCTTTTATGTGTATTATCAAAATGCACAGTTTGCTTGTAACATGCTCAGGATAAGAAACTATTCTCAGATATTCATTTTTTTCTGTAATTTATACTGGTTGATTCAATGACTCATGTGAAGTAAATTTTGACAGCCTAAATGAAATTTCACACACTGTATAAAATACATTTCAATAAATGAAGCAAGACAACAATTCCAAATTAAATATCCCCTCCCATACAAAAACAAGAATTGTAATACATTCAGATTTCTTTAAGAGTCTCTAAAACTGAGAACTAACAAAATGACCACAAACCAAGTGTTTATACAACCTATTGCTTACCTCTCATCTTTGTGAAAATATGAAAATGTAAAATGTGTGTTAGTGTTGTATAGAATGTAATATGTAATATCTGTAAACATATACATGATATAAGCCCCTTTCCATTTTTGAATTTTGTGACCATAAAAACTCAGAATCAATAGGAAATATTGGTCTCTTTTAAGTCATAGGGAGTTACTACCTTAAATTTCAATGAAAAAGCTTAAATATTATAAAGTTATCATCTGCAAACCATTTCATGTGAATTTCTGACCTTGGGCTTTGATCTTCTGACCTCAAAATCTGGGTTCTTTTTCAAGTCATACAAAGTTAGGACATAAAATTTCACTGAAAAAGCTAAAGTTATCTTTTGAAAATGAAGTGATACAGACAGAATGACTGACAGACCCAAATTAACATCTCTTTTAGAGAGGGGGGGGGGGGGGGGGGGGACAAAGTTGTGACTCAGAATTAAACATTAAGACTTTTTAAGATCCCTCTTAAACCTAAAAATGTAATTAAAATCTTAAACATTCAATGCTGAGTATCATATCTGAAACACAGAATTGAAAAGATTTTGATTGATACTTTATTTATTTAAACTGTTAATGATTGAGGGATGGTGAATAATTGAGGCAATAATAATTAGAAATAATCAGTACTAGATCAATAACACGTCAGTTGTGTAAGACTCTCTTCCGAAACCCAATTCCTGAAATCAAGAACCTGCAGTAAAAATATTTGATGGACTATGCTTCACATTTTACAGAGAAGTTCAACATATTTCATGGGATTCAGAATGTTTTTTGACTCTGAACACAATGGGCATCTGCAGCATACACATAGTAACTAATTAAAACAGATATAAAACAAAAGGCACATGGAAGGGAGTGGGGCATGATTTTAACAGACTAATCTAAGGTACCGTATATATTCGCCTTTACGTCGTTTTTTTTTTGGGGGGGGGGGGGTAAATTTCAGTCCAGTTGACCACATCAAAAACCTTTGACCTTGCACTTTCCTGTGACCTTGACCTCACTTTTCTTAAATTTGAATTTTGCTTAGTTAAAAAAAACATTTAAGATATTCTTATGTAAGCTTATGAACTTGTACATAATTTGGTGAGAATTTATCATATTCATCCCGGGGCATAAAAATACAACCAACTTATAGGTGAACCAACTTATAGGCGAGTATATACAGTATTAGGATGTGTATATTAGTCTGACAATTTTAGCCTTGTTGTTCTCAACAATACATTAAAAGTTTTTTTTTCCTTTGATGCACTTGAAAATCTTTTGATTCCAACACCCCCTCCCTTCCTTGCCTAGGAGCCATGGATTGAACAAATTTCAGTCTGCAGTAAACAAGAGGTACTGTGAGAACAGAGCTCAAAAACTGATACCCCCCCCCCCCCCTTAAGTTTAACTATGGGAGACATGATGTGTCTGATCAAAATGTTAAACAAGAGGCCCAAGGGCCTTAGCGGTCACCTGAGTATAATACAACAATTTAGAAGTTAAATACACTGATAGATGAAGCTTTTTTGCCTTAAAGCAAGAGAAGTAGGAAGATCAGGATCAACAAAATAATTAGTCTAGTATTCAGTATCAACTCATAAATTAAGTTCTAATCTGTGCTCCACTTAACACTATCACCATGCAGACTATTAACAAACTATTATTGCTTCTGTACTATTTTTAGACCCATATTAAGACCTCTAGCATTGACCTCTCTTATGGTCTTTGAAGAACTTTTAATAAGATAAGTTATTTTTGTCTCATTTTTATTTATCTATTACTTACAGGTCTACCTGATTATTAAAACTAAGAAAATACTTTTTGAATTATATGATAAACATTCTTGCATAATTATCTTATTCTATTTACCTTTCAAGTACATTATTTACAGTGATTAATTATCAAAAGTGAACGATAAAGGGGAATAACTTCTCTCAGTAGAATACAAATTAATAGAGCCCTGCCCAGGACTAGAATGCTTAGACAAATGGTCCAGATGTTCAAAAATCTGGTAGAAATACGCTTACTTATATCATTTAAACTTTTACTCAGTTTTCTTCCGATATGTCCAGAAGCAGAGAAGAATTTCACAGGTACAATGCATTTTCACTACAGATTCAACAAAGCCTTACCCTAACACCAGAACCCAAGACCAAGGGTCAAGAAATTTACAAATTTGGAAGAGTTACCCTCATCATCATAACTATGGACTTCGAAGAATTAACACTTTTCCACTATATTATAAAAAGCCCCCCCCCCCCCTCGTTATGCCAGAACCCCTGACCCTAGGACCACAAGATTTAAAAATTCTGTTCGAAGCTCCCATTTTCATCATAGCTAAGCAATTTATTTATCAGCTCAACGCTAAGGAGCAGACAGGATTAATTAATGATTAATTAATAGAATTAATGCTTTTTCACTATATAATCAATAGAGCCCCCCCCCTTCCTCAAGAACCCCAAAAACTGAAGCCACATATTTAAAAATCTTGGAAGAGGCATCCTTGCCTATCATAATCATGCACTTAGTTTGTTTAAATAATCTCCAGTAGCAGAGAAGAAGATTTTCAAAGAATCAATGCATTTTCACTATATAATCAATAAAGCCTCGTCCTAACACCAGAACCCCTGATCCTGGGGCCATGAAATTCACAATTTTTGAAGAGGCATTCTTATGCATCAAAACCATGCACTTAGTTTGTTTAAATAATCTCCAGTAGCAGAGAAGGAGATTTTCAAAGAATCAATGCATTTTCACTATATAATCAACAGAGCCCCGCCCTAACACCAGAACCCCTGACCCTCGGGCCATGAAATTCAAAATTTTTGAAAAGGCACTTTTGCTCATCATAACTATGTACTTAGTTACTTTATTTAATACCCAGGAGCAGAGAAGATTTTCAAAGAATTTATGCTTTTTCACTATATAATCTATAGAGCCCCGCCCTAACACCAGAACCCCTGACCCTGGGGCCATGAATTTCACAATTTTGGAAGAGGCTCTCTTGGTCATCATAACTATGTACTTGGTTACTTTATTCAATACCCAGGAGCAGAGAAGAAGATTTTCAAAGAATTAATGCACTTTCACTATATGATGTATATAGCCCCACCCTGGGGCCAGAACCCCTGACCCAGGGGCCATGAATTTCACAATTTTGGAAGAGGCACTCTTGCTCATCATAACTATGTACTTAGTTACTTTTTTTAATACCCAGGAGCACAGAAGAAGATTTTCAAAGAATTAATGCATTTTCACTATATAATCAATAGAGCCCCGCCCTAAACCAGAACCCCTGACCCTGGGGCCATGAATTTCATAATTTTGGAAGAGGCACTCTTGCTCTTCATAACTATGTACTTAGTTACTTTATTTAATACCCAGGAGCAGAGAAGAAGATTTTCAAAGAAATAATGCACTTTCACTATATGATCTATATAGCCCCACCCTGGGGCCAGAACCCCTGACCCAGGGGCCATGAATTTCACAATTTCTGAAGAGGACTTCTTGCTCATCATAACTATGTACTTAGTTACTTTATTTAATACCCAGGAGCACAGAAGAAGATTTTCAAAGAATTAATGCATTTTCACTATATAATCAATAGAGCCCCGCCCTAAACCAGAACCCCTGACCCTGGGGCCATGAATTTCATAATTTTGGAAGAGGCACTCTTGCTCTTCATAACTATGTACTTAGTTACTTTATTTAATACCCAGGAGCAGAGAAGAAGATTTTCAAAGAAATAATGCACTTTCACTATATGATCTATATAGCCCCACCCTGGGGCCAGAACCCCTGACCCAGGGGCCATGAATTTCTCAATTTCTGAAGAGGACTTCTTGCTCATCATAACTATGTACTTAGTTACTTTATTTAATACCCAGGAGCACAGAAGAAGATTTTCAAAGAATTAATGCATTTTCACTATATAATCAATAGAGCCCCGCCCTAACACCAGAACCCCTGACACTGGGGCCATGAATTTCACAATTTTGGAAGAGGCACTCTTGCTCTTCATAACTATGTACTTAGTTACTTTATTTAATACCCAGGAGCAGAGAAGAAGATTTTCAAAGAAATAATGCACTTTCACTATATGATGTATATAGCCCCACCCTGGGGCCAGAACCCCTGACCCTGGGGCCATGAATTTCACAATTTTGGTAGAGGGCTCAATGCTTGTTACAATGATGCCAACAGTTTGACTGCTTGATGTCCTGGAGTAAAGAAGAAGATTTTTAAAGATTGCATTATTTTTGGTGGTTTTAGCCCCACCCCTCAGGCCCCAGGGGGCAGGGACCATGAAATTCACAATTTTTGTTCCCCTTCACCCATAGATGCTATATGCCAAATTTGGTGGAAATTGGTTAAGCGGTTTCAGAGAAGAAGCTAAAAATGTTCAAATGTTAACACACGACGCACGCCGACGGACGAGAACGGATAGCAATAGGTCACCTGAGTGACTCAGGTGACCTAATAAAAGGTGCACAATGGCACTATGTAATAAAGATTCTGTGAAAGTATCATTTAATTTTATTCAGTGGTATAGGAGGAGTTGTGGATAAGAGATGGCTACCAATCAATATTATAGAAAGAATGACAGTGTTCTATGTTGTGCTATTGGAAAACAAAAAAATGTGTCTGATCATAAAGTAAAATAGGACGTGCACAAAGGCACTATGTAACAAAGATTTGGTGAAAGTCTCATTAAAATTTATTCAGTGGTATAAGTGGAGTTGCAGATAAGAGTCCTAACTCTTGGATAAGAGTCCTATCCTAAAGTGTAAGGGACAGACGTACAGCTAGACAGATGGATAAACGCCCCCATCACTATACACCCCATGCTTTTCAAGTGGGGGTATAATAATAAGGCAATGTTCACATATTTTTTGGCATTTCTAGAACAGTGATTCATGAAAATAATATTTACTATCCTATCCTATTTCATTTATATATTTTTTGATTATCTATCACTGGAAATGGTCATGAGCCAAATTTGCATTCCAGTAATGTGTCAAGTCCAAATTGTTGTCTCAATGATTGTTGAAAATAAAAAAAATGAGTACATTAAATTGAAGGTTACTAACAAAGGAAAACAATTCTGGTCATCTAAAACAAGAGGATGATGGGCCACAATGCTCAAATCACCATTCTCTTCCTGACAGATTTGTTAATCATGACCCTGATGCTCTTTTCAAGACATTAATATAAGATTTATTTCCTCTATCTTTGAGCCCTTATTGTGAGGGCACAGATGCTTACTGCATAGGGGTACTTATATATCAATATGACTAACTGTGACCCTGCTGAATTCAGAAATAATTGTATCTCACTTCGGTTAAGGTGAGCTAAAAGTCTATATTCAAAAAAACTTCACTCTCAGAATGAAGTTGGTTGAATTAACACATTCATGTTGCAAAAACTTACGAGTGTTTGGTGTGTACTTCACAATCAAAAAATGTGAAGTTGGCGGACACAAAGTTTATTTCCATGATGATGATTGACAGCCTCATGGTAATGTGATCTAGAAAACAAAACAGAATGCTTAAATCTGATTACAATCCTGCCTTGCAAGTCATTAATGTTTTCCAACAATCACATGGTTTTATTTATGTGTTAATGTATTCTGCATATATGATATTCTGCTGTGAAAAAAAACATGCGATCTACAATATAAATCTTAGTGACAAAGTTATCTGATACAATATTCAATCTGAGTCATTCTCCATTAAATTATCATTAATCAGGGCAAACACTGCTGATTGTGATCAATTCTAGGCATCAGTTCATCCTGTAACAAATATCTCTTGCATGCATATGAGCTTCCCTAATGCTCTAGAGAATGCTCCAGCTGCAATGATATGACCTCTGACAGCTTCTGTGATGTGTCATACTAGTTCCCACACAATGTACACACTACTCTTGACAAGACAGTGTCATTAGGCACAGCAGATAAATACACATCAAAATGAAAAAAAATTAGAAATTTTTGGAATGTCAAAATGACAGATATATGTATGATCAAATATTCTTCCTCTAAGAAAAAGTTCTGTAATCCCTCTGTACACACTCATTTTTTAGACCTCTATGTATGATTCATAATATGTTTGATATAAAAAGCAGATTGATGACTGGTTCATTATATATCATAATTCAAAAGCTTTGCAATAACTTAATTAATGAAGCTAGCACAGTATTGACATCTGCTATCAATGTACTCTGATCATTATAGATATAGTCAGACTTTATACCTGTTCCTGTTGGAAATGGTGGCAATTCATTAGGCATGGGAGTGTTGCATTTCACAACATTGGCACTAGTTCTGGTCGCCACAGTCTCTATCTTCTTGTCATATCCTTCAAATGCACACTTGTATGACCCATTATAGGTTGGGAGGTTGGAAATATTTAATGTAAGCTAAAAATATAAGTTCTTTCTCAAAGGAAAAAAGTTAAACAAAATATACAATATATTATTTTAATGTCACGGTATACTAAAATTATCTTTTTACTATTTTGCATATATTCTATATGCATTTATGTGTACTGTACAAGTATTTACATTAGGCAACTGTACACAACTTACAGTGGTAGTTTTTGTCAATTTGTTGTCTTTTTGAATTTTGTCTGGGTAAACTTGTGTAATTTTTGTACAAGTTTCCCCATTGTAGCCCATCCATTTCAAGGGAGAAGTGTATTCCGAACAATCCTGTGCTAATGTACATCTGAAAGACATCCAATAAATTCACTTCAATTCATTGTTAAGGACTTCACCTCACCTACTGGTATATTCACTTTACACTTATGATGAATACATTTCATTGGCAAACTATTCAACAATCTATTATTCTGAAAACAAGATTAATTTAGTTATCTATTTAAACTAAAGAAATATCTTTTAATTTCTGTTGATATCTTAAATAATTTAGGATATATCTCTTAATGAGAGACATCTGTGCAAAAAGAGCTACCATACCTCTTCTTGTAAAGAGACCCAGGGGCCTTGACAGTCACCTGAGTATCATGTAAACAGTATTTGCACCATTGTCAGGTATGTGTTCATAATACTTAACCCCCCTCTCCCCCCCCTTTTTTTAACATTTAAAAACCCCATTTTTTATATCAGATTAATTTAAATTTTGTAATATAATTCGAATAAAATTTTTTCCACATCAAGGTTGTTGATTTCCCTGTAACATCAAGTTGTCTGTCAGCAGCCTGCTTCGGTTTAAAAATTGATTGTACTGGGAGCATGCTCTTAAGCTGAATGAATTGGGAGTTGTAAACATAATATGCAGGTGATAGTGGATATTACTAGATGGTTTATGTTTGGTTTCCAGAAAGAAGCCCAATTCTTCATTTCCTTCGTAAAAATGAAACCACTTAATAAATCTCACTTGTTAGCCAAGGAGCACCATCCACAGTATGGGTCCTTTGCACCCCTACATTCCTCACACGTTGTATATTGACTGCAGCTTTGAACCACCAGCTTCAGTAACTGTAAAGTGTATTTAAATACATGTAATATATAGATTCACACTGAAACTATTCTGAGCACAAGGTCAGTAGGCCACAATGATAACATGTTACTTTCAATGGACAAGAACTTTTAAATTTATATAAAAAAAAAATTTGTTTAAAATACCGTGAAATCACTTATTTTTGTAAAGGTTTCATTTTTGTTGTTTTCGTAGTATGAAGAGACTCCCTTACGAAAAGTAAAATTTTAAATGTATAACAACTCAACACTTTCTCAACTGTGAAATTTTACAGTAAAATTGATGACTTTTGTTAGAAATGTCTGTCTAAATATCCACCAAAGTGCAATTCATCTTCCCAAGCCTCGAGTTACTGATCCACTCCACTCCACATAAACCCTTGACTAAACAGACTGAGTTTCACAGGGTTTACTATCACACCATCTAGTGAGATTACAAATTTTGAACTCTATTGACCTCTGCTATTGACCAATCAGAGTCAGTAATAAATTCAACATAACTTTCACTCCAATGCTGAGACAAGCATTTAACTGGGTTACTTAATGATAGACATTTTCATTGGGACTAAAACCTGCATGCTTTTCTGTTTAAGATTTAGTTTCAGATTAAATAAATCAATATATTTGATTGACTCATGCAAAATTTATGAGGCCAATCAGAGAGCGTATTTCTAATCCAGTCGAATTTTGTCTATTTGGTCAAGGGTTTATGTGGAGCGGAGTGGATCAGAAACCCTTGACATGGGAAGATGAGTGCAATTCAAACCAGTAACGTATCTGTAAATATTTTAATGTATGAGAATACTTCAGTATTGAAAAATGTAGTAATTTTTAATGAAAGAAACCTCCCCTCTCACCCCACCCCCACACACACCTTAAAAAAAAAGAATTATTGAGTCAATTTATTTACCTTCTTTGGAGTCAAAACAAAGAGATGTCTCTTGTCATCATCAAAAAACATGTTCTTAAGAATCAGTGATCCTGATTCAACTGCCATATCTTTGTACTCCTTAGCATTAATACCAGATTCAACTGCAATCTACAAAACAATGAGACTGTCAGATAAATCTAACATGGAAGGACTGTCAAAATACTCGAAGATATTTGATGGTTTGGAATTTCAAATATAGGTAATCAGAGATTACAGAGCTCACCTCAACGAATGTTGTCTTTAAGTAAGGCAAAGTCCCAAACTAATACTCTAGTAGTGTGCATCCCTAGATGTAACATTTATGCAATTTTGGTCCGATACGGCTTGCAGTTACTTGGGAATCGACTTACCTAAAAACTTTAAACTAGTCACTCATCCAGAAAATGTAAGTCATATCCAGCATCTGAAGCAAGTTTGAGAGTGTTCATCCTGTGATGCATCATCCATGCAAGTTTGGATCAGATAGCCCTTATAGTTTACTTTAACCTGGTAACTCATCTGGAAAATGTTAGTCAGATACAGCATCTGAAGCAAGCCTGGTAGTGTGCATCTTTACATGCATCATCCATGCAAGTTTGGTCAACATAGGGCTTGGAAATGATACCTGCTGTAAAACTTTAACCTGGTCACTCATCCGGAAAATGTAGGTCAGATTCAGCATCCGAAGCAAGCGTGGTAGTGTACATCCTTAGATGTATTATCCATGCAAGTTTGGTCAATATAGGGCTTATAGTTACTTGGAAATGAGACCTGCTCCAAACACTTTATCCTGCTCTAAGAACTTTAACCTGCTCCAAAACATTAACCTGGTCATTCTTCAGCTGAAATTGCAGCATCTGAAACCTTGACTGGTACAATGAAATATACTAAAAGCATCCTCCATGCATCTCTGATTAACTGAAACTGAAAACTGCACATAAAACTTTAACCTGGGATGCTGACACTTATGTCCACGGCGTACATAAGCTCCCCAAACTTCGTTGACGTGAGCTAAAAATGAAGCTCATTTACGAGTTATGGCTGGGCCTGCAAACTTATACCTTTCAATTTTGTCATTTGGATGTTCAACTGCATTTTTTTTTGGATGAAAACAAAGTGCTCTAGACATCCTCAGTATATATATAGTAGTGTTAGAACATATCTGTATTTACATGATAGGTTCATGACAAAGGCTAGCATACAATTAACCTTTCTGAAACAAGTACACATACAATTTGGTATCAGTAGAGATATAAAACATCAGTATATCTGACCTTTTTTATGTGGCCAGTCTTGGTACCAACAAATGCTACTGTGTATCCAGCGTTTGTTGTAGTCACTATCAGTGATGAAGCTGTGGCATTAATACTGATGGCTATATCAGTCTTAACTGCTTCTGGACCACTGATTGGATTGTTGAAATCATATTGTCCACAATAATCATCACCTATGTCTAAAGCCTGTAAAAAAGGAAACAATATAGTACAATGAACCAGAAATCAGTTGTGAAGATGATAAGGCCACAGCTTTTTTATATCTTTGATTATCTGCTTATTATATTTTTATATCATTGATATCTGCTCACCCTAATTTCTGGGAAATCACAAAAAATAAAATGCAAATTTCAAATTATTTTAAAATCCTATTGATTCTATTCAACATGCAAAACTGAAAATGAAAAAATTCATTTTAAATTTTATTAACTTTAAATTGTGAAACCCAAACTTATTGGTTTGTATTGAGTAACCACTGTTCATTTCGAGAAATTATATGCAATTACATAAATGCAGCAAATCTAAGCAGATGAATAAACATGCATAACCAATTCATAGACAGAATTTTGCTTTGTAATAAGGCAAAAACTGAATAAATTACCTTTAGTTTGCATATCTCAGTTATATTTAGTGTTCAACAAACAATCTCCACTTGCAATAATGTTCAGCATAGGCTCTAAGGCTATGCTGATATAATAATGTAAAATCTTAATAATTAAAAATGCAATAAACATGTACCAAGATATTCATCTTTATATGGCCTTGTGCTCCAAGCATGAAGAGGATTAGGTATTTTTCATCTTCAGTGACTCTTATATTGTCATGAAGCTGGTTTGCTAAACTACATCAGGTATTGCACTTCAATGTGAAATATATTCGAATCCACCTCATGTGATCATGTTAAGAAGGAAAATTCTATCTACCAGGGTTTCTGTAGACAAGAGGCCCAAGGGCCTTCACTGTCACCTGAGTAAAATACAACAACTGAGTAAAGGATCCACAGAAGTAGGAAATAATACAAAATAAACTGATACATGAAGCTATGTTGCCCAAAGGCAAGAGAAATAGGATGATCGGGGATCAAAAAAATAATTACTCTCATACTCCGTAACAATTTTAAAGTAGATCTATTTACTTGCCTGTGCTTGCTCCCATTTGTCACTATCACTATGCAGACTAAATAAGACAACAGTGCATGGGTACTATTAGTAAACCCAAGTCCTTCCCTATTACACTGGCCTCTCTTGGTCTTTGAAGAACATTTAATGTACAGAGGTAATGTATTTTTTTGTCTCATTTTCATTTACCTATTATTGACAAGTCTACCTGACCATTATAAACTTCAAAAGTACTTTTTGCATTAAATTTTATAAAAATTCTTGTGTAATTCTCTTCTTCAATTGAACTTTCAATTACATCATTAACAGTGATGAATTATCATAAGTGAATAGCAAAAGGGAATAACTTCTCTCAGTAGAGTGCAAATTAATAGAACCTGCCCAGCACCAAAAACTTGACCAAGTGGTCCAGAATTACAAAAATCTGGTAAAAATACCCTTGCTTACAACTTTGTACTCTGTTTACCTCTTAGATGCCCAGGAGCAGAGAAGAAGATTTTCAAAGAAATAATGCATTTTCACTGTAGATTCAACACAGCCCAGGCCTCAACATTACGCTTGTCTGGGACCAGTGAAAAAAAATACGGACAAATGAATATTGCTGGGCACTTGTCTAATTGGACAAGTGCTTTTTAGGTCACCTGAGTCACTCAGGTGACCTATTGCTATCTGTTTTTGTCCGTCGGCGTGCGTCGTGCGACGTGCGATGTGCGTTAACATTTGAACATTTTTAGCTTCTTCTCTGAAACCGCTCAACCAATTTCAACTAAATTTGGCATATAGCATCTATGGGTGAAGGGGAACAAAAATTGTGAATTTCATGGTCCCTGCCCCCCTGGGGCCTGAGGGGTGGGGCTAAAACCACCAAAATTAATGCAATCTTTAAAAATCTTCTTCTTTACTCCTGGACATCAAGCAGTCAAACTGTTGGCATCATTGTTATAAGCATTGAGTCCTCTACCAATATTGTGAAATTCATGGCCCCTGGGTCAGGGGTTCTGGTGCTAGGGCGGGGCCATATAGATCATATAGTGAAAGTGCATTATTTCTTTGAAAATCTTCTTCTCTGCTCCTGGGCATTACATAAACTAACTAAGTAAATAGTTATGATGAGTAAGAGTGACTCTTCCAAAATTGTGAAATTCATGGCCCCTGGGTCAGGGGTTCTGGTGTTAGGGCGGGGCTCTATTGATTATATAGTGAAAATGCATTAGTTCTTTGGAAATCTTCTTCTCTGCTCCTGGGTATAAAATAAACTAAGTAAGTATATAGTTATGATGAGTAAGAGTACCTCTTCCAAAATTGTGAAATTCATGGCCCCAGGGGCAGGGGTTCTGGTGCAAGGGTGGGGCTCTATTGATTATATAGTGAAAATGCATTAATTCATTGAAAATCTTCTTCTCTGCTCCTGGGTATTAAATAAACTAAGTAAGTATATAGTTATGATGAGTAAGAGTGACTCTTCCAAAATTGTGAAATTCATGGCCCCAGGGGCAGGGGTTCTGGTGTTTGGGCAGGGCTCTATTGATTATATAGTGAAAATGCATTAATTCATTGAAAATCTTCTTCTCTGCTCCTGGGTATTAAATAAACTAACTAAGTATATAGTTATGATGAGTAAGAATGCCTCTTCCAAAATTGTGAAATTCATGGCCCCAGGGGCAGGGGTTCTGGTGTTAGGGCAGGGCTCTATTGATTATATAGTGAAAATGCATTAATTCATTGAAAATCTTCTTCTCTGCTCCTGGGTATTAAATAAACTAACTAAGTACATAGTTAGGATGAGCAAGAGTGCCTCTTCCAAAATTGTGAAATTCATGGCCCCTGGGTCAGGGGTTCTGGTGTAAGGGCGGGACTCTATTGATTATATAGTGAAAATGCATTAATCCTTTGAAAATCTTTTTCTCTGCTCCTGGGTATTAAATTCAGTAATTAAGTACATAGTTATGATGAGCAAGAGTGCCTCTTTCAAAATTGTGAATTTCATGGACCCTGGGTCAGGGGTTCTGGTGTTAGGGTGGGGCTCTATTGATTATATAGTGAAAATGCATTAATTCTTTGAAAATCTTCTTCTCTACTCCTGGGTATTATTGAAACACATTAAATACATAGTTATGATAATCAAGGATGCCTCTTTCAAAATTGTGAAATTCGTGGCCCTTGGATCAGGGGTTCTGGTGTTAGGGCGGGGCTCTATTGATTATAAAGTGAAAATGTTTTAAATCTTTAAAAATCTTTTTCTCTGCACCTGGGTATTATTTAAACAAACTAAGTACATTGTTATGATAAGCAAGGATGCTCTTCCAAAATTGTGAAATTCATGGCCCCCGGGACAGGAGTTCTGATGCTAGGGCAGGGCTATATAGATCCTATAGTGAAGGTGAATTATTTCTTTGAAAATCTTCTTCTCTGCCACTGGGTATTGCTTAAACAGACTAAAGTACATTGTTATGATACACAAGGATGCCTCTTCCAAAATTGTGAATTTTATGACCCCAGGTTTAAGGGTTCTGGTGAAGGGGGGGGGGGGGGCTTCTATTGATTATAAAGTGAAAAAGCAAAATTTCTTTGAAAATATTCTTTTCTTCTTCTGGTTAAAAAAGCAAAGAAGCTAAGTGTATAGTTATGATGAGCAAATGTGTTTCTTCCAGAGTAGTGAATTTCATGACCCCTGGGTCAGATGTGAGGGTGGGGCTCTTGATAATTTAGTGAAAATGCATTAATTAAATAATCCTGTTTGCTCCTTAGTGTTAAGCAGATAAACAAAGTGATTAGTTATGATGAGCAAACATATGGTCCCAGGGTCAGAAGCTCTGGGGGTGGGGGGTTGGGGTTGGGGGCTCTATTGATAATATAGTGAATATGTAGTAAAAATGCATTATTTCTTTAAAAATCTTCTCTGCACCTGGGCATATCTGAGGCAAACAGAGTAAAAGTTTTTATAAGGAAGGGAATTTTTACCAGATTCTTGAACATCTGGACCATTTGGTCAAGTGTTCTGGTCCTGGCCAGGGCTCTATTAGTTTGTATTCTACTGAGAGGAGTTATTCCCCTTTGCCATTTACTTTTGATAATTTATCACTGTAAATAATGTACTTGAAAGGTAAATAGAATAAGAGAATTATGCAAGAACTTTTATTGTATAATACAAAAAGTACTTTCATAGTTTTAATGATCAGATAGACTTGTAAGTAGTAGATAAATAAAAATGAGACAAAAATAACTTCTCTTATTAAATATTCATCAAAGACCAAGAGATGCCAAGAGATTTCAACAAAGGATTAAAATAGTACAGAAGCATTGATAATTTGTTAATATACTGTATAGTGATAGTGATAAATGGGGAACAGATTAGGACCTAATTTATGAACTGTTAATGAATATTAAGACCAATTATTTTGTTGATCATGATCACCCTATTTTTCTTGCTTTTGAGCAACAAAGCTTCACCTTTCAGTTCATTTTATACTCTATGCATCCTTTAAATTGTTGTATCATACTCAGGTGACCATTAAGGCCCTTGGGCCTCTTGTTATGTAAAGAAGTCTCAAAATAATAACAAGAGGCCCATGGGCCACTACACTCACCTGAGTAACTTTGGCCTTGTTGTTTTTCACCTGATTTTCCCCCTTGTAGTACGTATTGTGGCCCCGCCCTAACCCCGTGGGTCATGATTTAAACAAATTAGAATCTACACTATCCCAGGATGCTTCCACTTAAGTTTCAGCTTTTCTGGCCCAGTAGTTCTTGAAAGGAAGATTTTAAAAGATTTTTTACTACATATTTCAATGTTAAACTTGGGTTCCCTATTGTGGCCGTGCCCTATCCCCTGGGGTCATGATTTGAACAATTTAGAGTCTACACTACCCCAGCATGCTTCCACATAAGTTTCAGCTTTTCTGGCCCAGTGGTTCTTAAGAGGAAGATTTTTAAAGATTTTTTACTACATATTTCAATGTTAAACTTGGATTCCCCGTTGTGGCCCCGCACTACCCCTGGGGGTCATGATTTGAACAATTTAAAATCTACACTACCCCAGGATGCTTCCACATAAGTTTCAGATTTTCTGGCCCAGTGGTTCTTGAGAAGAAGATTTTTTTAATGGCCCCACCCTATTTTTGTCTTTTCTTGACTATCTCCCCTTGGAAGAGGGCTTGACCCTTCATTTAAAAATTTAAACTTCCCTTCACCCAAGGATGCTTTGTACCAAGTTTGGTTAAAATTGGCCCAGTGGTTCTTGAGAAGAGGTTGAAAATGTGAAAAGAAGAGAAGATTTTTCAAAGAATAATTGCATTTTCACTACATAATCAATAGAGCCCCCCCCCCCCCCCCCACTACCACCACCAGAACCTGACCCAGGCATGACAAATTTCACAATTTTAAAAGAGGCATCCTTGCTCATCATAACCATGCATCTAGTTCATCTGCTAAATATAAAGGGGTAGAGGAGAAGATTTTAAAAGAATTTATGCATTTTCTCAATATGATCGTCAGAGTCCCATCCTAACTCCAGAATCCCTTAGCCTGGGGCCATGAATTTCAAAATTTTGGTAAAGGGCTTAATGCCTATTACAATCATGCCAACAGTTTGACTACTTGATGTCCAGGAGTAAAGAAGATTTTTAAAGATAGCACTAATTTTGATGGTTTAAGCCCCACCCCTTCAGGCCCCAGGGGAGCAGGGACCATGAAATTCATAATTTTTGTACCTCTTCACCCACTGATGCTATATGCCAAAATTAGATGGAATTGTTCAATGGTTCAAGAGAAACTGAAAATGTTCAAAAGTTTACGACCAATGGATGATGCACAAAGCATGATGACAGATAAAAACAGATAGCAATAGGTCACTTGAATGACTCAGGTGACCTAAACATTCTCCCAAATGCAAAGGAGATTTCAAAGTGATCCCACATGTCCGTGAAGCAGTTTACAGTCATTCAGCATGGTACATGGAACAATCTTTGGGGATATGAACACTAACAACAGCACATGCTACATTCCACAAAACTTTCCCTTAAAATTATCAGTTTATTTGACTTCTATATCTGCTTGTATTTCTACCTTTTATATTTTGAAATAGTATGAATGAGTAATGATGCTAGATACATACCGTTTTCTGACAATTATTGGGTGTAGCAATATGGTCAGGTCCAGTTCTACCAATGCCTTCAAAACAAGTCTTTATATTTCGAGTGAATACTTGTTTTACATAACGCATTGGATAGATGCACAAAACAGATTCTCCACTGTTTTTTATGAGGTCATTTGGGTTTCCATGTCCAAACATTCCAAATAATACATCTTCATCTTCTGGAATTTGTAGAGCTGCAGCTAAATGAATACCAGGTTTGCTTACATAAGCTGTTTGCAACAAATTGTAAGTCTTTCCATTATGAATGCATTCTAAAGCAGTTTCTGCATAGGAGTAAAAGTGCTCATCAAAGAGACACACCCTTATCAACTTAGAAATATAACCCTCAGCAGCAACACTGGTTTTTTGAATTGTCCCAACATAACTAAAATTTCCTGATGCAAACCCGTAAATGTACCGAATAGGGAAGGAGTCCTTATTTATTTCATCCAACATAGTGTAAGACTTGGTTGCAATGCTTGAGTGTGTAAATTGAAAGTCCTCAGTGTTTCTGCTGCTAAACGCTGGAACAAGACCACGTATGGCTCGTAATCCTGTGTTAGTCCAGGACGCCCCCACATACATGGCTGTGGTATCTTTGGGTCCTGGTGCCAGGAAGGCTACAGTTGTGGCTGTCTTATTGTTGGCCACTACAGGGTTCACTGTTTGTGGATAAGATTTTGGAAGCAATTCAAGGGTTGATGCATTCCGCTTATCACAACTTCCTTGAAACAAACTTGTGCAGATGATGATTTCATCTTGCTGTGGTTCCTTTTTCTTATTAATAAGGAGAGCTTTGACATAGCTGTTATACAATTCCTTACTACATGTAACCTTCTCCAGATTGAGACAGTCTGGATTGTCCAATTTGGGTCCTATTTTTTCTGATATTTCTATACTTAAATTCCTGGAAAACACTCTATGAATATAGTTTGTCCCACCTACAATGATCATGTCAGCTCCATACTTTGACATGAGTGAAAACTCATCTTTAGGATTTGGGTTTTTTAGTTCCCTTATCACAGAGGCTGCTGATGTGATGGAGATTGTCAAACTAATAACTTTCCATAAAATCAACATTATCACATGCTTCATCTTCCAATTTCTTCACTCCCTGCAACAAAAGCAGAAATAAATCACAAATATTTATGAATTTATATGTGTATAAATATATCTCACTGTGCAACATTGAAAGTGATGCCTTGGATAGGATTTAATTTTTCCAATAACAATTATGGTTGTTCAACAGTATGATTTATTATAAGTGTTTTCTATGAATTATGACATTTCATGCTTTACTAAGTGAAGAACTAAAAATACATTTAGTTTTCTTACTTGCCAAATAATAGTTAAGAGATCATTTAATATCTACAAGGAAGAAGACAGCACTTAACCTTTGTTTTAATCACAATATGCACCAAGAGGTGTCTCTTAATTAATGGGCTTTCTTCAGATCCTTGTGTTGTGATCTATGTAAGCAGATCACATCAGATTTGGCACAAATTGGACCTTATAGAATGATTAAGAGGAATGCAAACCTTTTCTTTTATATATATTTTTTTTCATATCCAGTGTAGAGAAGTTTTAGCTTTTAGTAATGCTTCATCAAAACCCTGACAATGTTTACTTTTACATTGACGCTAATTTAAAAAGCGATGGATGAAGATTTACACAGCATGCATCAGTTTCTAAAATGCTATCCTAACTTCTATAGATAAGATAGAGATAACTGTAAACCAATCCAAACACAGATACCCTTGCTTTTACAGACACTTCTCAGTTTCAATATTTCAAGATTTCATGATTCTCAGTTTTTTAAAACAAATAATTTTTTACCATGATCATTCAGTATTGGTCAAAATATTTTAACAATAAAGAGTGTTGAAAACTCACTGTAAAATTAGCTAGACACTCAGGGCTGACTGCTTGTAAAAGTTGTCACCCCTTCAAAAGATTTACTAGCCTGAGAAAATAATTGTCTTTTTTAAAGGATAACTGTACTTAATGCTGGGTTTTGGGTCTTTTTCCATCACCTCTGCTGCTTTTATATCTTAACCTTATTTCACTTTTGTATATTTACTATGGAATTCTATCAATTTGGCACCAAATTTAAATGTTAAAATGATCTTAGACTGTGATACAATAGAATAATTCTATGTTTTTTTGTCCCTACTCCTTTCCAAATATAGAGATTTTACAATTACCTGCCCTTAATTAAACATTAGGTATGCATGAGAGGTGGACCTAACATTGTAAAAATGGATCTAAAATTAGACTAGATAAATAACATTGACATGTATTAAAATACGTGATCCACCACTTTTTCCCATCTCTCCCGCACAAGTACACTACTATAGTATTTACAAAGGTTTCAAAACGAAATTAACAACATGAGCACGTACATGTAAGTAAAGAATATTCTGAATCGATGCCTGACAATTCAACGTGTTCAAGAAGAGTGTCCTAGTTAGCAAAAACATGCTATCTTACAAGTCACATGACGGAATTTAGTATTCACAGAGTTACCTGAGGTAGGACATCACGTGGTGAATTATAATATTCAACATGCCATAGCCCTTGGTTACAAATGAGAGAACAAATGTAAGAAGAAACAGTTTTTTTTTCTCTTTTAAACCATGAGCGCATGTTTGTCTATTAATCTCCTTTTGACACAATATTATTAATGCAAATATACAATTACTGTTAAAATAGACAAACATGCGCTGACTATGTACAAAGTCAGTGAAAAATTTGGAGTCCTCATTATCGTACAGAGATTCAAGATATTGTGATGACCCCCACCTTTGAAAACAGCTTCGTACTTCATAAATACATACTTTTATTTAATGTAATTATGTAAAGTTGTAGATTACATGTTGACCATTCCTGCAATTAAAAGAAAAATGCTTGTTTTGGAAGTTTATTTTGTCGCAATTTTCACATATCCATAAGTGCAGTCATCCTTTGTTTTCAGCGATTGGGACCAGGTTATTATAACATTGATCCCAAATCTATTGACTGACAAATTCTGCCTGTTGTTTTTTTTACACTTTGCTAGCGATAATATTAGTTGATTTGAGGGAGTTTTATCAAATATATGAATTTTAGTTTGACTGCAGCAAATTTGTGCATCTAGGGCAGTCAGTTATTTCTATCACTCTATCACTGCAATAAACAAGAAACCATGAGTTTTAATGGTCTCCTGAGTATCATGTATTTTTTTAAGCTATGACCACTGGCTTGGACTTGAATCAAATACATTTTAAAGTAAGGGTGCAACGATAAACCGTTTGACGGTATATCGCGGTATATTTTTCCACGGTTCAATTCACGATACGTTAAACTGATATCGTGGTTCGGTTCAATCGGTCCAGAATTATCCGAATCGTCCGTTTTGTTTCCTTTTTTACAATTTAAAAATGGCTTCCGCGCAAAACGTGAGGTCGCCGATAACGCATTAACGGAAGTTAAACTCATCTCCAGCATCTTATAGACCTCATATTTAACACTGAGAAGGACTTAATGTGATTATATGTTATAGATGTTAAGACAAATGATAAACCCTTTAGATCTAAACGTATTCTTTGGTAATACAGGATATTTCATCACCTGTGTATTTCGATGAGAATTGTTGACTAAAACGTGTTAACACGAGAAATATGACAACTGGATTTCTACGTAAATAAAAGGAATAAAAGAATGAATGTCTTCCTTTTCATTCCAATTTAAAAAGATTATTAGGAAAGGTCCCCGTAGTTCCCTGTAAATGTTCATCATTGGTTTAGAATATTGTCAAAACTCAAAGATGTACCCAATAAATTAATCCAATTCAAGTTAACAAAATTTTATTTCAATTATTATCAAAAAAATATGAACATTTTATATAACCCTGTCAAGTTAAAGAAAAAATATGGTGACAAACTTGAAAGATTTTTTAACCTTGTCATGTATCGTGATACGTATCGTATCGTGAACTGAATACCGTGATATGTATCGTATCGTGAGGTTAGTGTATCGTTGCACCCCTATTTTAAAGTTTGATTCAGTTATGATTCTGTAAACTGGTCAAAATATCTGAAATAGGTTTGGGGTTCAGGAGATGTCGAATTATGGGCTTTAGCGAGCCTTAAAGAGGTTTAAATGAGTGACAAAAACTGAAGCATGACAGTTTTTTCAACAACTTTTACATCCTGACCTGGCCGAATAAACTGCCACCATTGTAAAGAAGTCTGAATAATCTGTATGTTCATGTTTACCTTTCTTGAAGATAAAAGCAAACATCTAGGTGATGCCGACTAGATCAAAACAGACTAAACAACTTAAATTTTTTACACAGTGAGAAATGGAAATGAATTGCTGCAAAAACGAAAAGTACTGAAATATCGGAAAACAGTCATTAACAGAGCTCCAGATAATTTTTTACCTCAAAGTGTATTTACTCCGTAATTTTCTAATCAATGCACATTTTGCTTTTTAGCAAAATAACCAAAGAGTTTTTTGTTAATCAATTAATTGCTCTTTTGACATCTAGTGTGATTTGCATTAAAAGTTGAGTGGCGCTATTTATAGCACATGCCATGTGGAAAGCAAAAAAGCAATTATTTTCATACAATTAATTAAGGTTGTCGTCGGACTTTAGATGATATTATTGCTACAGAAAATGGGAAATATACAAGAACTGTTTAATAAACAGTGATAAAGGATAAATTAGACACAATGCGTGTTTTGCACAATTTTGAAAATATCGACGTGTACGCGTCAAGAACGAGAATTTGGATGTTATAAGAACGGTGGAAATCTGTGATGTTTTCAGACAAAGTACAGGTAATTAATATACAAATCTTTCTCCAGAACTGGAAATCGGTCTAGGTTATTCCGAATACGCTTATAAATAAAAAATTCAAACACTGAGCTGACCTTAGTTAAATCGTACTTGTATCATTGAATCCGTCGTACGCAGTACTTTCGAAGTGTAATGCTTATTTATGATTGCTAATGCATAATTGTACGCATTGTTTTAATTTTTAATGCGTATTTTGAAAAATTCAATGCATATTTCTGCAAATACACACCTTATTTGGAGCCCTGCATTAATATCAGATTCTTGGATTCAAATAAACAAAATTCCGCTAAATATCAGAACAGAATCATCACTGTTGATTAGAACTCTTTAATTGCCATCAAAGGATCATTCTCTATGTCACTTTCCGGCCTATACACACACACACACACACACACATTATATATATATAGACCGGCCTATATATAACAAGATGTGTTTCTGAAACACTGATGCCCCCATGTATGGCAGCTTATGTCGAAGGTTAAAGTTTCTCAAATTCAAGTCAAAATCCAGGCCAAAAGATAAAAAATGTTGGTATCCAAAGAAAGGCCTTGTCTTGAGGAATATACCTGTGAAATTTGAAAGCCCTAGCTGTTCAAAAGTTATGGTGAAGGTTAAAGTCTTTTAAAAGTAAGTAAAACGTCAAGGTCAAGGTCAAAGTTGTTGTAATCCAAAGGAAGGTCTTGTCACAAGGATTACATATGTGAAGTATGAAAACCCTAGCTCCAAACGCTCAAAAGTTTTGGCCAAGGTCAAAGTTTTTCAAAAGTAGGTCAAACTCCTATGTCAAGGTCAAAGGGTCAAAGTGGTTGGTATCCAAAGGAAATGGTTGTCACAAGGATAACATATGTGAAGTATGAAAGCCCTAGCATCAACCATTCAAAAGTTATGGCCAAGGTCAAAGTTTTTCAAATGTAAGTCAAACTCCTAGGTCAAGGTCAAAAGGTCAAACTGGTTGGTATCCAAAGAAGGTCTTGTCACTTTTGAACAGTTGCAGCTAGGGCTTTCAAATTTAACATTTTTTATCTTTTGGCCTGGATTTTGACTTGCATTTGAGAAACTTTAACCTTCGCCATAAGCTGCCATACGGGGGCATCAGTGTTTCACAAACACATCTTGTTTTTCCATGTAACCTCAAGATCCACAATGCAATGCAAATGCATCTCGCTGCTAACTACGTTCTATTGGTATTAACAAAGATTAACAAAAATTAACAAAAATTAACCAAATAATAAACTCACCTTGGATTTAACATTTGTGTAATGGATATTGCATATAGATAGACGACTAAATGTTCTTTATTAAAATTTGCACTTTTCAGACTTTGTTATGGTAATGCAACTAACATACGATGTCATGTTTTGTCTGAGTCTAGACGTTCCAAATGTCTTGTGCAGTTTAAAATGGCGAATCTAAATTAAAAGTACCGTATTTTTTGGACAATATGTCGATACTTTTTTTCTCAGAACCATGACTCTAAGCCAGTTAGTACCTGCTATATTTAAATAAAGCCATAAAATTTCAAAAATAGGTCACAGTGACCTCCTTTTCAGTCGACTAACTCTGCGGACCCAAGATGCATCAACTGACAAGGTTTGGTGATTCTAAATCGAAATTATTTTGTCGTAAGAGTTATCTTCCTTTGCTTGTCACACTTTGTATGCGAACCAGTTTAATTGTGTCATCATGTATCTTTTATTCCATTCATTACAAGTTTTACCAAAAGTTTTAAGTACAGTGCTATGACAAAAGTAATCGTGATTTTTCAAAATGGCGGACGTAAACACGACGCGCTTCGTAAAAATAAATAATAAATTGTGAAACAATTAACAGACTTACCTTTATTAATACTTGGTGAGATGGCCCTTAGACTTGATTACAGCTAATAGTCGACGGGGAATGGATTCGTACAGAGATTTGATATAGTTTTCATCGAAGGAATTCCAGATGTGTAAAATCGTATCGAACAATTCTTCAGGAGTCTTAATATTTTGAGCTCGATTTTGCAGATTTCTTTTGATTTTTAGCCATAAATTCTCTATAATATTAATGTACAGTGATTGTGCTGGCCATACAATTGTAGGAATATTATTTTATTGTTTGTAATCTTGAGTAATCCGAGCTCTATGGACGGGGGCATTGTCGTCTTGAAAACGATAGGTTTTGTTGAGGAAATGTCGGACAATGACAGGCCAAAGTTGATCTTCTAAAATGGATATGTATTTGACTGCATTAATATTTCCACTAATCATGCAAAGTGTACCTACCCCGTGGTAGGTGATGCATCCCCACACCATAACCGAAAGCCTTCTCTGCCGAGGGGGGCACATGCACTGCGGCAAGTAGGACTCTTTAGATGTTCTCCACACATACACTCTATGATTTTCTCCTAAAACTATCTGACTTTCATCGGAAAATATGATAATGTTCCAATAATTATTTATTGTGAGTTTTCTTTTCTCTAAACACCAGGCAACACGCCTTTTTCTGTTGATCTCGGAAACGACCATTTTTTTTCTAACAACTCGTCGCTTAAATTCGTGATCACGCAAAAATCTTTGGACTGTCCGTGGGTGAACAGAGTCATTAGCATCCCTGCTTTCATTAAATTCGTTAGTAATGTCCCTTAAAACCCGTCCTCTGTTAGTTTTAGTATGTCTTATTATCCAGTTTTGATCCCTTTTTGACAGCTTCCGAGGGCGTCCTTTTCTTTTCAAGGTTCTGACTTCACCAGTCAACAAATATTTTTTCCAAATAGATCTGATGGTTGATTCAGGTATTTGTAATAAATTCACTATTACCGATGTTTTTTGCCCCTCCAGTTTCATGTCCACAATTTTTTTTTGACATCATTTGATATTTCTGTCGATTTCCTACCCATCGTAATCCCCGTTTGTTTACATGAAATTCCAGACAGCAGACGATAAAAAAAAATAGATATAACGTCACTTCCGATGTGAAGACAACTCTGTAAAAATTTGGGATGTCAACACGGCATTTAATTAGAGTTATTGCCCATTCCCCGAGCGAAGCGAACAGCGAGAACGACGCCATTGCGTAAAAATCGCGAATACTTTTGTCATAGCGCTGTATATGTATTTGTACTTAATTGAAAGTGACAAATTGGCATTGGAGAAATGGAAAAGGTTTTGACAGTTACGAGACAGAAAACGATCCAAAGCAAATAATAAGTACATCGTCCATAACAATTTTAGCGAAAGAACTCGGTACAAAACCGTCTAAGCATACCAAGTGTGAGAAAAAAACAACGGTCGAAAACAATTATTTTTAACAAATAGCAAGTATCATTACAATAGCTGAAATATGATAGTGACATAGATTGTACGGTACTTAGTACTTACTGGCAGGCCAATATTCAAAACAACACATTTGAGGTTGCAAAATTTTTCCATTTGGTATGGATTAATTCATTATGATGAATATGAAGTGCTGGATAGTGCACAACAATGAAAGAGTTAAAGGAAGTATGTTTTATTGTTTTAAATGAAATCAAAATGGTTTTGTCGTAAGTGTTATCTTTATAATCATTATTATTTATAGTTTACGGTGGGGCAAGTAAAAATTGAATTAGGGCAAGTGAAATTTAACCATGCACTTGCCCATGGACAAGTGCTTGAAAAATCTATTTGTCAGCCCATGATAAGTGTTACGTATTTTTTTTAAATAGGTATTTAATAGTTTTTTTTCTTTACTGAAAATTTCGTTGAAATTGATAAGTACGCCATCTTCCGTGATAGTACCTAGTAATTCTCAAAGTGTACGACTGTTGAATAATATTTTCATTTTTCTAAGTTTACTTGTCAAAGATTTCATTGCCAAAATTGAAGACAGATCATAACTTGGCTTAGACATCCCCCTCCCCCTTTTTTAAAACACCTTAAACATTATATAGTATGAACATATGCTTAATTTTTAATTTAACATATTATATTGAATAAATTCAAAAAGGATTGAAAAACAGGCAAAGCCTTTACTTGTCTAAAAGGTCAAGACAACAAGGAGTATGTTTACATGTTTTAAAATATACTAATAACCAATTATAAAGATTCACAGGCAATTATCACTCATTAGTATTTTAGAATAAAAATCAAGATGGTGTCAGACCCCCTAAATATTATTCACTTACTGTTCCATCAATATATAAAAATTTACATTTAATAACCATTAGGTGTGTATTGATCCCCTCTCCCCCGCCCTAATGCCCCACAAATCATTTAAATACCATCGCTAACATAGTATGTTAATTGTTTTATATATCTCACAATAAACAAACAAGTACCCATATTTCAAGGTAAAAGCTTTATCTCTGGTATCATATTGTATATGATTGTTCATATCAGGCATTATTTGCTCCTTTTTGGGTAAAGCAATGCACCCGTATTACGTCATGTAATGACGTCGCAGACAACCAACGTTTGAGCGAAGTCGTGGAGAAATGTCACTGCTATTGTTGTTAAATGGGCATTTCAAATCATATGCATTAGCAGACATAAAGAAAAGTTCCTTCAGAAAAGATTGGTTTGTATTATTGGTTATTAGTATTTTATAATTTTCGATTGAAAATTGATTGCACGGCAGCCTCGATATTAGGAGAGGGGTTCCCCGGTGACCTGGAATGCAGTGCACTCCTTGTGTTAGGTATTAGTATTTTTCTATTAACTGAAAAATTGGTAAAATTGATTGGTACGCAAACTCCTGTCGATGAAATCAACGATTGTGAAAAAATAAAACATTGGCGATCCCTTCGCGATTTTAATATGTAGCAATATATAGCAATAGAAATTTTGTGTCATAAAGTGCAAATGAACAGCTTCTTCAGAAATCCACAGACTGTATACATATGGATGTGTATAAAAAACATAATTATTACATGATCATATTTTTATCACACTAATGTTACATTTTACATAATCAAAACCTCATCTACAATGTACAGACTTTCAGTTTCAAGGTTACATAATTCAATCCTTTTATTGTCATATAGCTTTGAAACAAAAGAAATTTACAATACATTTTACAATACGTACCTACATTCCTACAGTGTACGACAGTAACCAAATTTTCTTTACTTAAAAACACACCTCGATCCTGAACAGTCAACTTCTAGATGCGCAGTGTACCGGAAGTGACTGTTTTTCAAGGTAGCCAGACGTCTCGGCCCATCAAGCCAAGACGAATGGACCCAAAACTTAAGACAGGTCGGTCCATGATTAAGACGAAATTTTAGGCCTAACTAGCTGCAGAACTGTACCTCGGTGGTCTAAAAAATTGGGATGGACGTCCATCAGATCCCCTTTTCTGAAACCAGCGAACTACTGTGCAGCTGCTATACAGGTTAGATACTAGGGCGAACGAACCGTTCGCCCTAGTATCTAACTTGTTTTCGTTCGTATGTGCTTTACGTAATATTACGTGAAATATATGGAGATAACGAACAGTATTCAAGCTCAAAAGTCCATTAAGCAATACAAAATAGGAGCAGAGCAAACACGGACCTCTAAACTTCAGAGGTGGGATCCGGTACCATGGAGGAGTGAGCATCCCCTGCCGACCGGTCACACCCGCCGTGTGCTCCTTGTCATGATCGGGAAATAACGGAAAAATCCGTCGACAATTCAGTGTGTAAATAATGGCCTAACAATTAGTATGAAAAACGTCAGTCAGCATTTGACTCAATGATAAATTGTATTTGCTGACAAGGAAACTGACCATAGAACTTACGAAAATGATGACTTTAAACGAGACAGCTGATATTCTTGTTTCATCAACTTGTTTGTCAATAATTTACCTCGTGTTAGAAATTGTACATACGTAGAGCATGCTCTTGCGTATCGAATCAGCTGAGAGATATATAACCCGTATGCAGGTGATGAAGGTAATAGGCATGGCATGTAGGAGTTTCAGTACCGTTTTTAAAAGGGAGCATCCAACAAAAATAAGAGCAGAGAACTGACTAAAAAGTTTGACAAGCCAAAAAATAAATAAATAAATAATAAAAATAAATAAAAGGAAAATAATTTGTCCAAACTCCACAGTCCTATTGCGGTGGGGGGGGGGCCGGATCCAAAAGTCCACCTGGGGGGGTTTTGAGGCCCGTAGGGCCGAAGGGGGGGGCATGGGAGGGGGTGTCCCCCTCCCATAGGTGGGGGTTCGGGGGGCCTCCCCCGAGAAATTTTCTTTAAAAATGGCTCCAAATGGTGCATTTTCCAGCATTTTAGATTGAATTAGTTAGTTTTTGGCCACTTTTTTCCTAGTTGTTTTTCAAGACCAACCTACCCAAATTTTCAAGAAATTGAACAAAAAATTAAAATTTTAGGATTATTTTTAACTTCCATGTTAACTTGAAAAATGAGACTTTTCTAAAGAAAAAATTAAATGTAAAATCTGACAAAATTAGAAGTATCGCCATTTGCTATATAATATCCAATTCTTCATTTTAAAATGCACGTCCAACACACTGTCGCATGTGAAGCTTTGTCTACCAAAATACAACTGCATGATGTGCAATTTTTCAACACTTAGAATATTCGAATTCTGTGTAGAAACCCTAATTACTCTTTTCAACTACTTGACTATACTGTTCATATAATATTTAATATAAACACATAATGATATTTCATATTGAAGAATAAATATAAATTATTTTGGAAAATAATTGGAATTATTGCTTATTCATGGGGGGGGGGGGGTAATTATAATTTCTAGCATAAATGCACTCTTTAATTCTATTTTTTTTATCCACTTACCTGCCCTAAGTTTGAAAAAAAATCTTGAAAAACAATCAATAAAAAAGTGGCCAATTCTTGTTTTGACAGGACCTCTAATTTATACGTATTAGTTTTACCACAATTCATTATACAAAGTTGTAACCGTTAGTTGGGTTTTATTCAACAACATTCAACTGTAATTTAAAAAAAAATGCAGATCTTTTGCTTTTTAAAATTGCATTGTAACTTCCATCTACAAAAGGAATACTTTCAATGTGCTTTTTGGTACAGGTCACAACGTATTTCAACTAGTATACATCCCTGATGTATTAATTATTTTTTTCTTCTATTAAATAATAATCACAGTTTATTCATGTAGTTTAATAAAGAAAATAACATTCAATTATCGAAGAAAGAAGAAAATTCTCGAAACAATATTAATTTAGCCAAAACAAAACCGTAATAACTATGTGCAGTTTTGGTTGTTAGTGTATGACGTTGCGTCATCACTAGCTGCACGGACTATCATGATCTCTGCATGTACAGTACTGTTGATTACCTGTATATTGTGTGCGCTCAAGCGGAAAGGGATTTCGCATGGTGACTGTTTATTTCACCTCTTTGTATAAAACAATGGGCTTGGATAGAGTCGCATTTATGCAATATATTGTTAAAATGACACTTGTAAAAAAAAATTTTTTTGATCGGGCGGGGGGGTTTTCCCGAACCCCCCCCAAACCCCCCTGAATCCGCCACTGGCCCCGGGGGGGGGGGTCTCAGCCAAATTTTATTTTTTTAATACATTACCACATTACCATAATTTAACTATATACATGATACAGACCTACCGCAACAAAACGTGGGAAGGGGGAACCAGCCTTTCAATGAACATTTTCAACAGTGGCTATGTTAAAGTTGGGGGGACCCCTGCCCGAATCCAGGATGTTTCGCACAAAATCTGTTTCGCCATCGGATGGTTCACGCCCGTATTTGCCAATGCAATACTCTCAGAATGCTTGTTAGTTTAATGCTGTGCATTCTTCATCCAGTCACGATAGCCTAGTGGTAGGGCGATCGCTTCGTGAGACATGTGAGATCGAGGGACATCCCAAGAAATCCCGTCCGATTTAGCTTTGAGCTGAACTCAATACAAGTGCTATTAACGCTAATCACCGATATTCCCTTAAGAGTGATTCGAAACAATTTATGGCAGAATCTTGAAGAGGTGGATCTAAAAAAAAAAAATACTTTTTCGAATATTTTCCTCGGATGTCATTGATAATTATAGCATTTATTTCCTTTAATATGCTCAATTATTTTGCTGCCACGCGTTCTTCTACTTTTTTGCATGTGGAATCTATTTAAATTTTATTTAGAATTAGTTAAATTAATCTTAAAATTTAGCGATTTCTTTTTCAATATAGCCTTAAAATATTTTTAAATCTAAGGAGAATCCATAGTGTTCAAGTCTCTCTAAGACACCGCGAGTTACCCCATACCCTGCATATTTGACCTTTCCCTTGAGAAGAAGGTAAACATGGCCTATTTACCTGTTTACACCCTTCCTACTACGCATACAAAGGCAACATTTCTCAATATTTGAAATTTTAATTATTTTTCCCCAGACACTCTCCTTCCCATCTATGCCCTAAAATCAGCCCATTCCACCCCCGTATACATCCGAAGACATATTATCCTGTGTTTTTATATGGCACTACCTGCGTAAAGAAGATGGGCGTACTTGGCGTGCGATCTGCTTGGTCGGCTGACCAGAAGTGGACAGACTTTACAAAGTTACGCACATAGGAAAATGTTTAGATTTACATTGAAATAGCTTTCAAATTTGAAATATCACATAAATAATAAGCACCTAACAAGATATTAGGGTATGATACACGTAGACGAAATGAAGTTTCAGTAGGGTTGAAAAATTGCCTTCGCTCCCCTTGCAACTGAACCAAAGTTGATCTCTTTCGAAACTTATAAATCAGTAAATAAAATTCAACTGATAAACAACGTGATTGTTTGTATAAAAAAGAAAAAGAAAAAGAAATTGCTCCGTCCGAGGACCGAACCAAAAACTACTCGATTTAGAAGTGCACAAGGCTAGTAACGCATACTACTGAGCTAGCTATCATCGCTACATAAACACTCTGGAATTTAAAATGACAAAGAATCAACGCATTTACACATTGGTATTTTTTTAGGAAAAGGTTCATTTTTTATAGTCTCTGGGTCTTTTCTCCATTTTTTTTTTTTACAAATGTTTGTTCGTTTCTTTGAATACGAACGCACACAAAAGTCTTTTTAAAATCGTGGAGAGATGACCCAGAAATAGCAAATTTTTAGAAAAACGTGTTTAAAAATGTAGCATTTTGTACCAAATGACTCATCTAGCCATGTTCCAAGTTGTTTTTAAGGAAATCAAAACACACTTTGGGGAAAATATTTTCATTTCCTATTTCATAGGAACATAATACATCAAAAGAATGTTAAAATTTAATTTTACAGTTCAATAAAGTTTTGACTTTTCAAGTGCGCCCCGATTCCTGTCGAATGTCAATCAAAAGCGCCCTCGTTCTTAGTAACCTGTGATACACTTATACTTTCTAACATCAAAATAAGGGTTACAAATTCAAACATGTATTTTAATTTCCTTTTTATTTGAATTTATTTATTGTTTACTCGTTTATTTTCTATAATTATATGTTTCATTTTAAACTCGTTATTATTTTTGAGCACGTAGGAAATTGAAATCACCCCCCCCCCCCAATGAAAGGCCTTATATTGTTCTTTTAAAGCTTTAATTTTAAATCTGAAAAAATTTTGGATCCTTCCCTCAACAGTGCTGACATCATTTTGTCTCGCATCACTCTAGATCTCATGGGTAATATAAAGTTTAAGATTAGTGTTAATTGCGCTTTGATTGAATTCAGTCTAAAGCTACACCGGAGAAAATCCACAGAATATCTTCCCATGGTCCCGGTTCGATTCTCGTTCGCTGCGTCGTGTCAAACCTAAGATGTAAACATAGGTAGTGACTGTTCCTTCGCCAAGCGCCCGGTACTAGAAGTGAAAGTCACGGATCTTTCGGATGAGACCTTAAAAACCGAGGTCCTGTGTCACGGTACATAGGCGTCGGAAGCAAATTGAAAGTGGGGTGGCTAATTGAAAGTGAGGGGGGGGCTAACCCAACGAAGCCCCCTAGCCCCCCCCCCCCCCGGGGTTCGGACGCCTATGCGGTATAGACGTTGGCACGATAAAGACCCTCACTGCTCAATGGCCCTTAGTACCGAGTAAAGGTCTAAATTTGAAGCCCCTTCACCGGTATATCATATGGTGACGTCTCTATATGCATGATATGAGCATATGAGTGACGTAAAACAACATACAATCAATCAAGCAATCGAAGACATGTCATTGGGTCTAAATGTCCGTGGGCCGAAGTGTCGTTGGGCCGATGTGTCTAACATTCGACATGGCGGTCGAGCCAAGTAGCGCAAAGAAAAGGAAGACAGAAGACGATTTTGAGCCTCCAGGAAACTATGAAAAATTATCTTCATTTGCAGAATTTGAATTTTGCAAACTGTTGAAGAATGACATGAGGAGTAAAACAGCATTTATTCACGCAAAGTGTAGAGGGAAAGAAGCTGTTTTACTGATGGAGAAACGTGCGTTTGAACCTAAAACTGTGCAGAATTTGTTATCCGAGAAAACCGAATTGGTTGAAACATTGAAAAATGATATATACAGTACTTATAATACCTATCCTGAAAAAGAACTGAACGGTATGTTATTTTGTAACGGTATGTGAAATGTTTGAACGGGGCACAGGGGGCTTGTAAAGTTTATTGAAAAATATTTTGAAGAACGATAACTCTTGTAGAAGGAAAGATAACTCTTGTAGATGGATGCATTAGCACAGAAAACAATGTGATATTCTGGTTTAAAAAGCAACGCTTCGTTATGTTTTTTAATGTGAATTAGATATGTGATGATAGTAAATATCAGGGATGGGGTAATTGATAAAAGTAATTGTAAATGAGTGTAATTAATTACATTTTTCAAAGTAATTGAAAGTAATTTGTAATTGACAATTTTTTCAATTTCTTGTAATTGAATGTAATTAATTACAATGAAAAAATACCCTGTAATTTCAATTACATTTCAATTACTTTACATAATGCATATTATGTGTATTTAAGAGGAAAATATTTCCAACACAGTCACATTTTACAGTTATTTTAATTTATTCAAAGGAGTCCTTCTGTTTTTCAAAATCTTAAACTCTTTTATATCTCAATAAATGAATTTGATATATTGGCTTGTTTATAAAAATATTAGTTTGTTTTATGATTATATAAATGCACATAATGAATTAATACTAGTTTAATGTTTAACCAAAATTTTGTTCTACCTCTCATTGGTAACTACCTCTCATTGAAAACTTGCTTTTAGTCAAATTTCATAAAGGCAGTCAATTGATAAATGTATACATGTATGACTAGGTCTTATGTTGATGAAACACAAACATGACAGGCACCAGACATCATTTATTTTAGATATTCCCCTATCTTAAATTTACATGTATTTGTTCTTCAAGATTTTTGAAAATGAAACAAAAGTAATTGGAATGTATTTGATTTCATTCTTCAAAGTAATTAATTACATTTGTAAAAATCAATGTAATTGTAATTGCAAGTAATTGACAATTTTTTTAATGTATTTGAAAGTAATTAATTACATTTCAAAGTAATTGACCCCAACCCTGGTAAATATTATTTTCATAAATATCCTTAATTCTCATTATATCGTGGGTTCCATTGCATCGTGGTATTTTCTAAAAATTAGGATACATAGTTCATATCCTTTTTGTTGATGGACTATCTGTCTGTCGTCTGAATGTTGACTTTTGTGATGGTTAAAAAGTATGGATCACCTGTTGGAAAAATATTTATTCAAATAAAACAGAATTTTACAGATTTCCATTCCCGTTTTTATTTTATTTACTAGACCAATGAATATATAACCAAGTAAAATCCATAATTAAGTTCATATTTTGAAAGCCTAAAGTTTGTATTATTGTTAACACTTTGTGACAGTGCCAAGCCTCCATGTTTTTCAATACCGCGATACAATGAGACTCTCCACTTTAGGAGGTAAATAAGACTTCCTGTTTTAAAAATACATTAAAAAGTAAACGAAGTAAGCTGAGAAAATAATTAGTCACTAAAAAGTTAGGCCATTGATAGGTTCATGAATAGCATTTGGTGAAAAGTTAATGTGAGAATTTGGAATAACTTTTTTACGCAAAAGAAATAAGTACCGCGATATTATGAGACACCAGTATACCTCATATTTTTAATTTTAGGATGAGATAAAAAATCATTGATCTTTCTGTTCACCATATCAAATTTTCTTCCTATCATGATTAGACATGATATTTACTTCTGAAAAAGTAAGCAACGCTTCATACTTCAAACTATTTTCCTTTTGAATCTAATGCTGTTGTTGTTAATGAAAATCAATGTAGGAAATTTAAAAAAAAAAATGGTGAAATTCAGAGCAGAGGGATATTTCACCTCAAAACAACAGTAAGCTGCGCCTAGCGCAAAGCCTACCAGTCAGTCTCGCGCTGAATCTGAAAATCATGATGACCATGTTATTGAGGAAATTCGGGAGGATGTGACTAGTGAGTCACTGAGACTGTCACACAGAAAGACAAATAACCACAATTTCAACACTCAAAGTTAGTAATGAGCAAAGCCAATTTACTTCCATAAATGGCCTACACATGTTTGTTCTGTTTAACGGTTTATTCAGAATTAAATTGATGACAAAATGCTAGAAAAGCATCTAGTAATAATGAAAATACAGCTGTAAAAAGGAAATATTTATGACAGTTTTAACTTAAAAACAACTTGTTAAAAATTGCTTGCCACTTGAAATAAAGGAGGCTTTAACAAATGTATATTTTTCAGAAAAACAATGCTTCTTACCCCACAATGGCCAGTATGCAAAGTCAAAGTTGGTTGAATAATGAAGGAATATGAGCATGCTGACCTCCAATATGGCGGCCAACGGGAAATAACTCTTGCTAATTTGGGCCTACTGAAAACTATCTATATGATCTATAAAGCCCTACACTAGCTAGCACCAGAGTGACTCAGTTGACCTAAAAAGGATTCTATATAGTTTCTGACTTGCTAGTCAATGCCAAAAGTAAAACTTCTGGATCCCTCTTAAAAAGTAAGACCAGTCCAGCTTGAGTTAATTTGTAACAGTTTTGTGTAAGGATAACAAGAGGCCCATGGGCCACATCGCTCACCTGAGCACATTGGCTAAGTGAAAGCACAAATCAGTTCAGTATTTGAAAAGATTAGGGGGGGGGGGGGGCACTTGAATTTTAAACTACCTGATGATGCTTCCATGTCAATATAACAAATGACTTTGTTGTACATGAAATTTTTTTAAAAAAATTTCCCATATATTCCTTTGTAAAAACTTGATCCCCCATTGTGGCCCCACCCTATACCCAGGGGTAATCATCTGAACAAGAATCTACACTACCTGAGGATGCTTCCATATCAAAATGACTAAACATGATTTTCTGTTCTTGAGAAGAAGAAATTTTCCTATATGTTCCTATGTAAAATTTTCGATCCCTCATTGTGGCCCGACCCTATCCCCAGGGGTCACCATTTTAACAAACTTGAATCTACAATATCTGAGGATGCTTCCATATCAAAATGACTAATCATGGCTTTGCAGTTCTTCTTCAGAAGACATTTTCCTATATATTTATATTTAAGACTTTGATCCTCCATTGTGGCCCTACCCTACCCCCGGGGTCATGATTTAAACAAAATAGAGTTCACACTACCTGAGGATGCTTCCACATAAATATGACCAATCAGGGCTTTGGTGTTCCTGAGAAGAAGATTTTTAAAAATTTTTTCCTATATATTTCTATGTAAAACATTGATCCTCCATTGTGGCCCCATCCTACCCTCGGGGGTCATGATTTGAACAAAAGAGAGTCCACACTACCTGAGGATGCTTCCACATAAATATGACCAATCAGGGCTTTGCTGTTCCTGAGAAGAAGATTTTTAAAATTTTTCCTACATATTTCTATGTAAAACTTTGATCCTCCATTGTAGCCCCACCCTACCCCTGGGGGTCATGATTTGAATAAACATGAATCTGCACTATCTGAGGATGCTTCTATATAAAAACAACCCATCAGGGCTTTGCTGTTCTTGAGAAAAAGATTTTTCCTATATATTTCTATGTAAAACTTTGATCCTCCATTGTGGCCACACCCTACCCCACGGGGGTCATGATTTGAACAAACTTGAATCTACGCTACCTGAGGATGCTTCTATATAAATATGACTGACATTATGGTTTTGCTCTTCTTAAGAAGAAGATTTTTAAAGATTTTTCCTATATATTTCTGTGTAGAACTTTGATCCTCCATTGTGGCTCCGCCCCACCCCAGGGGGTCATGATTTGAACAAACTTGAATCTACACTACCTGAGGATGCTTCCATATAAATATGACCAATCATAGCTTTGCTGTTCTTGAGAAGAAGATTTTTAAAGATTTTTGTTATAAATTCCTATGTAAAACTTTGATCCTCCATTGTGGCCCCGCCCTACCCCCAGGGGTCATGATTTGAACAAATTGAATCTACACTACCCGAGGATGTTTCCATATAAATATGACTTATCATGGCTTTGCTGTTCTTGAGAAGAAGATTTTTAAAGATTTTTCCTATATGTTTCTGTGTAAAACTTTGATCCTCCATTGTGGCCCCGCCCTACCCCCGGGGGTCATGATTTGAATCAACACTACTTGAGGATGCTTCCACATGAGTTTCATTTTTCTTGGCCCAGTGGTTCTTGAGAAGAAGATTTCTAAAAGATGTTATTCATTTTTCACTAATTCTTAATTATCTCCCCTTGAAAGAGGACGTGGCCCTTCATTTGAACAAACTTGAATCCCCTTTACCCAAGGAAGCTTTGTGGCAAGTTTGGTTGAAATTGGCCCAGTGGTTCTGGAGAAGAAGTCGAAAATGTGAAAAGTTTACAGACAGACGGACGGACAGACGGACTACAGATAAAATGTGATCAGAAAAGCTCACTTGAGCTTTCAGCTCAGGTGAGCTAAAAAGGGATATCATCTAGAAGAATACATGATTTGTTTATGTCTCAAGGACAACATAAACCTTCATGTACAAAGAAATGGACTAACAATTTATCACTACAAGATGACTTTCATTGGAAACAAGTTATATTTATCTTAAAAATCTAACAAAAGATACAACATTGTTTTGGTTTCAGTACATAATTTTACCTGGAATTCTTGGAGTGAATAAATATTTGTATTTTTAAAAAATTATTGATAATCAACAATATGCACTGTGCTCACCTGAGACACTTAAACATTTATTTAAGATAATTTGGTCATCCTTAGAAGATTGAGGTGAAATCTTGTAGAACATTTTAGTTTAATACAAAAACTGTTACAGTAATACTTTGTACTGTAGACAATGATGTGGGTTTAAATATGATTATTGTATTAGTAAAGAAATATATCTTTCAAACATCAAGAAAAAAAAGTACCATTTATTTAATGATTTATTATTGTACCTCAATAATTATTTTATTATAGAAAAAATAATTACATGTATATGGTACAGTATTATTAAATTATTTGAAAAAAGATGGTCAAATTGGAAATGTCTTTTTCAAAATAACTCTCTAGCTTTGGAATTTTAAA